AAGGTAAAAAAAAAGAGCGTTTATTTTTAGGTGAAAGTCTTTTTTTTTATTGAAAGCAAAGTTTATAGACATTTTACAACTATTTCGACACAAATATACATATATAGTAAACAATGAACGCGTGCCAACCACCCCAATTCGGGTGTTGAACAGGAAACTTGCTGCTCTCGAGTGGCGCTTAAAAGAGAAAGCAACCTTTTTAGAGCGTTAATTAACAATTATAAAAAAAAATCTCTCTCGATACGCTTCCCTTCCCACCCTGGTAAAACTCTCCCATACGCATATTATCCTTCAATTTAATTGTGCTTAGTAGCGATTAAATACTGTCTAAATGATATTAATGATTATAAGAATAATAAAAAGAGTGATAGAAAGTTTTAATAAGTTTTATATAGATTTCATAAACAGCATAATTTATACAGTATATGAGTTTTAAATATAACTTTATATAGATATATGCAAATCGAATTAAGCGAATAAAAATATATCGGAATTGCGCTAGCTGACGCGGGTAAAAAGCGGTGGAAAATTGTAGTACAGACGTGATACGAAGATAATTCGATCTGCCGCATACAAGAGTGAGCAAGACGTGCCCATCAAAGTGAAGATAACTGCATTTTGCATGCCTTTCTCTGACCTCACACACCATCTCTTTCAATTCGCGCCATTGCTTTTTTTTCGCCCTTCGACAGTCGCTCATATAAGCGTAAGTAATTAACGCCGCCCTTTTTATGACCCTATTCCAAACAGGTGGTTGCGTCACTTGAACGAAGAAGGTTTATGCCTATTGAAGAATGTTCCGCAACGAAACGAACAAGCTAAAAAGGTGACGCTAAACTTCATATTACAGACAATTCTACTAGCTAGCAGGCGGGGGCGCGTGCCAGAGGGCGTATACGTTATATATAAATGAGTAGAAAAGGGAAAGAGAATGGACAAAAATTCTTAGTCCCTTTATCCATTTTTTGTGAAAATCTCTTCCATGGAGCTTATTAAAAACAGCTTACTTCCAATTAGACTCAGTAATAGCGCATATATGCTCTTCTTCCTACCGCTTTGTGCCATTTTCGACCGCGAGAAAATGGCGTCGATAAATCAGGCAACAAATGACGTCGAATGTTTAGGTTGCGTGTTCGGCGTGAGCGTCACACCTTTTTAGCGAAGAGACGTCGAGAGACGTTAATGCCTGTATGAAGATTGACGGTGTCTTTCCATACGAAGTAATAGGGGTAGTATGGTTACACCTCAGTTTCTTTAATCCTATAGAGGAGCAAGTAGCAAAGGCTATATAAAACTGGGCTTTTTTATATATTTATAAGAAGAATAAACAGAAGAAAATGTAGTTTATAGGCCTAGACTGTAATTTTTCTACCAACGTACTTGGGCGTAAATGAAATGGTAAATTTCTTTGCAATTTGCCCCGAAAATTGCGAGGCGTTGTGTCAGGTGCTGACAGGCTAATGACTACGACCCGGCACCGGTAATGAGAAGCGAGACGGCCCGCCGTCGAGTGGCCGCATGCAAGTTTGATGACTAAGATCATGACTAGATTCTGTTATACTCAAAAGAATTAATAAAAGAATAGAAAAGGACACCCTCAAGATAAAACCCTCCACTCGCCCAATAATTTAAACGTTTTCGAGTCCTGCTTTCCTTCTACCACCCGATAAAGAAGTTGCATTTTATAAAATTTATTGTAAATATACAAATAAATTAATGTTCTCTGTGGTCTTATGGGTTTTGTCAGGTTGCCGAATTAATATGTCCTGTTCAATCAAATATCTATGGAGATATTTCAGACGTTAAAGCGTCTCCGTCGCCCATAAACATCGCCTATTCAACAGAAGAACTTGGTCTACATATGGATTTAGCTTATTACGAAAGCCCTCCTGGACTACAGCTTTTGCATTGTATGAAAGTGGACGACGTGGTGGAAGGCGGACAAAGTTTTTTTGTTGACTCTTTCCATGCGGCAAATGAACTACGTAATAAATATCCGACTCATTTTAACACGCTTACTCGGTTGGGTGCAACTTTCCAGAAGATTCACTACGAGAGGTGGGAAATTTTTTTTGTTGTTAAATTATTCTGTATAAAATAAGGTTCCTTCTATCTGTATTCTAATGACCGAAAAAGTGGGCGTGGTTAAAGTTGCGCAACTGGTCAATGACGTCACAACGAGCAGGTAGTATTCCGGGCGCGCATATGGCGAGAAATGTATCATGCTTAGAAGCGCTTAGCGAGCGCCGACTGCGCTTAGCTGATAATTCGTGTACAATGAGCGACGCGACGACCGCACGCCGATTTCGGCGCTCGTTTGTCAAATCGCGTCTCTTTTCACGGTCGGGGGAACAATAGGAAAGTGTGATTTATACCATCCGTTTTATATCGTTTATATACGCATTCCAGAGAACGTCCCGTGCATATGGTTTATAAACGACCTCATATATCTGTTGACCCGGATCAGAACGTAGTAGCTGTAACTTGGGCACCGAGCTTTGAAGGTTCACCACGCTTTGACCAAGTAAGAAAGAATAGATTGCCTTTTTCCTATCCGATTCATTAATATTCATCCACGTTCATATTTTTTTTTATCAATATTTCTATCTCTCTATCTCTCTATCTGCTCCTCCTATTTTCTATTTCCCATCAGTTTGTAAATATTGATGAAACACGCGAGAGTTTTGACGATGTTACGTCACTTTTTTCTACTCTCATCACGCTATTCGCCCGTTTCGAATGAAAACGATCATTAGGAGAAGCTGACGGATTGCTAGTTTGCGTATATACATTAAATTATCAAAGTATTCTAGCGTCATTCCCAAATCAATACTTGCGTCTTGACGAAGCAAGATGAAGAGTAAGAAGGAGGAGAGAAGAAGATATTTTTTAACTACTTTATATTATGTAAAAGTAGACGAGGACAGCCGTTATAATTCCTTTCTAAACGTATAATTAATTATCAGATTACACAAAAGAAGTGAAAAATATAAAATAGCCACCATTTGTCGGCGTCATTTTGCGTAATCCGACTTGAGAGTACAGGGTATATTTAAGTTATAAGCAAAGCATATCCGATTTCGAATAATGATACATTTTTACCGTTACGAAAATCCCTTTTCCTTTAGACAGAGATGGAAGCCTATTACGAAGCCTATAGCACATTTGCTAAATTACTTGAGCACTCTCCAACTTTGGTTAGTCTTTTGCCTAAAATAGAAATTAAAAGAGGAAGAAACGTACGCTATAATTAACAAAGTCGTTCTTCCAGATCGAATTCCGATTAAACAGCGGAGATTTGATATCGTTCAATAACCGAAGAATTCTACACGCCCGCAGAGCATTCAAGTTAAATGGTGGCACCCGTCATTTGCAGGTAAGGTTATTCAAGCAAAAGGTATACAGTTTCTATATATACTTTATATAAAGTATATGTATGAATTCATATATAAAAGAATGTATAAAACAAAATCAGCCTGCACATAGACAAGCTAATACGAAAAGAGGAATAGTCAGTCATATAGATTTATTCTCCAATTTTTTATATTACTATCTTTTTATCTAAATATAGAATCACATAATGTATAATAATGTATAGTATACGAAATTCTTCCTCTTATAACTGTTATTATCCTCTTTAACGTAGCGGCTTGCGTTTATGTGTCGTTGATATATGAACGTCGTGTCGAACGCCTGCAGAGTGATTGATCTCGTTTAAAAAAATTCTTTACCAGCCTATTCCATATAATATCACATACCATAGGCCTATAAGTTTTACAGAACCTCTCCCCGAGGCTAAGAAACGACGATCGAATTTCATCGGCTTATCTGCACGAAATCGAGCGTCTTCGGCGTCGACGCCACTTAGCTATGACACGGCCAGGTGCTGGCGTCGCTTTCATCTCGTAAATTACAATAGATTATATCTCGAATGTGGTTTATGCTCTTTTATCCACCGCCGCAACGTTTATTATTATCGTTATGTAAATGCAGTTAAAAATAAATTAGAACATTCAATATTTTATTAAAAAAAGAAAAAAGAAGCTGGATTAAGTGTAGATTAAAATCTTTAAACGATCCGAACAATAAAGAAAGAGACGCCATCCATCGAAAAAAGTCGGCAAAAACAACAAACAACGGGGAAAAATGTGTCGTTTCGTGTCAAGGGGGCGTCAAAGAAGAATGCCCCGGAGGCTTCTGGAAACGACGCCGCGGCGTTTCTCGCTATATTTATTTCTAAATTCGCACCTGAGCGATCTTATCTGAAAAAGTTTGCAGGCAAAGGGGCGGCGCGAAGCCTGAAGGTGCAATTAACGAAATTTTCTCCAATTGTTTCCCGGATTGTTAATTTCCTTTTAGAGACTATTAATATAATCTAGAGTTTCATTTTATATAACAGAATTCCAGTTTAATGCAATCCCAGTAAAACTATCTATAATTAAAGAGAAAAAACGTTCAAAACTTGTCTTTGTACAGAAAGTTTTTTCCCTCTTTATTGTTTTTTTTCTTCCCCAATTTTTTTCTTTTTTTTTTTTTTTTACAACAAAATATACACACATACACATAAACAAACAAAGAAATACTAATTAAACCAAAACAAACAAACAAACAGGTTTGCTATGTGAATATTGACGAATTCAAGAGTCAGTTGAAAGTTCTTTCGAGGGAATTGAATGATTACAAGGATGTAAAGCAAGTGGGAAATAATTGCTGGATGTAAAGGAACTTTTTTACGCTATTTCTATAATTGATTTTTCTCATATATTCGTTGTTGGTGTGTCTGTGTCGGAGTTTGCGTGTATGCGTGTCATTAATTTTTTTTTTAAAGAAAAAGATAGAGAATAAAAATTTTTCCCTAAGACTTTATAGATGGCAGCAGTAGTTTGAAGGAGGAGGGGGGAATATTTTATTTTTCTTCTTTCCGCTTTCTTTCCGCCGCCCGTCGATCGCCCCACCCCTTGGCCTCCGCCCCCTTCCTCTCTTTCCATTGCGCTAGAGTTCTATTGGCGGTAGGAGTGGGTCGTCGAGTCGTCGTTTATATTCAAACCTCGTATGCCCTTTTTACGAAAGGGTAGTAGAGATAAGAGAGCTAGACGAATTTGCTTGTTCATCACCGTGTAGATAAGGGGATTAGCCAACGAGCTTGACCAATACAGCATTAAAGCAACCGTGTGTAAAGTCGGCTCCACATAGTCCTTAGTTACCATAAGAATAATAACTAATGGAATATTACAAATGCCAAATACACCAAAAACCGTTAATATCATCTTAATGAGTTTTAAATCTTTCCGTCTTGGTCGATTAGTCGAAGGGGCGTTATTTCTTACTCCATTCGCCTCTCCATTACTCCCAAGACCACCGCCTACTCTCTCTCTACTACGGCGAACGACCAAGTAAATTCTTATGTTACAGAACAAAACACAGGCGATGGTCAAGGATATGCAGAAAGCTGTGATAAACGTTCTCGCACCTCGTCTACGAGGATGTCTAATGAATGTACAAAAATCAATGGATCTTTCATAGCCAAATTCGCCCCAAATCTCGGTTGCGGGCAAAAGAAGAAGACATAAAATTATCATCCAAGTTGTAAATAGAATTATACCTGTTCTAGTCTTCGTAAAAATGGTTTTGTAAGCGTAGGCGTGAACTATAAGTACATAGCGGTTAAGGGTTACAAGGGCTACCATAAAGAGAGTTGCTCCACCAGTAGCGTACATAATATAGGGGAAGATACGACAAAGCTCCGGCGAACTCTCATTGATCTTGTACCAGCCGACGAAAAACGATGTCGAAATCAATGGACCGATGAATCCAGAGAATAACAGATCGGAAATAGCGAGGTTGATGAGAAAGAAATTAGTTATAGTTCTCAACTTTGGTTGTCTTGCTATAGCAATTATTGTTGTAAAATTTGCTAGAGATCCTAATACAACAGCTACAGGTGATAATATCTGTCCAATAAGTCTTGAACTCGAAGTATGAAAGTGCTGTTCATCCGCCATTATAAGACTATTTACCGTAATAAAATTCTACTCAAGCCTTTTTATATCGCGAGACTAAACAAGATATTAGAAAGATATAAAGAAAAAATTTTATGCATCTACTGTTACAAATGAATAGAAACAATAGGATAATCATTAAACAGTAATTACTAAGTTTTCATATAAGCCGACGAAGGCCTTCCGTCTTGAAAGAAAGTTTTAAGTATAAGAACTTGGCCAAGTCCAGTAATTAGAATACCAATAGCTTGACCGAAAGCATATATTTGCACCATCATATTCAATCTTTCAGCACTGTGCCGTCCTTCAGCTTCGTTGAGCTTATAATGAACTTGCTCTTCGACAATCTGACTATTTGCCGAATGAATAGATTCCAACCGATCTTCGATTAGCGTATTAGCGGAAGAAATTTTCTTTTTTCCACCCTCTTCAGCTAAAGATTCCAGCTCGGCAGGCCTCAATTCCATATAAATTGTCTTATGAGTGACCGTAGAGAATTCATTAGAGAAGCAGAAGGTATAGACGCCCCAAGTAGATTCAAAGTCAAATTGATCTTGACGTTTTTTCGTCTTTTTATATAAAATTTTACCGTTCGGAGATTCGACTGTAGCGTCTATATCATGATTACCACCACTAATTACCTTAAAAGTCCAAATGTAATTCTTAGTGTGTTTAAAATATTCATAAAAGCACATTTTATCGTTATCTTCAACTTCGAACGTTAGAGCAGTTCCGTCAATTGCAGATGGACTTGAGTCAATCAAAGAAATAAGAATAAAGAAATTTATAAATAAAATCAACATTGTATTGTTCTTTTTGTATTTTAGCGTTCTTTATTTTTATAGAAAAAAACTTCAACAAAAAATACTCTTCTTAAAATGAACAAGCAATAAATTCTAGAATAATGATAAACGTGGCTAAAACGTCATCTGCTAACTTTAATTGATTTTAACATACTTTAAAGGAATTTATATGAAATTAGATAGTTTTTATATAGAACGTATATATTTATGTGTTTTTACATTTTCTTTTTATTCGGAGTTTAGATGGATGGGGAGAGAGAGAGAGAGAGAGAGAGAGGGGGAGAGATTGAGAGATAGAGAGATAGAGATGGATAGACAGAAGATAGATAGATAGATAGATAGATAGATAGATAGAACACCTCTATTATATTAATACTCGGCTTGCAGTATTTATATACTAATCTATATATAATTTATTATTAAAATCCCAATATTTTCTTTCATTAATCCTCTCTCTCTCTCTCTCTATCTATCTATCTATCTATCTTATGCGTATGCCACCTAAATATATTGTTTATGTAAATGGATAAAATATATTTAAGCACATAATAGATATAATATTAGTATATATAGTGTAAAAACTCATTTGCTCTCTGATAGGCCCAATTTCACCGGTTCGTCGATTGCTAGATCAACCGGTGAGTCTCTTTCGGAGAATATAGCTCTAGTAGCTATATATTTAATAAATGATTTTTCGTCAAGACCAAGAGATTTCTTCATGTTGTAGAAAGTTTCAGCTTCGGCTTGATATTGAGCTTCAATACCATTTGCTTCTGCTCTTGCTCTGATAAAAAAAAGATAACGATAATTACCCTTAGTAAAAATTTACTGTATAATCTCAAGAATAATGATAACTTACTTGGCTAAGACGTTTCTGGCCTCACTTTCGGCTTTTTGTACTACTATCTCAGCCTCATTCCTAGCTTTCTTCTTTGCATTTTTGGCTAAAGCAATCTGTCTAGGATTCTCTTGCTTGGCCACCTTGTAGGAGAACAAAACAAATTAGACAGTGCCTATTTGAAGAATTCATACAAGTTCTAATTGAACTTACATCTATATCTTCTCTGGCGACTTCCTTGTCTTGTATAACCTTTTCATATTGACTAGGTCTTCTAATATCTTGCATTTGTAAATTAGTGACATCTGTATAGACTTCTTCGAATCGTTTTGATAGAATACTCTGAAGTCTCTCTTGAAATATTCCCCTTTCAGTTTGTAACTGAGAGGTATTGAATTCAGCACATGTCTCATAAACACTAGCTTGAGCTAAAAACATTTGTTTTAGATAAATCTCTTAACTGATTAATAAAAGCTGTTATCAGCTTTCCATACCTATTGGTAATAAGATATGTTGATAATCTTCTTCATTTTTAAATAACCTAGCTATATCATAGATTTTAACAGCTCTTGGTCTATGTTGCAAGGAGAGCTGCAAAGTGATGAATACCTCATCCTTATTCAGACACTGTGAAGAGATAGAATACAAAAATATATCGGCTATTAAAAGTCAAATTAAGAGGATATTCTTACAACGAAGTTATTCAATTGTAATGATTTGAATACTGCAGCAAATTTAATAAATTTAAAGCCTGGTGATCCGAAGTGTAATCCTTCATAAAACGCATCTTTTTGGAGTTTCTTTTTTATAGTGTCATATTTTAGACCTATTTCATGAGAATCAAGCCTTTTCATTGAGCTCAGAACTAGAGATAGTATCAAAATAATTAAACCAACAAATGCCACAATTCCTCCAATAATGATTACTCTTTTGAGTGATGCCATCAAGTTGATTGATAAATAATATCTTAAAAATTTGTGGATATTTCAATATTTGATTAATCTAAAAACAGCCGAGTATTTTACTCCTGAGAGAATAAAGGTATAAATATGGCAGAATTGTACGTATCTATACTAGTTTAGGCCGATCGAAGTATTTACTGTTGCTAAGGCCTCCTCGCTTGATTTCGCGACAATATAAATTAAACACAAATGCTAGATCTTTTATATGAGTTTTACATTACTAAGTATTACCCAAACCTTAAAATAGTAAAAGAAATGCTGACCTAGGCTTTATTATTGATTATTGTGAAATAGAATCAATACATAAAGGGAAAAAATGAATGGTGGGTGGGAGAGCATAGATAAAGATGTAAGCTGTTGTTAGATTTGTTTGTCATCGTTTCCAAACAAACTAGGTCGAGCAATATCTAAATAAGACGAATATCAAAATAAAAACAATTGGTATATGACTTATTGTAAGGCTTTATATATATCTTTTGTAATTTGAAATGTAGATGGCCTTAGTAGGCATTGATTAATGAATATGAGGAGATTGAATATAATTTTTATACCAACTATGAAACAGAAATGAGAGACAGAGAGAGAGAGAGAGAGGAAGGAAAGAGAAAGAAGGAGAAATATAGAATGATTGATGGAATGAAAAGAGAAGGAATATATAAGGACGAATAAAGAAAAACTGTCCCTGTCAGCACAAAGAAATTGAAAGGGGAAATAGAAGAAAAAAAGAAAAAAATTGTATTCCTAGCTCTCTTTCTCCTTCCGTCAAAAGAGGAGAAAAAATTTAATAAATCATAAAAATAAGAAGAATTATGTAATAGATTTCGCATTTGGCTCTCTGTTAATATTTAATTAATTGTTATAGAATTTTAAAGAGCAATTTCTTTTTTAATTAATTGATTTAATAAAGGGATTATTTGTCCTTTTCGTCGTTTATAGCGAAAAAATCGTCAAGAATTTATTAAAAGTACTAAAATAATTTACTAGTTAAATATTTAGGAAATATAGGCTTTATTGTTAAAGGAATGACACTGAAATTTGTTTAGAAATATTATATTTTGCTATAAACTTATAATCTCTTTGTCACGTGACGTAGTATAATAAAAGGGTCAATAAAGTTAAAGTTTTCCTCATATATATTTTGTTTGTACACGCACTTACAGTTTATTTATTAATAATATAATTATTGAAAAACTAGGTATATAATTAAATTCCTGTTATGCAAATGAATGTAGAAAAATTATGCATTCATGAAAACTTTTCAGCAGCACTTAGCAACTGCAGCATATATAACGATTGCATTCATTGTCTGCAAAGTAGCTACAGTCTCTATTCAATCGCTATTCAGTTGTATTCGAACTGTAATAATAACAAGATTTCTAAACCGTAAATAGCAAAATCGGCTATAATCCAACACTTGAAAAAAAGTGCGGAAACTTTGTTATATCTATGCAGAATTCATTCTTATCGGCATAGGAGTTATAATGTTTTCGGATAATTCCGACTCTCATCCTGGATCTAATCAAGGAAGAAGGAAAATACAATCACGGGATAAGCAACATAAAGTTTCTGGACTAGTTACAAGACTACATTCGGGCTTTTCAAAGAAGAAGCCTTCCAACACTCAGAACCATCAACCATTGTCTAGTGATAGCGAATACGATACAGACTTGGAAGAAGAGACTAAAGTTCACAATGATTTGCATGATCATCAAGCTCTTGCTAAAAACATTTATTTTAGACAATGTTCAAAAATTGGTGTGACTCCTATATCTTATTTTCTAAGACATGCAGGAGATGATCAAATTTCTCTCAGGGATCATTATTTCGGACCGAGAGGAGCCAAGGCAATAGCGGCTCCTTTAAGGGTTAATAACACGCTAACGAAACTTGACTTTTCGTACAACGGCATGGGCGACGAGGGAGTAGAGCATCTGTGCTATCAATTAGTTGACAATATCTATGTTTTTGATCTGGTAAGTTTTTATTGCGTATTCATATTTTTTTTCATACTTTATCTAATTACTTAATGACAATTTAATAATTAATATTCATAACTAGTTTATAAAAAAACGATAATCGAATAGAGATAGTGATAAATTTAATCAATATTTTCCTTTCTTTCTACTTCAAAAACAATAAAAACAATATCCATTTCTAGAATCTAGCTTACAACGATATCAGTCATAAAGGTTTCAAAACCGTTGGGAGTATGCTACTAACGAACCAGATCATCAAGAATTTGGATGTTTCCGGTTAGTATAAATCATTCTATACTCATTTATACTGTTGTATTTTGTGTATGTTGTGGATAGTTCATGTTTTTTGCATTTTTTCTTCTTTTTTTAAAAAAAATCTATATTTTTCTTTCTTTCAAAGGAAACCAATTAGGGAATAGAAGTGGTAAAATATTACTGTCACTGCTACAGGTATTGTATTCATTTACATTGTTATACATAACAAAAGGATATGTGATACGGAAAAACTAGGATTATTTCTCGTTTTAATCTACAAAACATAAATGTTTCCTGTATAAATATTATTGTTTATGATATCTTTCTTCCTCTTTTGAACAGAAGAATAATACTTTACTAAAACTTGGTTTGAGTAGATGTGATCTCGGATTAGAAGCAACACAATCTCTTGCTAATGCTCTAGGTGAGTGATGTTCAACAACTAACGATATTTATAATCGATTGTACTTTCTAATTTATGCATTTATATACATATATATGTATACATATACAGTCAATAACACTAGTTTACAAAAGCTCGACATATCCTGGAATCAGATTGTTGGAAAGGCTGCAAGCGTTCTTGCTAAATGCTTATCTGAAAATGAGAAAATCGACGAATTGAACTTATCTTGGAATGGATTCGGAGAACGGAAAGCAGCCGAAGACTTAGGGAAAGCTTTAGCAGAAAACAATTGTATTGGGACTATCGACTTAAGAGCAAACAGATTTGTCGATTTAACTTTAGCTATTTTCTCTTCATTCTCAATGACAAAGAATGAACACATTAAAATATTAAAACTATCAAAGAATCCTTTCACTCACGTTGGTAGTTTTGCTTTATTGCAAAATATATCAAAGAATTCAGACTCGTCTATCTCCTCACTGGATTTACAGGTAATGGAATTTTATCTCCTTTTTTAGACATATTAATAGAAAGGAGCCTTTTTTTTATACCAGGGTATTACTGTAAAGAAGAACTTTATTGATTTACTAGAAAATCTCGAAGACAAAGGAAAGAAAATTAATTGTACTTATCAAACTTATATTCACTCAAAAAAGTTAAAACCTGGAAAAGCTGTTGAAATTCTTTGCCAAATTATTCATATGAAAGATAAAACGCCATTTTCATTATTCGGAATTGCCAGTGACCAATCAGTTACTGTGATTGACAAGAAATCTTTTGAAGATGCCATCAAAGTTAACGCTGGAATTGACTTGACCGATCAAGAATGGTTTACTCTATTCGACGACCTTACAAATAAGGATGGTCAAATCGAATTGGCGTTAGTTTTCATTCTCTTTTCAGATAATTAACGTTATTATTTTTCCTATTGATTTAGATATTATTTTTTGTCTCTTCTAGGTCTCTTTATACCAAATGGAGAGAGAAATATGAGAAGAAAGATAAATGAGGGCGAAAGCTAATTCTTTTAATAATCTTTTTAATAATTGAGTACGAAAATAAACTAACTTTTGATTTATTTTACATACAGAATACAATGCATTGTATATTCTGCATAAATAGAGGAGAATGTATAAATAAAACAATAAGTGTAACAAGATATTCTTGCCCAACTTCAATCTTATCTTCTTGATTCTGTTTAAATTGACAGCTATTTAATGATACGCTATTCCCTTCAATCTATTTTTTGGATCCGACAGATGGCGTACTATACCGGTACAAAAAAAAGATTTACATCTTATAGTATACCATAAGACAGCAGTATCATTTACACATAAGTAAAGAAAATATATGTATTTGAGCTTATTTATACAGTATATATATATATATATATATATATACTGCATATACAGTATATATGTATATAATATATTTTATATTTTATAAATGATAATGAATTTGATTAGCAGCGTTAATTATTTAATTATAAGTGCATTGTTCGCGTGCTTAATATTGTTGACATCTTCGTGTACCCTGTTTTCACTCTGTAGAAAAAGAAAAAAGTAATTATCTTAATGTAACTAATGAAGAATTTTACAAACCCTCATTTTCCGAATGAATTTTTTTGCCTCGGCATCGCTTATAGCCATTTTATCCATAAATATTTCCAAAATGGCTTTTCGAACGCCAGAAGCTACTGAAGCATCACCACAGATATAAATATGAGCTTTTTGATTTATCAATAAATCGTATAATCTATCTTGATGGAGCTTTATTGCATCTTGAACGTACATTTTTGGACCATGACGAGAATAGGCTGTTATATTTTCTATGATACCTTTATCTTCCAAGTCTTGTCTCTCATCTCGTACCAAATCATCGTAATCTGGATTTCGGCAACCAAAAAACAACAATGACGGACCTGCTTCTTCTCTATTACAGTATCTTTCCTGCCAAAAACTCCTGAAAGGAGATAACCCGGCTCCAGCTCCAACCATGATTACAGGCTCCTTTGGGTTTTTCGGTAAATGGAAAGAGGCCATAGATCTATGACCCGCGGGAACCATATCTCCTGGTTGTAGTGTTGACATCCACCCAGAACAAAGACCATTTCTTACCTTCCCACCCGCTTCGTATTCTACAACGGCAGCCATAATGTGCATTTCATTAGGGTTGACACTGGAACTGTTAGATACGCTGTAACTGCGGTGACTTTGCAAAGGGAGAACTGATAAGAGCCAGGCTGTTGGGACCTTAACTGATTTTAAAAATGACAAAGTATCCGCCAGAGTTGGGGCCCCAGACCTCCATTCCAATTCTCCCACATCTGTCCATATTCCTATTAATTCTCGATCTTCGTCATGTTTAGCAAATTGTTTCAATGATAATAGGAACTCCTTTGAAGGTGTTGCCATAATATCCAGATACCAGGTCAAAGCTCTTTGTAAGCTGCAAGAAGGTAGTCGGTCTTGTTCAATCCATTTCCCGCGTATCATTTCCTCAATGTTGAAATGTTTGTTTGGAGGATCCGAAATAAAAGACATTAATCTTTCAACTTCATCATGTGGATTTGGGGGTAGAATAACAGCATGATCACCAGGTTTATGTTGAATACTTGTAGGTATGAGTAATTTAACCAGAATTGTTTGCTTCCTATTGCGAAAAGCAGCAGCAAACATTCAAAATAAATTAGGTCATTTTTAGAATTATATTATTATTTTATTGAATAAAAAGAAAAACCTACTCGGATGAAGGACTTTGAAGTTTTGTAACGCTAATTACTCTGCAACTTGCTATTGATCTATTATGTACTTTTTCTAGGGCTATATAAAAAAAAGAGTATACTAGTTCTTTCAAAACTCGATATTATGTAACGTTAAAAAAATACCCTACCATAAATTAATTGAGGTTCATCGTTTTCCACTGATTTATAGGATAATTTAAAATTTTTTGCTAAAGACTCTTCATCTTCATCATTCTCTTCTTCTTCATTATAGTCTCCGTTCAAGCCATATTCTTTCATCTAAAAATAGAACGCCATGAATGAAAACGTAACAATACTGATCATTTAAATGTCCCATACTTTAACCCATTTTTTCATTCGTTTAAACCACGCTTTATAAACATCCATTTGCCGTAGATCTGCCATTTTATCAGCTAGTTGGACTTCCTCAATTCTTGACCCTCCCAATTCATGCAATAATTTATCAAAATTTCTACCGAAATTACATAAATCAACGTGTTTTGAAGATCCCAAAGCCAGAACGGAAAAAGTTAAATTATCAAATTTACACCCATTTTCCCTACATTCTAATAGATCAAAATAGAGATTTTGACCATTCGAAGGAGCTTCTCCTTCTCCGTACGTACTAGCAATTACAAATATCCTTTCTTCTTTTAGTAGTTCTTTACTCGAAGTCTGATTCATACATATTAATCTGGTTGAAATTGGCAATTTTTTGGCCATATCCCTGGCGAAACCTTCCGAAGTTCCGCTCTCACTTGCATAGAGGACAAGAGCACCTTTATTTGATTTAATAATAGGCTCAATGTTCGTAATGATATTACCATCCGCGACGCTTTCATTCGTTTTCTTTGTATCATTATCAATTGTGCTAGGAACGCAGCCCATCTTTTCTTTGCTTTTTTTGTTTATAGTTACCAATATTTGATAAGATTTTATCGATCGATTAGATATTTTACAACTGATGAATTTAGTAGAGTGAAATAGCTAAGCTTATTGCTTCGTATCAACCGAAGAAATGGACTCAAGAGACGAACGATTAATTGTCTGTCATGGTATGTTACTGCATTTTAACCGACACCAATACCGCCCTCTATGACATAGATTAAGTAAAAAAAAGTGTATCATATTTATTTATAACACACCTGAAACAGTTGTTTTCAGGGTTTAAGATAAAAAAAATAAATAAAACAGGATTATATCACATATTTTAACTATCAACACTAGGCATAGCAACTTCCGCTTCTCTTTGCTTTAACAATAGACCCTGAAAATAATACATATATATATATAAATATAAGTATATACTGTATATACAGTAAATATAGGTATAAATATAGATAAATATATTTGCACTGAATATTATAATTTACTTACTCTGCGTAGATCAGATAGATGCTGTAAGATACGAGATTGTCTCAATGTGGGGTTATCTTTTACTAATCCTGGATTAAAAATTGGGTCGTCTCGGTTCAACATTTCTGTACCGTATTTTGCCGGCTGTTGACCCTCTTTGTAAGCTTTTCGACCTCTTACTACGCTTGATTGTTCCCTTGACACTGGTAAAGGGTCTTCGGCAACCGAAGGATCGAGGACATTCACTGATCTAATAAATGGAACAAATTCGTTTGGAGCATCCATAACGGGCGGTGTCTTCTTTCGATTATGAACGGACGGAACGGGTGGAGATTTAGGTTTAACTGACCTAACTTGTGGAGGAGACGGTTTTTTACTAACCAATTCCCTTTTTGGGTGATTGTCTCTTGTTTTATTGCGAGGATTATTTCTTGGGGGTGGTCTTTGTTGCGTTGGTCTTTGAGCTTTTTCACTCTGTTTAGTAACTCGTCTTCTGTCATTTGTATTTTCTTTCGGCTTTGGAACAACTTTAATGGGGGGAGTAGGTAGGGCCTTATATTCAATTTGAACATCATCGCTATCATTATCAGCTACATTTAAATTAGCTTGAACACCAAATTCTCTTGATCTACTGGTCGCAGGGGGTAAATCGAAAGCTTTCGGTTCTTCAATATCTTTAGGAAAATCGATTTCATCTGACCTCTCTAAGAGATAAAAAGAAAAAAAGAGATTTTAATGGAAACGAATAAGAGTTTAATTAAACACCAAAGCATGCAGTGATTTTTTTTTGGAGAGTGATGGATTTAACAAATGTTTCTTAATCACGCATATACTACCTTGTACGAATTCAAATTCCTCAGATTCGTCTAATTGAAGCAATTCAAGAAAGGTTTAGAGAAAAAAAGACTTTCTGTAGCCATTTCGCCCTATAGTATTTGATAATAGAAATATGAATATTTACCAGTTGCATAGGCATCACTCAATCTTGCAGTATCGTGACCAGATCTCTGCAATTTCTTTAATCTCTTTTCGCGTTTATCTCTTTCTGCAGCTGTAGCAGCGTCTTTCATAGCTTCTTCTAATTGTCTGATACGCTCCGCCTGTTGTTGGGCTGCCGTCCGTGCTTTCATCTGCTCTGATTCTTGTTGCTTTTTCAAAGCATCTCTCTCTTCTGCTAACTTTTTCTCTATTTCCATTTCTTCTCTCATTTGACGATCTTTCTCTTCTTGTTTCTTCCTTAATTTCTCCTCTACTTGCGCTTTTATGGCTTCCTGATGCTCAAGGTGTCGTCTTCTCTTTTCATCCATTTCCCGCTTAGTGACCTCATCTAAGTGAACGTTTGCTCCCCTTAGGTAAGAGTGTTCTGTATTACTAGGAGGGCTTGTATACGAATTGAGAACATAGCCTGTAGTTTGATCTGTATTCGACACGCTTTTTCTCGGCTCTGCCCACGTTGGTTCATCACTGTTCTTTAATTTTCTCTCCATTTCTTTCTTTCGACGTTGCTCTTCTCTCTGCATATTTAGTTCCTCTAGCCATAGTTTCTTTTCTTGCTCTTTAGTTCTGTCAAAACGACTTTCATCTGGCGCAGCACCACCGATAACAAACGAACTCCTAATTGCTGCTGGAGCAACTTGATTTGGAGTAGTAGTAGTACCTCGATTAGAACTTAAATTTGGTTGCGATCGAGATTGTGGGACAGAGGGTGAGGCAGATTCAAGACCAGGTACGCTGGTCGGATTAACGTGAATGCGTTCAGCACCTGTTACATAAATAAAATTAAAAATTGAATGAAAAAAGAAACTGTATGATATTTACTACCTGTCCTGGAAGCAGGAGGGGTATTGTTTCTTATTGGATTAGTATTAACTGTTGCATTTTTTGCGCCGCAACCTGGCCTTCCCCAGGGATCCCAATTAGAGTTTGCTTGATCTTTTTCCTTTTCCCATTCTAAGCGTTTTTTCTCCGCCAAAGTCATATGAGCTTTCGGAATTGCTAAAGGCGGTTTTGGAGTTTCATTTTGGATTATATTTCCTTTTGTTTGCACGCTAAGTATGAATAATAATGAAAAACACTATATAAACGTTTGTTCCCCAGAAAAACAATTGTCTTACTCTTCATATTCTTTTGTATGAGTACTATTTATCGTAGTTTCAGCAACTGATGGAGGTGGAATTGTTGACTCAGGAAGCGGCAGAGCTGCTGACTTTTCTTCCTCTGAAAATGTAATTTTATACATAAAAGCTGTAACTAGCAATGAAGGTAGTGTACATATATTATATACATATATATTATAAATAGATACAATATATACTGAATATATATATATATATAAATATCAAAAAAGGGAGAAATAAATTTTTGCACTTGGATAAAATTAAACAGGGTTAAAATTAGTTGTTATCGTGCGAGTTTTATCAATTTAAAAACGTTAGAAAACATAAAGACAAAAAACTATCAAACGGTGAATAAACTCACTGCTAGCTGGTTCAGTTTCTGTAAGATACACGATACATATGATACATATAATATCACAAAGTGCTATATATTCTTGTAAGTGGCGCTTTGCACTCCGTATACGTTAAAGATTATATTTGACCATATTAGTTTTCTTTATAAATACTTACCAAGGGCTACTTGTAGTTTTGCATTTTCTTCAGTTAACGTTCCAATCGTTGTCAGGATAGCGTCTAACTGTTTTTGAGATAAGGTCACTGAACCCTTCATGACTTGTTGTTGTTGTTGTTGATGTTGTTGTTGTTGTTTGATAGTTGTCTTTCTTTCGGATCCATTACTCTTCGAGATGGGTCTTGGAGGTTTTAATTTAGCTTTATCATCTTCGAATTTTTTTGAGCGCAGAGGTATTCGATTAGTTTTAGCCTTGTAACCAAATTTTTTCTTTTCTGAGTTTACTTCTAAATAGAAAAAAAGGATGTTGAAAAACTAAAAGCTTTTGTTTTCGGAATAATAATCCAAATTATTACCAGGCTTATCCCAGAGTATGACCGGTTTTCCATTCTGCGACGAGGTTTGGAACCGAATTGTTGTTCTGCAACGTATGAAAACTGTATGAGCTTTTGAAAGCTCAGGTGAGACAGCATCATAAAGCAAAATCGATTTTTCGCTCAGTAGTTTCTTATAATTGAAAACCACAAGAGCTGCCGTCTTTTCATATATTTGGTAATTGGTGATATTTAAACTTTTTAGAGCTATCACTATTCTTTAAAAATTAGTGTAATAGATAGAATCATTCCATCTACATTATCGCCAAGTCTGTTATAATTAATACTTATTTTTTTTAATTTAGCGTACCTTTTATCCAATATTTTTATTATACTAGAACTTTTAGATCATTATTTGATAAATTGTGAAAAAGCGTATATATACTTATATAAATCATCTGTAATTAAATTAATTAGCTTTTTTAGATGCGCATATCTTCCAATTATCAACCATATTCCTATTAAACCTACAACTTAATAAAAAATTATAGTATAGAACATTTTGAAAGGAGTTCCCAGTCGAGAAATGGATGTTGAGATAGGAAAGTAGCGTGTTTATATTTGTTTAAAATTTGTGCAATGCGAATTTAAAGCTCAATACGAAAATAGAAAGAAAAAGATAAATTTAGCGAATTAAGTGCGAATTTCTATCTTCTCGGAAAAATAACTCTTACCCCTGACTCATATTTAGAAAGGTTGTTGAAGAAAACAATTCTATGTGATAAAATATAAAAGATATCACTCAAAAAAAATTTATCAAAGAATGCTTGACAACCGAAAGCCAATAACCAGATGTCTCTAGTATAAAAACCGGTAAAGAAAAACAGTAAACCGGTGTTGATAGACGCATGCGCTGTTGCACTCCCAGACATTTGTAACTTTTCCAAATCTTTTTTGGTCTGTTGAAAAATTGACTTTTTAGCCTCAGGGGTTTGAAAAATAACTTTAAAATGTCATATTTCAAGAACCATTCTTTATATGCTCTTTTTGAAAAAGAGCAAGACTTTCTTTTAGAAACTATTAAGGACTGGAGGAAAAGTATAAAAAGTGAGCGTGCTTTCCGACTGCTCATAGATTGCGATGAAACTATTCAAAGACTCTATGGTGGCTTTCTACATGATTTTACGAGTGGAGGAGACTGGGGAAGTTCGTATAAGTTCTTGGAAAACTTATGTTTCACTTCATCAAAGAATAGAATTGAATTAGTTTTCGCTTTTCGGGGAGCTATTGATAAATCTCAATCCCTTTGGCGAAAAGTGAGACTTTTCAATAGTGAGCTTGCAAAGAATAATATAATATCCATAGAAGATAGTAGAAAGTTACCGACTAAGAAATATTGGGTCGCTCCTAATTCCGCCCGATTCTTTATTCAAAGCATGCTCCAACATTTGAACCAAATAGTAATTGTAAGCGAAAAGGCCGATATACGGGAAATGGTTAAGCTGTATGCAATTGATGGAGTTGTTACTAATGATATATCATTCTTCTTTTCCGCTACTTTTGACACGAAATTATATCTTGGTTCTTCTTTAAAGTTAACTTTTTCGGGAACAATGAGCATGAAAGAAATAAAACTAAAGAAGTTACTAGAATGTTTGGAGCTAGATGTAGAACGTCTACCAATTCTTGGCAGTTTACTTGGTAAATTAAAAGATATATAAAATATTGACTAAATACATTTTAAAATTTAACAGAAAATCCCTATATTCTAAGAGAAGAATTTTTTACTTTTTATCTTGACCTATTTAGTTTAAGAAATCCTGACGAATTAGATTCGGTTTGTCTGAGACTTTTTCTGTAACTTATCTATTACATTAAATATTTTTTTAACAGATTGATAACTTTGAACTTATCGTTGGAGTTAGTGCTTTTGTTAAAAAGCTAAAATCTCATACTGACTTGGAGGGAATTGCGAAATGCGTTTTCATCAAGTAATTTAATCTGAATAAATGTAATCTTTAACAAATGTAATAATGTATGTTTAACAGCTATAGCGATTCAGAAAAAGAGGTTCTGTCTGCCAAGTTCATTAAATGTGCTAAATATTACGGTAATAAGCTAATTAATGATAATTACTTGTCTTAACGTCATCGTCTTTCCTCTCTTGAAGCTAAATACCATAATCTATCCAATTTCACCTACGGAGATGAAACCGAAGAGAGAGAAAATACAATAATTAAGAAACAGGTTTATATATATTTTATTTTATTTTCGGATTGTTTTAAAAGAATGATAGCTAGACACATTTCTTTAATTTTAAAGATAACGAGATCTGTGGATAGTCAAGTACAGAGAAATGCTTTAAAAATTGCAACAGACAGGTATACGACAGGATGTATGCATCCTTGGATATTGCAGATTTTAAGCAAGGTTTGCTGATTAGTACTCTTTAAAATGGCTAATAATTAACTAATTTATTTTGTTTTCATTTTTAAAAAGAGAGAAATTGAAATCCCAAACATTTGGAATGTAGATTGCTTTCGCATGGGATCAAACATGAATGACATGTTTCGGCCGTTAAGAGCTAAAGCTTATAATATTTTGTTACAGCAATCTGGTACGGAAAACAGTAAACCGAATAAAATATTGGTGAAAGAGTACTTCGTTGGCAGTGAAGGTGAAATTAAGGAGTTTGACATTGAGGTTAAGCCCAAAAAAGCTAATTATTTATCTTTATCTCATTTGTGGTGGGGTAAAGAAAATCAGCATAAAAAGTTACGTGAAATGGCTTTGCGATATTGCACACTTAATAATGATGCCAATATATTCGACCCTAAAGTCATACCTGAGGAGCTGATGACTTTATGCTTACTGTTGCGATATCTTCTAAGTCAAAAGACTCGCGTGTTAACTTCAAATGAATTTGATGCAATCATTGTTGCAGCAGTTGACAGTCGTTTATCTGCTGGTACTGCGTTCGAATTCAATTCATCAGAATTTACTACTCGCTCTTCGTATATTGGACAAATGCTATCCTTAGGGATTGAGCATATCCTGTTTCTCAACGATGTGTGCGCTCAACCCTTACCTGCAAGCAGTTGTCATCCTTGGAAATTTTTGTACGGAAGAATTCTTCAGCACAAGCTCTTCTTACTAAATTCTGGCTGTAGTTTAGAGTTTGCGTTGGAAGATGATCGTAATAAATTGTCTTTAGTCAAATCATTAAGGAATGCTATACTTTGTGACCTAGAGAAGAACAACCCTTTTTTATCTTGTCAAAGCATTTCAAAAGAAAGATCTGTTTCTGAAATAGACAAAGGCATTGAAAGCGACAGAAGCAAGTATTACCATCTTTGCAATATACTATTATTGAATTTTCTCTTATTATAGCTACGAAAGTATGTCGACAGATTCAACGCAATTCATAATCAACGTTATCAATAATATGCTTAGATTTCTTCTTTAACGAAAACCGTTTAGTAGAAAAGGAGGGAAAGTTACAAATTGTTATCAGTTGAAAAAATAAAAAACATATGTATAATAATAATAATAATATACATTATCTAACACATAAAAGTACAGTATATATAAATATATATAAAAAAATTGTTTAATTTTCAGATACAAAATCCTTTATTCTATTCGTAAAAAAAAACACTTGAATACACTTTTTTTTTATGTAGCGTTTAAAATCTTCATGCTTAATAAAGATTAACTACCCTGAGACAAACTAACTTTTCTATCCTCATCTATATCATTACTTGTATGTCCATAGGTATCATTTTCCATAATAACCATTAGAGATTTTCTGTTAATACTATCACTTTTTCTGTCAAGTTTTACAGGCGTTTTGACTGATCGAATACTAACTCTTGTTACGTTGTTCATTTCTGAATAAATAGAATGCTGAACAATGTCAATTTCTTCGTAAGAAGAGTCAGGCTTTGATTGACCTTTTATACGATGTAGTATAAAAATATAAATAGCGAAGACTATCAAAAATACAAATAAAAATCCACCCACTCCAACAATTATAGGCCCTATATGTATAAACAAAATTCTGCATTGATAATTATATTTTTTAGCTTTTCGTACTTACACCAATCAGGAAGATTATTAGAAGTTGAGACGGATTTGTCGTACTCCTTTGTTCCCATTGTTACGTAATCTGTTACGGAGTTGGACGTGTAATAAATCTTTTTTAATGTACTGAGAGTCGATAAATTGTTTAAAGGCATTGGTGTTGTTTCGTCTGTTCTTTCTTGTACTGATGCCATTTCGCTTGTTCTTTCTTCACTTAATGTTTGCTTCGTGCTGAAGCGAGTACTCTTCGTAGTTGAATGTTTTACAATTTTTGTTGTTAGTTTTGTAGTATAGGTTGTAAGAGGTATAATCTCAGTACCGTTTATCTTTAATTCAAAATACATTCTCAATTTCTTTGAGCAGTTTGACTTGAATTCAAGTCGAAGAATTATAGCCAAAGATTGAACAAAACGACTTCTGCAATTATATTCCTGGTTGTTTAGTTTCAAAGGATCTGGAATTTCTCCCTTTTCATCAATTTGAATAATAAAACTCTGATCAGTCAAACACGATTCTTTTCCATACTCATATTTCAACAACAATAGTAAATCTGGATAATTTGTCTTGTTGATTATTATCTCAAGAGAGTCTACTGTCGGTGTGTAATCGGCACAAAATATCAGATCAGTTTTATTAAATATTTCTTCTCTTTTTTCTAATTTAATATGTTCATTTGTACATTTTGGAATAACATGTTTCGTATTCATATCACACGCTGTTAATGAACATTTCAAGGGTTGAAATAAGAGAATAAGAAGGAATACTATAGTATTATCCATAATTTACTTTCTTATTTAGGATTAATATTAATCTTGTCCTTTTTGTATAGTATATATTACTAGAGAGTAATAGTTCTTTTTAAAATATCACGCCTCAATTGTATATATTGATTCGATAATTCTCTATAGATCTTGTACTATTTTTCAATAATTTCTTTTTTTCGATGTTACCCCCTTTGAAAATACTATAGTTCAAATTTTATCTCTTTTCTCCAGACAATATTGATCGATTATTCTGAACAGCAAAAAAAAGAAAGTTCAATACTGATAATAATTTATGACTGAATGTTTGATTAAAGAATTCTATGTAAAATATAAACAGTGTAAACATATATATATATATATATAAATTTATTAGTATACAGTATATATATATATATATATATATATAGATTAGAAATTAAAACATACCTTTTAAAAGCTAAATATACAATAAAATCTTAAATATAAGCATAAACAGGTTGGAGTAATAACTGTTAATAATTCTTTCGTGAGAAACGAAATAACTTATTTGTAAAATTTCAAAGGCTTTTATAAAACTCTGAAAGTTTACCTTTCAACTAACGACCAAATAAATACAGGTAAGGGGGAAAAATCCTGGTTAGAAGCCTTGAATTATATTATTTACTCTTATTTCTTCTTTCTCTATTTCTTTTTCACTCTCTTTCTCAATCTCTACCCCCACACTTTCTGTCACTATTCAATATTGATTATCTTTTAAAACTTTTTTAATACTACTTGGATTAGGGAATGAAATTAAATAAAGTCAATGTGATCAGAAAATAGAGATTTAGGCCTAATATCGTATAATGATTAGAACATTGAATTTCTTATATTTGGCTGTATTTGATATATATTTAATATATATTCTTGATAAAAGTTTTATTATCACAGTACATTGTTGGCACAGTTTTTTTTAATTGAAAAAACATCCTATATTAGGTGGGTGGAGCCACTTTTTCAATAGTACTCCTAACCAAACTTCGAAGTTCTGTTGCTTCTTGCATTGTATCGATTTTTGCTTTGTTATATCGTCTTTCAATCTGTATGATGAGTTTTCAACAAGTAAAATTTTCGTGAACTTTGACACAATGTGGAAATTGATATATTGAGCTATTCAAGCTACCTTGAATGCAAAATTTATAAACTTATAAACTTACCCTTTTTAACAATTTAGCCGCGTCGGGAAAGTCTTTTGCTAATTTATCATCTTTCAAGGTGTCAGTTAGCGGTGCTTCCTTATATGTTTTTCTATTCTTCATTTGTTTAAGAGCCTCCTCTTTTTGTTTTAATCGGCTCTTTCTGGGATTTACTTCAGCGGGTGGGCGCGGCTAGATGTAACAAAAAAAATGTAATATTTTAGCTCTCAAAGAGGGTGGAAACTTTTAAACACCTTCATTTCCGGTCTGAAGGGTACTTGAGGTCTGCGTAAGGAGATGTTGCGTTCTTTCAATTGTAAAGGATGATTAAGCAGGTAGTTCAATGCTCGTACATTGGCGGCAACGTCTTAAAGTTAAGCAAATTGTAACAATTGAAGATCAGCTTTCAAGAGTAAAATAGAAAGTAAAAGTAAGCAAACATACCGGATTTATCAGGCAAGTTAACTGTGTCTACTGCGAGTTGCTCATCCTCTGTCATCTCCAACAGTTCCATTAACTTTTCTTTATCACTTTTAATTGGTGTCTGCCCTTTGTATTTCTCATTCTTTCTCTCTTTATCATCTCGCTTTCCCGAGCCTTGCTCTGAGAGCTCTTCAATTGGTTCTTCTAATTGCGTCATAAAGAATGCATCGCCATTTTCGCCAATAAGATTTTGTCCTTCTACTGTATGCGGTCCAGAGTCAGGAGTTCTGTAATCTCCATAGTTAATTACATCCGACCCTTCTTCATAGTCCTCGTAGTCGTCGTAATATTCATCATGCTCCTGTTTATTCTCTTCCGTATTAGGGCTTTGGGGAATTGGCGGGAGAGGCTGCTTCGTTGGGGAAGATAATAAATTTAACGGGGGCGTTGGCGCCTCAATAGCCAATAAATCTTCGACGGGAACTTTACGAACTTTTCGAACTTTACCAGATACAAATCTCTCCTTTTTAGTGGGTATTTCTATAGTAGGCTTAATAGATTTTGGAGGCTCCTTTCTAATTAACTGTATGCCAAGATGATCTACGAGAAATTGTTTCAACAAAGCAGGATCTCCAGAATGTTCGGTTACTAAAGGATTTCCATGCACAAGCAATTCTTGCACATTGGGCCAAGCAGCAACAGGCATCAAAGCTTCCTCTCGTGTAATCTTTCAGAGACATTAATAACAAATCATAATAAATTAAATATTAAAAATAGAATAAAGATGCTTTTTAAGGGAAAAAAACGTTTTAAAAATGCTAAATAAACACTAACCAAATTATGGCCCATATTTAATAATCTTAACGAAAGGAAAGGTGGTGGAAGACTGTCCTTTAATTGTTCTTCAATTTCTTCCTGTTCTATTTTCTCGTCAACCTCATTGAGATCAAGGGCCTCCAGCTCTCCCATTAACGATTCCCCTTTAATAAAATAAGCTCGATTAATACTTACATGTTATATTTAGACGACAGCTTATAGTGTTAAAACTTACTCAACGGTGTCGGATTTGATGGAGAACTAGCAGCTTTAGATTGAGGAGCTGATAAACAAGTTTGTTTTTTATTATCTGGTCCATTTGTATGTTCTCTGGCACTCTTTGATTTATTTAACGGAATACTATCTTTCGTAATATGACGGCCTTCAGCAATTAATAAATGTGGTACAAATTCGAATTTATTTCGAGATAAATCTAATTCTTTTAATCTTTTATAAAAGAATATTACAGAGAGTTAATCATTTAATGTTTAAAATTTAGATCAAAGCATTTTAATGCTTTTATACTTACTCAGTTAAGCCAGCCAGAGGACCAAAATTCTCCATGTCTGACATACTATTGTCGTCTAGCAGTAATACCTCTAAATTTGGAAATCTTTTGAAACTTGATTGGCCAATAACGAATGGTCTACTCATATCCAAAGGTAATCTCTCTATATTATTCGAAGATAAATGCAAAACTTGTAAGTTCCTTAGTACACCCAAGTATAGTATATCGTCTCTGCTAAGATTATTATAGGAAACGTCCAAAACCCTAAGCTCATTGAAGTTTTCTGGTGATATCTTAATATTTCTTAAGCCATTTAAAGATAACTCCAATTCCCTCATCATAGAGAAGTTTTTTAACGATTCCAACTGTAGTACGTTATCAGCAGCATTTACGTAAATAACATTATCAAATAATACTAAATCATCCTCTTTCACGTCTGTTAAGCCACAGCCACTTATGTTAACTGAGCATAGATCTGTTGGATCTTCTACAAAGCAATGCTTTAACTATTTTCAGAGAAGGAAAGAGTTTATTATTTAATTTATATATGAGATTGAGGAGTTTCATTTGCTTACTTACCAAAAAGAAACCGTCCAATATTTTTATGTCATCCTCGTCATCGTTATCTTTCCTTGAAGTAGCTGGAGGAACTGAAGGCGCTTGAAAGTCTGTCCCTGTTCTTTCAGCTTTTTTACGCTCCTCTCTTATATCCTCGAAAGTTCTTGGATTGGCACATAATACTGCTTTAAATCGTCTTCTTTGCTCCGCTTTTTGTTCTACTACCCAAGCTCCTACAAAAGAATATTAAGCGAAATAAATGATCTGAACGAAATCAAGTAAACATTATCATATATAAGTCAAAGATGAAAAATTATTTTTCTAGATTTGAATAGTCGCATGAAATTTACCTCCACTACTATTATAGTTTCTAACGGGGAAACAATTTGTTATAGAATGACCAGATCCATCATCAAATTTAATTCCAGTTGTTGCCGCCATGACAACGGCTGGAATATATTCCACTTTGACAACAGTGATCTGGAAAATGCTTATGAACTGGAAACCTTGTTAATATTCTCTCTAATATCTAAAAACTGGTGTTGGAGAATAGGACTATTTTGGAAAAAATTGAATTTTAATTTTGTTCGATCTTGTATTCTTATTTTGGATAGAAATAACTTTTGAAAGAAATTTTCTTGATTTGATTCATATAGCTATAAAAAATTCTCTCCATTGCCTAGGCAAATATGGTAAATTCCAATACTTTAAGAGAAAAAGCAGTAATATATTGCAAAATTTTAATTAATATTATTGCAGGATGATCCATCAGATCCAACTACTCCCATCGAACCGAAGAGACCTTTTTTTGCTCGATTTTCAGTTGCAATAATTGAAGCTATAAAAGATGGTGAACGTCTTCTCTTTAAAATTATAACTAAATCACTAACAACCGGCGAAGATTTCGAAACCGTTCGCGAATATGACGATTTTGAATACTTAAATCATTGTATAAATGTCAAAGATGAAAATCGATGTCGGATTATACCTCCATTACCAGCCAGGCCTATAGTTGATGCAAAATCAGCTCAAATGCAATCAAAAAAGATGCTTGGTAGGCGTCTAAAATGTGTAATTAAGGATGAATACGAAAAGGATTGTAGAAGTCTGGAAAAATATCTCAGTCTTCTTATAGATCATCCAGTTTTTGGAGCGGATCCTATATTAGATAGATTTTTAACTTTGGAAAAAGCACCGCCTTGCGTGGCAATCTCCCGAATAAAATCTAAAATGGTCGACGCAAAAAAATTCAATCATACGGTAATTTTACAATAATGCCAATTGTCTTTTTGGAAAATATGTTATTTTACAGGACATCGACGACTATTTTGCTTACCAACGGGTTTGGATGACCAATTACAAAGAGTACATTAGTCAAGCCTTAAACGTAAGCCTATAAATCTGTTAAAAAATTAATGATGAAAATTTTATCGTTACAGGATTACTCGGCTTATAAAAATGCTGAACAACGTCAGTAAAGATTCTCGAAATAAATATATAACTAAACCTTTCTCAGCGTATTAGTTTGAATGGACTGTTTTTAAATTTTCAGGTGTTTTACATTCCTATCACGAAATGGCGTCACAATTTAATCTAATCAATTCCTGCGAATCTCTCGTTAACAAAAATGAAACTCTGTAAGCTTACAATACTAATAATTTATTGAAATAGAACTTTTAGTTCTATTCTGAAAAATATTTACATAAAATATAAATATATACATATATTTAATATACATTTATATACTGTATATATATATATTTACTGTATACTATAGGATTTTCAATGAAATATCAACAATCCTTCAAAGTTTGCAAAAATGCATTTCTGTTGGCATATACAACGATGAATATACCTTTGGATTTCATCTGGATTTATATAACAGATACGTGGACTCTTGTCAAGTAAGCATTTTACAAAATAGATGATTAATTTTACAAATAACACAAGCCTTTTGATTAGAGTAAAATTAATTTGTACACTCATTAACATAGTACTCATGAATCACCCTTTGGAGTATGATGAATAATTGTTTTCACCCCTATAGTATGACACACGCCAACTGCCAGATTATTTTACCGTTATACAAGACTCAATATGTTTAAATTTGTTCCCTAACAAGTAATTATAATGATGAGGGAATCTCTAATGAGGAAGGGCTATTGAATTGTTAGTTTTAATCTCTTTAGTAGAGTGAGGGAGTCTATGGAAGAATAATAGACTCTTAAATAGAGAGTTAATGTCAAACTTGAACACATATTTACTCTGAAAAACCACTTCCGGAATTCGATAGAAGACCCACTAGGGCGAAGCATCAATCTCTAAAGCCTCTGATTACGTAAGGGTCTAATTGAGAGTTGCATTGTAAAATTTTCTCGTCCAGATGGGCAATGTTCGTCCGATTTAGTCGCCTATAATTATAGAATTAGAACATGCTTTTGTCATGAGCAAAGACCTTTATTTTGCATCTACTGAAAGTATATGACAACGCCCCAACTTTTTACTAACTTCCGTCTCTTTCACTCTTTCCTGGTATGTCTTATATGATCCGACAGTCTAGTTAGACGAAAACCCTTTCCGTTATATTGTTTTCCCATTCAAAACCTAATGGAGCGCGTATTTTTATAGATTAGGAGAGTTTGCATAAATAAAATTTCCTTTTCAATCACCACCCAAATAGGATGTTTATAAACCAATTCCAAATACTTTATGGCCAACCTTTTTCGTCTGACGACTGTTCAATTTTATCATGCCATTTCCGGTTATCGTTACGCCGTGATTACCCGTTCAAAGATATATTTATGTCATATAAATCACCAAAATTGTCGATACGTAAAATGTCAACCCTATATAGGGAGTTTTGAGCATTATTTATTGAAAAATAAAAAAAAAACAAAGAAATTATGAAGGTGTACAAGTCCAAATATTTTTTATCCGTAGAATGATATTGTCAAAAGTAAAAAATAATGACATTTTCTTCTTTCCTATCATTCTAGGAAATACTTAACGATAGAACAGTTTTATTGATGGATTATGAAGAAGCAAACGCTAATTTGGCTAAAGCTAAACCGGGTGGTTTGGTTGTTGTAAGTATTTTTTTTTCTCACCATATATACAGACAGCTAACTTGAATATGCTATATTGTCATAAGCACCTGATTCTGTTACATTTATTATTGTCCTATGTTTTGGTTGTTCATGCACCTCAGCTAATGTTATCATATTGCTGCGGACGGGTGTTGGAGGTTCGCTGTCATCAAAACCTTCATAGATTTCATTGAAGCATTCCAGAGCTTTCCTTTCTTCGGGTCCTATACTAGGACGACGTTGTATTGATTTAGTAGGCGGAGGGGGTGGTGGTGGAGAGACTGGCGAAGCTCGAACAAAGAAAACTTCTGGGTTATGAAGTGATTGAACGTTTCCATTTGGAATTTGCCCATTTAGCATAGCCTCTGCTTTACTGCTTAAATGTTCTTCAACGGCTGACAGTTCATGAGCATGTAACATTTTCGGGCGATTAGAAAAGTACTCCGTTTTCAATTTTCGGCTCCGTTTCAGTCGTAGAATAATAGCTAGTATGATCAGGAAAATTATAGGGCCAGAACCGCCAATGGCTAGTAAAATAAATGAGAAAGTCTCAATCGTTAGACCGGCAATCGTCCTTTCAGTTGGTGGAGGTGGTAGAGTGGTATTCAGAATCGTTGTAGACATAACTCGATTCAGACATCTTCTCTAAGCCCATAAATCTTTTCTGATGAGCAGTTTTTATAGTGATTTTTTATTTATTTTTTGTATTCCGTAGCAGTATTTTACAAGATATTTTCTAGCAACAGCTGCAATACGTACAGCGTGTATACACCTATACGGCAGGAATGATTGCAGTCGACGCTCTCCATTGGCTATATTAAACCACGTGATCAATGTCATTGATTGCTACCTGGTGCTCGGCGTCGATGAATCATAACTGATGAAAGAAAGCATCTCTTTTAAACGTTTATTAAGTTAAATAGAAGAAAATTAATGACATATTTTTTCGTATTTTGACTGTTTTGTCAAAATATATAGGCTAATGAAAGAAAAGATGCCGTTGAGAAGGATTTGGAACATTTCTCAGACGTTGCTAAAAAGGAAGTCTGTATAATATTCGCTTGATACCATATTACCAAAACTTAACTATCTGTATTTTTAAATTAGTTATTTCTCTTCCATCGACAAAAATTGCAAGCATACGAAGATGCCCTTAGCCTCTATGCTGAAGCAAAAATAAGGACTGCCAACGACACAATAGAAGTCCTTGGAAAAGCATTAAACAAACTGGGAGCGTAGTAAAAAAATATTCGTTAGATGGCGTTAGAATATATTTATAAAAAATTTCTTTAAATGCTTAAAGAACAAGAAAGAACACATGCAGGAAAAGAAGAATAGTTTGTTTACTGTTCTTTACAATTTAAACCTCACCAAGAACTTTAATTGAAAAATTTGCACTAGTCCTTTGATGTAAATTAGAATTGAAAAGTTCCAATCGTTTACGTATCTCCCTTTTCCTTCTTTTCGGTAACCTTTTATCATTATTCTGTCTAAGAGCGGCCTTTGGTAAACCATGCTTATCGTAAAAGTATATATGGTCTTCATCCTCTCTTGTCCAAGTAGCTTCACTCCTTCTAGGTTTCCTGCGAACAGTTGGAATTTCAGGAACTCTGAACTGTCCATGTTCATCACGTTTAATACGTTGACAGAGATTTCCATTTAATTTATCATATTTTAATATCTTTCTGGCAATATGAGGAATGGTGTTGAACGTTGGCTGTTCGACATCGTAATATTCGTAATTATCAGTGGTGGGTCTGCTTGAACCGGAATCAGTTATCTGTATCGAATAACGCAATGTGTATTTTATTAGCGTCTGAACAAAGAAGATATTCTGTTAAAGTAATTATCAACTTACATTAGGTGAGTTAACCGGTGCTATTGGAGATTGATTTGATTCTGGACTATCTGTATTTGATGTAGTTGTTGTTGCAATAGATAGAGGCCGCTGAGGTTCCTTAGAGTCTCTTGTTGCGTTAACAGATGATTTCGAAGCCTTTGATGACTCGAACAAATCAGATTCAGAGAGCCCGATCATTCCCCTGGGGTGCCCGCCCAAAGAGGTTTGTCCAGTTTGTCTACGTAGCACACGCATACGGGCGACAGTGGAATCGTAAACATGAATAACATCGTGGTGATCGCTCAAGTGATCTTCTGTGTCGGCGCATTCACTTAAGTATGAACTATCGTAATCGGTGGGAACCAAGAGTTTGTTATTTTCCAGTACATCTTCTCGTTCATCGTCCGCATCATCAGAATTATTCGGTCTAATATGTTCAAATATACAAGGGCCACCGAAAGTAGGATGCAAACCGTGCTCTTTGCACAATCCCGGTGCTGCGGAGCCTGAACTGGAACTCCTAGAAGTTGAACTACCGCTAAAGCTATCGCTTCTTATCGCAGCCTTGTCAAGTGTTTTAACACTATCATCTTCTTCTAAGCGTTTCTTACAATTATCTGCTGCGGTTGTTCTATTCTCAGATATGAGAGTAGAATGAAGTGGATAATTGAGTGTCGAATGAAGAGGATAGGTATTTCTGTCAACAGACGATCTCGAAATATCAGATATTTCGTGCAAAGACGGCAAAGTACTATTCGGCGATAGGTACATTTGATTAATAGCGTCGGAGGTAGCATATTTCGTGCGTAAGACTGAAGCCGGAGAACAATTCCACAAACTACTTTCCTCTGCTGCGCCATCGGCATTTTCCGTTCTAATATTCACGTAATCGTTTGAAGGTATGCCAGGAGGTTTAAGTTGCACGTATTCACCGTCGCTGTAATAATTTTTCTCCCTATAACCCACAACGTTGTTGTTATTCTGTCTCTCTTCTCTAATTGGTGTTAATCGGCCATTAGGTGAAATTTTAGAAGCAGAACAAGTGCACTTTCTATTAGGTGTTTTGGTAATTTTTTCTTCCAATTCAGGGTCGGTGTTCTCTTTATCCCTTTTGTATGCGTTACGGGCTCTTAACCGCGCTTTTCGCGCCTCGTACATGGCTCTAATACGGGCTCTTGATGCTGGTAGACTAGAATCCTCGTCAATAGAAGTTTTTATTTTTGGTAATCTACCATTCGATTCAAATGTATCTTGCATTTGCAAAACATTTAGGAAGGCTTCTTTTATTGAGTTGACCTCGAGTTTAATCCGAAGACTTTCTTGCACGATCTCCAACTGTTTGAAGAGAAGCAATTGAAAAGATTTAAAATACGCGAACCTATATGAGTTGACATATGCATATGCATGTGTTTATAATAGCCTTTCCCTCCCCCTTTCCTACCCGCCCAATCGAGTCAACAATACTCGAACTATATAGTATCCTTTCGGTTCGAAACAATGTCAATATTTGTGTATTTACTTAAATCGTTCCCTAACTCTCGTTTGCCCAGCGAAAGCGGCGCGTGGGAAGACAACCGCACAGAAATTTTCTTTATCCCCTCTTTCTCTTCTTGACGCCCCGGCCCCCTCCCTCCAATGGCTTTCCCCTTTATAGTTATACCACAACTGCCAGATTATATTTTATTATAGTAGCGTCTGTTTCTCGTCACGACCGCAAATTAATGATAGCGAATGTGATGGAAATGTAATTATAGTACAATTATATCTTACCATACGCGTCTTCGTCTGGAAATACGACGTTTTAAGGCAATCATCTTTCGGTTCCATCTCGTTCAAACGGCTGTGAAAATAAGTACTTGTTTAAATAGTCCTATTCAATATGCAGACCCATACTCTATTATTTAACCAAAAAAGCGTATAGTAAAAGGAAACTAGACGATTATTTTACTTTGGTCGCGAGCGTTCAACTAGAAATTTTTCCATTTGAAAGGCAAATAATAACAATCTACATTCCCCTTTATTTTTTTAATGCCCTTTAACATTTCTTCAACTATACTATTTCTCACGATAAACAATCTTGTCTCGTCTTTTAATTGAAGGGAGCGAAAAAGATAAAATTCATCGAATTCATTTTTTTCACCGAACCTAAATTACTAGGCAGGTTCTAAACTTAATCGAGTTTAAACGAGCCGCTCGATCATTTTTAGCGATGCGAGTAAAATAAAATGGAATTTGAATTATTTCAACCAAACGGGAACGCATCCGGGCTCATTGTCTACGTACACTTTCGCGACTTTGCATAAAAATGTAAAGAAAACATAAAAAGAAATTGAAATTTACAATGCAGGTGTATGAAATAATAACAATGACGAGACACGGAAATAGGCCAATACCAAATTTTTTTTTTCAATATGCTTTTTTTCTAAGGTTGTAAAGGGCAAGTTTACATTTTTTACGTCTTATTGTAGTTTTATTTCACTTGAGTTGCTCCTTCTTTATCTGACTCAAGTGTCTGCGGAACAAATTGTTCCAATTGGTTATTTTTTTGTAAGTTTTAATCGTAATACAAAATTTAACTACTCGAAACGTTTGCATTTCTTCTCTGGGCTAATAAGTTCGTTTATCGTCTTACGTAATGCATCCGTAATTTTATTCAATTAAATTACGCGCGACATCCGCCCATTCTTTGAGTGCATAGGAATCTTAAGACCCATTCCTATTAGTTAGAGAGTGTATAAATAACGAAGTCGAATTAGTAGCCCCCTTTCTATACAGTTAACGCCTGCCATCAGTTCCCTACCATCTTACGAAAAACAAAATGGCGGACAAAGGTATACATAACAACCATTAACGGGAAATTGAGTGACCGTGAAAACTGGTGAAAGTGGACAATTTTACGTCTGCTCTAAATCAAACAGTCGTTAAAGTATTTACTTTGATTAAACGCTAATTAGACATTTCTCAAGCACACTAATAACGATAAAAAAATAAGAAAATTAAATCACGCAAGATCCTATACTCTAAAATTGCTACTTTTTTGTAAATCTAAACGATCGTTAGCATCCACTGGTTGATGGAGTTTAACGCGGGATTAAAGTTACTTAATAATCAGATATTCAGTACAAACCTATATGAAGACTCTGTTTAAAATTCCTTAAACAACATTAGGTGGTAAATATCCGTCTAACAAGTTACAAAATATTAAAGTTATAGCAAAAAACCAATCATTCCATCTCAGCTGATATGGTCAGCGCCACCGGCTCAAATGAATAGGGCGCATTGGAACAAAGCGCATTGAAAGCGGATCACGTGATATCTGATTGGCCGTTTCTCAACCAATCACAATTCAGTTCGTTACTGTATTGAATTATATTTTAAGTATAATGACAGTTGTACTAGGCCAATTTGAGACACCGATTAGAGTTTCATAGTCAAGTGTTTTATCAAAAGGTTAGAAAGGAAAAACTTCATAATAAAAGGCAATAAAAACCTGCTAAAAATCGGTATAGTATCTACGCAGTCCTCACGCCGGTTTAGTGAAGCGTTCATTAAACAGTCTAAGTGACCGTGTGTTTTTAAAAAGATTGCATTTGACCCCTTTAAAAAACAATCAAAGTGGCAGACGTCAGAGTAGAGGTGACAATTAACATAATTAATCACCGGTGAAGTCCCTAATTTCAGAAAGACAATAAAAAAAGGTCTACGTAGACGCAAAATAAGTTATACATCAATTGAAAAAAAAAAACGAAGAAAATCTAAATGCCCTCATCTTCATCTCTTCATCCTTATCTCTAAGATCATAGCACACAGCCTATTTACACATGTTTGGATTTTTTTAGGTCGAACCTGGGGAATAATAATGATAATAATAATAGAATATCAAAGGAAAATCATGTATGAAACTCAGCTCCCATGTTTTTGCAAATATGAAACTTTTTATCTAAGTATAGCACGGTTAACTGACTGTACGTATATTTTGTATATACAGTATATATATATATATATATTGATACAGCAGTAAAATTTTATATATTTGGTATACAGTTTAGATTGTATATTCTATTGCACGCGTGTACAACCAACAATAAAAGAAGAGCAAAGAAATAAAATACTATAAATAAAGTAAGAACGGCCCTTAACAAGAGACATCAGCACGTGGCCGTTCTTGCACACGACGAATTGATATTTTTAGATCCATTAAAGAGTTTTTTAGAAAGTGAGCATCGGTATGAAATTCATGTTCCATATAGCTTTTTTTGCCTATGGCCATATTTAAGAGAGTATAAGGGGAGAACCTTCACTTAACAAGGGATTAAGCAATTCACTCATTAAGAACCGCCGAAACGAACTTAAGTTAGTATTTGGTATTAGTCAATTGGTGCATAGAGATTGAAGAAGTTTGGAAAATACCGTCTAAAAATTTGCCCAAAGCAAGAAAAATGATAGTAGTAAGGCGAAAATTTGTAAGTAAAGTAGCTTTGAAGGTGACGTAATCGTCCTTTTCCGCCTCTGGCGTCCTGAAGCGTCCAGAACTGCGGGCGTGCGTATATAACGGGAATGTTGCGTTTTTCGAAACGATTTCTTTATTAATGAGAATAATCGATCTTCGGTACCTGCTTTTTTCTTTTGATTGATAAAAAACGAAGAATGGAGGAAAGAAAAGGCTTTTCTTCCATCAAAAGATTTGGAAAACAGATAAGCGATGGAAAATAAATGAAGAAAATAACGAATGAATAATTAAGAAAAGTCGTATCGTCCTCATAATTATATCGTGAGAGCTTCGACGGCCACCTGACGCCTGCTTTACGTGCGGAACGCGTACAGATCAAATGAAGACAGAGTGTTCCGCCCAAACTGATTATTTACTTTCATTGTTTTTACCTATTCTGCACGCGATTATCGAACGCATGCAGTGAAATTGCGGCCATCAAAGTGACGCCCATAACACTCGAAAGAATCGGACGAAAAGCCTCTTCCGTTCGGACTTGATCGTTCGATCAACGGGGAGCAGACACTCGGCCTCTTCCTGTACTTTTAATTTTACTTCTGACCGAACACTTCAAACGGATTGCGTATTGCGGATTGCGGATTGTAATAGGCGTTACACTTTCCTTTCCGCTTTTCATTCTCTGTCTCTAGTGTAACTCATGCCACTTACCGTTTTTCGCAAAACTCAAGCCAAATTTCATACGTTCTCATAATCACTAGACAAACGTTGGAAATGAGACGTTCCTAAGATAAGGAACTGAATAAAAGCCTGTTAAATGGCTATTGGCGGTCGGATTATCATAATAAATTTCAACATAAATCTTGTACTCTTTTTGTATTCCGTCATATATTAAATACAACGCCATCTACAGTTTAAAAATTACCAAGCGTCGTCTAAAAGAGTCTTTTGCTCGACTTTCATTCTAACATTTTTCCGTTTAGACGTTTTCGAAGTAGATTCTAACCAATATGTTTGCATTATTCCTTTGCCCTTTACTTGAATTTCTCCTCTGTACTTAAGTACATACCAGCCAGCGCTTGCTAGGGCTTCTTGAAATGCACCCGATACGTGAATTTTGGCAGCTATTAAAGAAAAGCGAAATTAGTCTTAAATCAAAAGCAATGAAGGTTAATTAAAAATTGAACCGGATCCTGATGATTGCATCCTGCTGGCTGTGTTAACCGTATCTCCGAACAAACAATATCTGGGACATTTGTTACCAACTACACCACCAACTACTGAACCGCAGTGAGCCCCAATTCTTAGTAGCAGGTTTCTTTCTGGTAGGTGAGGGATGACGAAATCTTCTGTAGCATCTTTTACGTCCAAAGCTAGGTTGGCAACTTCCTTTGCATGACCATCCGATCTTATCGGAACACCTGCGGCTACCATGTAAACGCTCCCAACTGTCTCTACTTTATAAACGTCGTGCAATTCGATCTTGGCATCGATAAAATTGTAGACATTATTCAATAGTGTAATTAGATCCATTGGTTTAGATAGACTAGAGATTTCTTGGAAATTAGCGATATCCGTAAACATGATTGATACTGAGTGATAGAATTCGGCACTAACAGGCTTACCTGACCTCAGAGCCTTAGCAACCAGTTTAGGAAGCATTTCGTTAAGTAACAATTCAGTTTTTCTTCTCTCTTTCTTTAATTCGTTCGCTCTATTAGAGAAATTCTTGGAAACCATTTTGAGATTTCTTATCGTAACTGAGCAGTTAACGAAAAGGAACACACAAATTGGAATATTGATTAAAAATAGAAGACTTTGTATAATAAGTTCAATTTTAAACGATCTACGACTGCTTTCGAGCGAATTTTCGATTTCCTTTTCGACTGCAGATAATAAAAACTGAAGTGAGGATAGTGATTTATTAAACAAGCAGTAGTCTTCCTCCGTCTTATCTAATTCCTTAACAATATCCCAACATAAGAGATATCGTTCCTGATAATTATCAGACGGTGATCGATAAATTAGTTCCAATTTCTGCAAGTAATACCTTCTATATAGAAGATATGTCTCGTCGGGCTCTTCTCTTGACAACTTATGTACAATATCCACCACTTTGTAAATAATAAAAACATTTAAAACTATAAGAGGAAGTACAGGTATCAATGTTAATCTAATCGCTTGAAGTCGGCGTCCCTTTAAAGATGTTGGTTCAGAAAAGCAAAGATCCAGCTTTTTCCTCTTTTTCTTAGACTCATCTTCTTCACTGCTTATCGAGAAGAACGAATATTGGCTACCGAACGACGTTGCGGATACGGAAGAGAGTTCTCCGTCCATCGTGACGACGACTAAGAAACGGCGTAGCAGGTAAGTGGGTTTTCCGACTAATTGGCACGCGCGTTTGATGTTAAGCTTTAGTGCATATCCGGTACTGCTCTGTTCGTAGGCCTAAGTAATTACTAAAAACTTACACTTTCAACATTTTATGCAGAAACTCTATTGATATTTCGTTTTGTTGCATATTTATTAATAAGACGTAAAATATGAATATATCATGTATGACATATAAAGATTAAAGGAAAAGGTCTACTGAGCAGTTTGTCTATTCAATTACGATATATACAAGTCTTTTTTTATTGCCTTTATACAAACAGATCAAAAGTCTTTCTCAATCAGTCGACTAGTCAATTTCCTCAACCAGACAGCAGCGTCAGAACTTCTTGCTCTACTTTCACACACTACTACAAGAATTAAAAGTTTCGATCGAGATACGATAAAATACTTGGAACCGTTGAAGGCGATTAGCTGTCGTTCGTCTCTTAATCTTATCACATAGCTCACGCCCTCTATTGAGATGATGCTTGAATCAGTATCGAAATGTTGATTGAGAATCTGAAATGAACAAAACATATAATTTATACTATATATATATATAAAAAAGTATGAATTACTTTTATATTTAATTAATATTGATTAGATTGTGGTATTGGTTGTTCTATAACAGGGACATAATGTAGTATAAAAAAAACTTTTCGTCTTATATCACCGATCACGTGCTATGCATCAGACGATTGTCGAATATTTGTGTCTAATTATGTAGCTATTATACCGTACGTATATACTTACAGATATTTCTTTTGTCTGAACCGAAAAATCGTTCGTAGAAGCAATTAATTTTCCGTCTTCCCGTTTAAAAAATGCCGCTTTACTTAATCGAAACGTTTCTTTTTCGTTCATTATATGCTTTATCCACATTTGCCAAGTTTTCGTTGGACGGTCGCTCATTAGGTTGTAAATTCCGAGCATTTTCTTTGTTCTGAAAAGAATAGCCCTGTCGGTGCCATCGCTTATCGTATACGTGCTTTTTTTTTTCCTTTTATTTAGGAGTGTTAGATTCAAATCTCTACAAACGAACTTTCACTTCACATTACTATTTTTTTAAAGTAGTTTCTTTTACTTCTTAGTCTTTTTTTTAAATACTAAAAAGTTCGTTTCGTTTGGATTGTTTTTAATAAAAGAAACAAAAAAAAATAGCATAAAAAAAACATTCCTTACCTTATTTATTATCTTTTTATCGATGAGATGAACCAAAAATCAGGTAGAGAAGGGATGAAGGGAGATTTTACGTAGGGAAGAAGTATATGTCTTGCACTGGTAACAAGACAATTAAATTTTTCCCAGGCAAAAATAATATTAATTAGTCAACTTCTTAGGTAAAAGGGAAAGGTCCGACTAGGAAGACTAATAAAGAAACAAGTTGTATAGATAATTTATAGATATTCCGAAGGAGCTTAAGGAGCTGCTAATTTGTAAATGATTAGAGATAAACACTAAACGGCACCGTCTGACCTTGATAATGATTGGATAAAAAATATATTTATATAATTTTTGAATTAATATTTTTTGCTATCTGTTATATAAACTATCACTCATAATTTAGTTAAGACTTATGTGAAAAAATTTCCTGATAAGCCTTCTTTTGGCTGACGCAAGAACAATGGAATTTTACAGAACACACGTGTTTAACTACACTATAAATAGAGTCCCAGATTTTTACTATTTTTGCGTGATCATGCTGTCTGGTAATAACTTTTTAAATATTTACTTGTTTTTCTCCAGAAACTCAACTATCTCCAATATTTTGCTATAATAGGCCTAAAAAGGTATATTTCGCGATTAGAGACCAAAACAGACGATAGATGGCCCTTCGGAAAGTGGTAGTGCTTGGTACAGGGTCTTTGTTGCAGTTGAATAGTATTGCAAAAAGCCTACGCAGTTTGGAGAAAAACACAATATTTCTATGCGGATTTCTTGATTTTATTGTTTTTTTTATTGTTAAACACCTTCTTGATTTTATAAATGGAACAAAAATGAATCTCAGCTTAATACTCATTCTGGTTTTACTGTATATTTCGAAGATAATATGTGAAGATGTCTGCCAAACAAGAGAGTGTTTAACTAAGTGTAGTGAACTTGGATATTCCTTGACTGATAGTTGTCCAACGTGTCATTGTAATCAGAGAAAGGGTTGTCCACCTGTCCGCTGTGTTATAACATGTAAATTTGGAAGAAAACAAGATAGAAATGGTTGTGAATATTGTAGGTGTCAGGATCCATGTAAAGAGGGAGTTCATATGGTAGTATTAAAATACTTATTTACTCCTACCAGTTTATAAAATCGGTTCATTTTACAAACAGAAAAATTGTCCGGAAAAACACTATTGTAAAGCAGATTTTGATTGTAATGAGATTCACTGCAAAATTAGAACACAGTGTATAAGTAAGCACAATTTTATCGATATTTATCATGACTCATTACTGCTTATTACCTTAGAAATTGGGAGTTTTCCAGAAGATCTAACAACTTCGACTGTACATCAGTTCAGACCTTCTTTTAAAGGTGTCCCTGGTAGACCTGGACCAGATGGACCGACTCGTCAAGATGTAACAAATGCTCTACCTCCAAATCCTCCTGCACCTATTCCTTCACCAACCAAACCAGGGATTAGTCAGGAATGTAAATGCCGAAATAATCAAAAATGCGATTGTACAACAATAGGGGACGAAATAATGAAATCAACTTTTAAGGGTCATGGGTTTTATTCATCTGATATGTCCCCAGATATTTCTACGAAAGAGAGACATCCAGCTTCACCACAATTGACTAACGAGGATGTGGATAAAAAATTACAAACTATTCACTTTCCTACATATTTATATGCTTCCTTAGCTTCTGTTTTAGGAGCCAGTATATTAGGAATTGTTATTTTAACTATTGTTTTATATCGAAGAAGATATCCGAAAGAGATTGATATACAGGAAGAAGAATTAACAAAGGAGACGGAGTCAGCAACTTCTTCCGAAGCTAATCATAAGAAAGATATGACTACAGCACATTTAGCAACACAGGTTTAATCTTTGAAAGAAAAAGCATTTCAATTGATATTATATTTGTTATTACAAAATGTATATAAATCATATTTTTTCGAATATCACAATAACATAAAAAAAGATGGAAAAAATCATAGCAAAATTTTGTAAAAATCTGTTTAAAACTTTAAAAAATTCTTAGGACATATCCCCACTTTATGACTAACTTGACCTTTAACCCACTCATTGTTAATATCTTCTAAAATTATTATCGAATCTCCTTGTTTAAAAGAAAGATCACCTTCAACATTAGATTCGTAATCAAATTCGGCACAGGCGATCTTTTCATTAGGAATTATATGGACAAAATTAGATGGGAAGAGACCGGTTGATCCATTAGAACTTTGTCCTTTCATCCAATTATCATCAATAAATTCTGTAATATTAATAACTTCGCCTTTTTTGAATTGAAGATCTTCTGACGCGTCAGATATATAGTCGTATTCGGCAATAGCAATTCTTATCTAAATATTTTGAACAGAAATAAAGTTATTTAAATTTTGAAAATAAAAATGGTATGTGTAAATATTTACATCTTTTTTTATCAGACTTTGCTTTTTATCATTTTTTAAATTATCCAAAATCGGAGACTGCAATTCCACAAATGACAGTGGAAAACTTCCTATCGAATCGTTCAATTCTCCAATTAGCCATTCATCGCTAATCCTATCAATAAGTCTTATTTTATCACCTTCTCTAAAAGATAGTTCAGTTGAGTTTTCTCCCGTAAAAGGAAATTTCGCATAGCAAACTTCAACTATAGGTTCAATAAAATACTGAGGTCTGCTTATGATATTCATATAATTCACTGGGCAGGAACCTTCTTTATCACCGTTTTTAGCATAGATCCACTTTGAATCAATACTTCTTTGTAAGAGTATTATATCACCTTTTTTGAAGGATAATTCATTGAGTTGTTTTGCGTTGTAATCAAGTATAGCTAATCCATGAGGTTCGGTCATTACACTTTTGTAAAGGGAAGTAGGACCGACTTTGTGCTTAATTTCCGGATTATTAGGCTTGGTTAGAGCTTTTGGTGGAGGAGGTCTAGGAGGTCTCTTCTTTTTCGTATTTAAGGAAATATGATTGTTATTCGCTCTTGACGGAGGCGATAAATTGTTATTACTTGCTGTTGTCTCCACTGATTCTGATGCGAAATTTGTGGTGCTATCATTTTGTCCAGCACTATTAGCCGATTCATTTAATCCTATTAGTTCAAATGGATTATTCTCCGCTAATCTAGTTCTATTTACTTCTTGCTCAGCTTTAGGCTTATTCGTATTATAAGTATTCGTAAAACTTCCAATAATTCGCAAATCTTTATATCTATCCACTAGAGAGCTAACATTTGAACGACTAGGTTGACTAGTTTCAGATCCATTGTTCTTAGGTACGCTTAATAAACCCATAGTTGAAGAAGATCTGGGCAGGCTAATTGGCGGCTGTGTTTCTTTCTCTGGACTAAAAGAGATTAAATTGCTTTTGGACTGAGCAGAAGCTACAGAAGATGCCTTTTGAATAAAATCTGAATTTGCTACACTGGCGGCTGCTGCTGGAGCTTTTTGAATAAAACCCGAATTTGCGACAAAGGCTGCTGCCTCTGGAGCCTTTTGTAGAAGACCCGAGTTTGCTGCGAAGGCTGCTGCTTCTGGAGCCTTTTGAATAAGACCAGAATTTGCTGCAAATGCTGCTGCTTCTGGAGCCTTTTGAAGAAGACCCGAGTTTGCTGCAAATGCTGCTGCTTCTGGAGCCTTTTGAATAAGACCAGAATTTGCTGCAAATGCTGCTGCTTCTGGAGCCTTTTGAAGAAGACCCGAGTTTGCTGCAAATGCTGCTGCTTCTGGAGCCTTTTGAATAAGACCAGAATTTGCTGCAAATGCTGCTGCTTCTGGAGCCTTTTGAAGAAGACCCGAGTTTGCTGCAAATGCTGCTGCTTCTGGAGCCTTTTGAATAAGACCAGAATTTGCTGCAAATGCTGCTGCTTCTGGAGCCTTTTGAAGAAGACCCGAGTTTGCTGCGAAGGCTGCTGCTTCTGGAGCCTTTTGAATAAGACCCGAATTTGCCGCAAAGGCTGCTGCTTGCGGAGCCTTTTGAATAAGACCCGAATTTGCCGCAAAGGCTGCTGCTTGCGGAGCCTTTTGAATAAGACCCGAATTTGCTACGCTTGAAGCTACGGATGGTGCTTGTCGAATAAGATTTGGATTTGAACTTGCAAAGCTCCTAGCTGCAGATGCAGTAGCCATTGTACTACTAATATTGTTATCGGAATGTGACGGAACAAGAGAGCGCGGTCTTGCCGCAGGGGCTCCGTTACGAGATATCGCGGCATCATTTAAGGCTGCTGAAGGTTTCGGTGATATTTTTGGTTTGACCGGTTTGGGAGGTTTAGGTAGTTTGCGAATAGCATTTATGGCTTCGTATGGAGGAGGTGGCTAAGATTTTTCAAACTTATGTCAGATCAATATATAAAAGATTAAAATAATATCAATACCTCAACAGATACCTCATAAGATGGTGGTCTAACTACAGCTGTTAGATACAGTAGATTAATTATTTATAGCCATCGTAAAAGTTAAGAACTTACGGGTAGAATGGGGATCTCTAGGAGGATGATTCCTAAATCCCACTTGACTGATAGGTTGGGATTGGACAACAGTTATGGTCCGTCTGTTGTTATGAAAGATTATATAGTTAGTTTCAAGTTGAAAGTATTTACAATTCACATTACTCACCTTGTGTTTGATTGTCTCATTTTCCCACAGAAACTTTTTATTAGAAAAATTATCTAATATTTAAAAAGGCACGATTTCAATAATAGTTTTTATCCCGAGCTTCTATAGTGAAAGATGAATAAAGGGTTGTAATTGGGTAACATTTTTACAACCTTTCATTACCTTTACAGAGTTTTAGAAATTCTACGTGAATCGTGAATGATAGTCTGCGTTTGAAATCAAATAGTAAACGTTACGAAGTTCAGAACGTTGGCGCCGATTTTATATCAATACAATTAGAACTTTGTTCAATTAGTCAATAAAATTCTTTAGACATCTGTTTTTATTTACATATTCCAAAATCAGTTTATAAAATTCACATTGACTACTTTTATGCAAATTTATCGTGTTACTGACGGGTGTACCATTGTTAATACATAATACAATCTTTTTTCTGAGCGACAATAGATTTGTACACTTATGCTCATACGAAGTGAAAAAAACAGCTGAACTTTGAACCATTCCTTTGTTCTAAAAAGTCTCTCTAACAATAGAATGGAAAATTTATAAAGGTTAGCATTTCGACCAATAAAAACGCGCATTTTAAACAAAGATTCTATTACTTTGTAATTTTTACTTTCTACAAGTTGGTTAAAAAAGGAAGCATGGAACTTTCAAGATTCTATAAAAAGAACGCTTTACACGAGGGAAATATTAACCGGATCAAGTCTCGAATTATTAAAGCTCTAAACGAACTTGATATTATTGAAGACTTTAAAACAGAAGGGTGTTATTACGTAGAAAGTTCTACAAGTATGTTTCATTTCCTATTGAATTCTTTATAAGTGTTTTTATTTTGCTTTTAGCTGAACATTCTGTTAAAATATATATAATCTAGTCTTTTCTTAGCATTAAATGATGTTCAAAAAGAGAAATTTCTTTGGATTATTCAAGAACCATTCAAAAATAATGAAATTACAAGTGAAAGTATCTTGAAATCGAAAGATTTCTCAAAAAGTCAACTATCTATAGAAATAGGACCAAGGTATATAATTATTCAATTACTTACTTCAAATTTTGTAGTAAATATGAATTTCTACTGAATTTGACTGTTTTCGAAGGTTGAACTTTTGTACTCCATTCAGTACAAATGTGGTTTCAATATGTCAGCAAATAGGCTTAAAAGAGATAAGTCGGGTGGAGACGTCGGTTATCTATTTAATAAAGACAAAGCGGATATTGGAAAAAGGAGAAAAATTGAAGGTGACACAAGCATTATATGACAAAATGACGGAATGCGTTTATGAGGAAACCCTAAAATCCTTTCAAGTACCTGTAAATCCCAATGAAGTTTTCGAAGTTGATATTCTGGGGGAAGGTCGATCTGCCTTAAAGAAAGTCAGCAACGATTTAGGCTTAGCTTTTGATGATTGGGATTTGGATTATTATACAAAATTATTTAGCGATAAAGTAGTTAAATTGAAGACTGTTTACTTCTGTAAAACTTTCACTTTTAAAACTCTAGATAAGGCGTAATCCAACAAATGTAGAATGCTTCGATTTAGCCCAATCTAACAGCGAACATTCGCGTCATTGGTTTTTTAAAGGCAGGATGGTCGTTGATGGTGAAGAAGAAAAAAATTCTCTATTTCAAATGGTTATGAATACACAAGAGTATTCGAATCCAAACAACGTTATCAAATTTAGTGATAACAGCAGGTAACTTCAGCAGTGTCGCTATACCATAGATTATACTAACCTTATCTCTCTTTATTGTCCTGTTATGCTGTTTACCGACGCATTTTTTATGGTTTCTGTGTAGTGCGATTCACGGCAGCCAAGTTGACATTTTAAGGCCTAGTCAACCGGAAAGCGCTTCACCTTTTGAATATTTCAAAAGCGTCAAACGACACGCCCTCCTCACTGCTGAAACTCACAACTTTCCTACTGGTTGGTAATAATTATCTTCATGCAGTTTTTTTTTACTTTTGAAATGATTATCAAGGTGTAGCACCTTTCCCTGGAGCTACTACAGGTACGGGAGGCAGAATTAGAGATGTTCAAGCAACTGGAAGGGGTGCTAATGTTGTTGCCGGCTCAGCTGGATATTCTTTTGGAAATTTGTTGTTGGACGACCTTGATTTACCATGGGAAGACAAATCTGCGATATACCCACCTAATTTTGCAAAACCCTTGGACATAATTATCGAAGGCAGTAATGGAGCGTCTGATTATGGAAATAAGTTTGGTGAACCAGTTATTACCGGATTTGCAAGAAATTTTGGTGGAATAGTAGGAGGGAAACGAGTAGAATGGATAAAACCGATCATGTTTAGTGGTGGAGTTGGGTCTCTAGATGATAGTGATATTCATAAATTAGATCCTGAAAAAGGGATGAAGATTTGTAAAGTTGGGGGACCTGTTTATAGAATAGGTGTTGGAGGCGGTGCTGCCTCGTCAGTCAAAATTCAGGGTGATAATGAAGTGGAATTAGACTTTGGAGCAGTCCAAAGAGGTGATGCAGAAATGGAGCAAAAATTAAACAGAGTTATAAGGGCATGTATAGAATCTAAAGAAAACCCTATTTGCAGTATTCACGATCAAGGAGCGGGTGGAAACGGTATATTAAAATACATAGATTTAATATTAGGCTTATTATAAACTTTGTTCTTTAAGGCAATGTACTAAAAGAAATATCTGAACCTCTTGGCGCAGATATAATGATTAGTAAATTTCGCTTAGCGGATCCTACGTTAAGTGTATTAGAAATATGGGGAGCTGAATATCAAGAAAGGTGATAACCATATTGACCTTGAGTTTCTAGTTTTTATCAATAATTTTTTTAAAGCAACGCTATCTTGATTAAAGATAAATCAACTGAAAAGTTAAAGGCAATTAGTAAAAGAGAGAGATGTTCTGTCGATTTTGTTGGTGAAATAACTGGTTCATCTAGGGTTAACTATAAATCATCAAGATGTTAAGTGGAAAAATTAATTTATCGTTTTTCAGATAAGATTGGTTGATGATAGATTGAGGAAAAGCGGGAAAGTAGAAAATGTTGTTGATCTGGATCTTGAATCTGTTTTAGGCAAAATGCCTAGAAAAGTAAAATAATAATTCTCCTGTAAATGAAATCTTAAGTACTCTAATTATCAGATTTTCAACATGGAATCTCCTACTGAAAATAAGGAACCCCCCTTTAAACTACCTGTAGGTACTAACGTTATGGAAGCTCTTGAGCGCGTTCTGACACTGCCCTCTGTCGGCTCTAAAAGGTATAACCAAATTCAATTTATGCTATTATTAGGAGATTTTGGAAAATCTAATTCTATTTGTTAGGTATCTTACGAATAAAGTTGATCGTTCTGTCACTGGTCTTGTTGCACAACAACAGTGTGTAGGTCCATTACACACTCCAGTAGCCGATGTCGGGGTTGTTGCATTATCTTACTTCTCAAAGTACGGCACAGCAACATCTATAGGGGAGCAACCGATAAAGACTTTAGTTGATGCGGAGAAGGGAGCTCGTATGGCGGTGGGGGAGTCCTTAACGAACCTTGTATGGGCATTCATATCCGATTTGCGAGACGTAAAATGTTCAGCTAATTGGATGTGGCCAGCAAAAATTGAGGGTGAAGGTTCAAAACTAGTGAAAGCTTGCAAAGCTATGTGTGAGTGTATGAAGCAGTTGGGTATAGCCGTTGATGGTGGAAAGGATTCTTTAAGCATGGCTGCTAGGGTTCAAAATGATACAGTAATATCACCTGGAACTTTGGTCATTTCTAATTATGTTTCTTGCTCGGATATCACATTAACTGTTACTCCTGACCTTAAGTGTTCTAACGGCGTTATATTTTATGTTCCTCTTTCTCCTGGAAAAAGCAGACTGGGTGGTTCGGCTTTAGCTCAAGTTTTTGGACAAATAGGATGCAATTCCCCTGACCTTGAAGATTGTAACTATTTTAAGAAAGTCTTCAATGTAATTCAACATTGCATTAAAAGTAATATTACATAATTAAAGTTTTTTTGTTTATCTTAAAAGATAACGTCTAATGATATTGCAGATAAATTTTTAACTTCTGGTCATGATGTCAGTGATGGTGGTCTTATAACATGTCTTTTAGAGATGGCCTTTGCCGGAAATTGTGGACTAGAAGTGAACATAAAAAATAAGAATAATGGTAACTAATATAAAATCAATACAGATTGTTTTGTGACTAAAACCTTTCATTTTTGTCATCTTTGCAGATGCTATTGACTACTTATTTGCAGAAGAATTGGGTTTGGTATTTGAAGCGAATGAAAAAGATATTCCTTTGATAAATCAGCTCTTCTCAAATTCTGGAATTATTTGCGAAGAAGTTGCAAGGACTAAGATAATAAATGAAGTGGAAAATTCTAAAATCTCTATATGTTTCAATGGAGATGAAATAATTAGTGAGAGTATGGTTCGACTGAGAGATATTTGGGAAAGGACTAGTTTTGCTTTGGAAAAAAGACAGACAAATCGTGTTTGCGTAGAAGAAGAGGAAAGTAATTTATCAACTAGAAAAAATCCAACTTATGTATATAGGTTCGACTGCGATGATCTTGTCAATAAAATTAGATTATTAAATCATAATAGAAAGTTTAAAGTAGCTATAATAAGGGAAGAAGGTTCAAACGGAGATCGAGAAATGGCCGCAGCATTCTATTCCGCAGGGTTTGAGGTTTGGGACGTTAATTCTCAAGATATTTGCGATGGATTCTCTCTTGATGGCTTTAACGGTGTTGCCTTTGTGGGTGGCTTTAGTTATGCAGACGTTTGTGGATCGGCAAAGGGTTGGGCAGCCACTATCAGATACAATGATAAGGCGAAAAAACGGCTTGATAGATTTTATAGTCGACCAGATACATTCAGCTTGGGAGTTTGTAACGGATGTCAACTAATGGCGTTATTAGGTTGGATAGATGGCGTTTTTATCGACCACAATGTATCCGAGCGTTACGAATCTCGTTGGGTTAGTGTTCGTATTAGAGAGTCAAATTCGATTCTATTAAAAGATATGGAAGATAGTATTCTTGGCGTCTATGTTTCCCATGGAGAAGGTTAGAAAATTTTTTTTGTAACTTTATGAAAAGTTTTGTGATATATATATATATATATATATATTAAAACCCATAGGACGATTTACGTACAACGACTCGAGCGCTTTATCCAACATTAAAAGAAATAAGCAGCTATGCATGCAGTACGTGGACGCCAAATGCGAGCCAACAATGGAATATCCCTTAAATCCAAATGGAAGTAGGGAAGCGGTTGCTGGCTTATCTTCAGAAAATGGTCGTCATTTAGCCGTAATGCCTCACCCGGAAAGGTGCTTTTTATCCTGGCAATGGCCTTATAAGCCATCGCCTATAGGTAATCGAAAGTTTAGTCCTTGGATGGCAATGTTTATTAACGCCTATACATTTTGTAATTCTTTTAGCTAATTAGACAATCAGCTTTGTTTCTTTACTGTGAGCTTTTGTTCATTTCTAAATACACATGCTCATCTTTACCCTGTTTGTCATACTTTGGTCCTTTTAAACTCCAAGAGTTCAATTCTTCCATATCTCTTGGTAGGTCTCTTCCAAGTGTCTCTGGGACATTTAATGCTGCAAAAGCTCCCAGGACACTCAATCCTCCAAATAATGCTCTTACAAGCCAAGGGATCTCTTTATCCTGAAGAAATGATCAAAACCTTAATTTAGGAATTTTAAAAGAGTTTGACTTACCAGAGTTCGAGCGAAAGGTATAGCTAAACTTAGAGCCCTGCTGGAAAACATACACAGTCCCATGGAAAAATTTCGAATGTTGGTTGGAAATATTTCCGGGATTTGCAAATAAATGATTGAAAAACTTGCTGTAATACCAAACTTTCCTATAAAGTTCATTGTTAAGCCAAATATATATGCTTGAGTCTCGGATAATAGATTGAGATTAGGTATAATGGTCATTATCAAACTCAATCCAGCGATAACATGAAAGACGGCACAAGGAATTCTTCTTCCCCACACTGGTAGTATGAAATACATAACAATAAAAGCTGGTACTTCTGCCGTAGCATACAGCAGAAAGTTCAAATATCGATCTCCAGTTAGATTAGTAACAGTTAAGTTAAGACCAGAATAAACGAGCATATTGATACACCTTATAAAAAAGAAATAAGATTAACTATAGTCCATGAAATTTAATTACTTCGTACCATAAGATTATTGAAAAAAACATATACTTTAGTACCGTCTTGTTACTGAAAATACTGAGAAGTGAAATTTTTGACTGAGCTTCATTCTCCACTTTAACATTTTTCGCTTCATAAATTTGATTAAAATCCTCCTTTGTAACCTCTTTCGTATTATATTTTGAAGCCATTTGAATGACGTTTTCAGCTTCATCGAATTTTCCATTAGCTAGAAGCCAGTTGATCGATTCAGGTGTACCACTATTTAAAATTTGCAGTTTGAAAAAAACAATCAAGATAATTAATAATATTTCAAGTGGAATGAATTAAGTTCTATTATTGGAAAAAGGTACTACGTAGTTATAAGAATTCAATATAGAGTTTCATTGTTAAACATATACATCTGGTACGACTTTGGGAGAAACAAGCGAGTTGTAATCTCTCGCCTAGTAAAATTGTTTTATAATTCTAAATAACAAACTTACAAATGAATAAGGGCAGCGGAAAATAACTGAATAGCACCGCTATAACATGTCAAAAGTCTCCAATTTCTTATTAAATATACAATTAACGCAGCTAGGAAGTAGCCACCGCACCAAAAAAATTCTATTGCAGTTCCAGCGAATGTGCGTCTCTCTTTAGGGAATATTTCTAATACGCAAATCATAATTGTAGTTGCAAGTCCATAAAATGTGATGCTCATAATGCATTCCCAAACGATTAAGAAGAGGAATGTGGGTGACAATGCCGAAACCATATTGCGAACGAAGCCAACGAATAATACAATTGTCAATAATTTCTTTCGACCAATTACATCGGAAAGTCTATTAATGAACAAACTTCCGACAACACCTCCTAAGGTACCAGCTGATAAAAATATTTCAGGCAGAAGCTTTTTATCGCATACAAGATTAAATTCGGTTACTATTGTTGAATCGTATCCAGAATCGGCATCATACGCGTATCCATCTGGACATGATAGTGTAGTATTTGAAGTTCCGTTCCGATAGAAACAACTAGATGATTCAATACTGACCCTGTCCGGAGTCATTTTACACTGATGTTTCGGTGTATCAACTAAAAAAAAGGACTTCAAACTTCATAAAGGAGACATTTAAGTTTGTTATATATTCTATTTAGAGAAAGATAATTTACCCAAGAATGGAGTTGAAACGACATTAAAAGTAAATGGTAATGCAAATACAATGCCATATATACAAAATATTGCCATTTGCCATCTGCTGGTTCCATCTCCTAGAAGGCGTATAAAATCCTCTCCCTTTAAGTTATTCTCGTTCATCGTTTAGCCGAAATTCACAAGTGAAAGTATTTTGTTAAAGAGACGATAATTACAAACAAAGCGCCTACGCCAATTGTTTCCAGCTGAAAGTTTTATTCTATCAGAGACGAACCAATTCTCATATTCGAAATTATAATACAAGACCTCTATTTGTACGCTAATCTATTTTACGTATATCAAGAATCTTCCTTAATGACATTGTTTCTAGTCGAAGAAGTTTTTTTGTCAAATTTATTAACAAGATACAAACGCTATCTGTATAGGATATTGTATTCATTGATAAAAGAGAAAAAAAAAACAAGTTTTAAACTCTTTGAAGTTAATTAAAAAAAGCATGTAATGATTGGTTTCATTGGAAAAAAACTATTTAGTTAAATTAAAAGGTAATTAATTATTAAATTATGCATATAATTCGAAAAGTAGCTTAATATTCTATATAAGAATCTCATATTTCGTGTCAGCGTAAACTGGTAGACTCCTCGAAATATTGTAGCATTCCGGAAGTTTCTATAGAAAGATGGCGTCTGAAAAAACGACAAAGAATATTTATGCGGTGTTTTTGCCCGAATTTATGGACTAAGGGTGTACATTTATTAGACCAGTTAGATTATTTATTTAACGGCAGCAAAAAATGTCGAACGACTTGTGCGTTTGCTGCCAAAAAACTATAAATTCATGTAGAATACATTGCACAGAATGTACCACTGTATCAGTTGATTTGTGTGTTCAGGTTTGTATTCATTGAAAAATTTTCAATACTCTTAAATATTTTTATATTGCAAATTCATTATGGATTTTCTTTTTGATCTCTAGTGCTTTGCATGCGGAGCGGAAGTTGGGCCACATAAGAGAGATCATAGTTATGAAATATTGGTTTGTATTTGTTTATACCGGTGTGACAAGACTATTAATTATTTTAAATATACAGGATAGTGGACACTTTTGCTTATTCGATGAAAGATCAGATTCTTCTTGGAAACTAAATGAAGAATGCCTTCTACTCGATGCAGTAGAGCAATTTGGTTTTGGAAATTGGTATCTTGTTTATTCCACTATAGTTAAATTTTAAGTGATTGAAATAAATAGCTAATTTATAGAATGGTTTTGAAAAAGTGAATGTAACTAGATAAATAGCGGTTTTGCTCACATATAATTAATGAAAGCTTCTAGAAAAGTTTACTAAGCATATTTTTATTATTTTTAAATTTTCAGGGAGGATGTAAGCAATCATGTTCGAACAAGGTCGGCAGAAGATTGTCAAATACATTACTACACATATTTCATACAAGGACGAATTGGGCCAAAAACTGTTCCTAGGGACTTGCCAGATAACATAATCGACCATACCGGAACTTGTAATGGTGATTTAAGTCCTTCACTCCCCGTTACTGCTCCTATTATAGAGTTAACTTCTCAAGAACAACGGGAGTTTGGATACCTACCTCTTAGAGATGACTTTGAAATAGAATATGATAATGATGCTGAGAAAACTGTTTCTGATCTAACCCTGAATTACCATGAAGATGATGAAACAGACCTAGACATCAAATTACTACAAATTGAAGCCTTTAGAGAGCGCCTCGAGGAAAGGGAGAAAAGAAAACACGTGGCTCGAGTCCACAATATCATATCTTCCTTACTACCGTCCGACAAAAAATTCAAAACCGATCGTTCAAACTCTAAAAGAAAAAGCTTTCTGAAAAATGAAAAGTCAGTTTGTTAAGAAGTTTTTTATTTTTATAGATTAGGGCTTAACTATTTCCTTATCATTATTGCAGGGGCGAAATTGATTGCGAAATAAGTGAAAAATTTCGCAATTTTGCACAATTCCATAATGAAGCTGAACTTAGTGATTACGTTCTTAATTTAAAAAGTATTAATTCACTTGCTCTTCCTAAATTTATTTGTATTGTTTCATTTACTTTGATAAATTCTTAACAGAAATAAAACAGTTGAAACAACGAATCAAAGAACTTCAACGCTATAGACGAAATGGTATTCAAAAATTTTCCGAGTGCTCTAAATTTAACAGTGAACGATTAAAAAATGATAAACGAAATCAACAGAAACGTAAATTGGTAAGTTTTCAGCATTGATGTCAGTCGTTGACTTTTGTTTTGTTTTTTTAAGCATTTTTTTCTAAGTACCAGTTAATAATTCCAGTTATTCTCATGTAAAAGTGCAAAACAAGAGAAGAGAAACGATAGAGACTGTTTCGAATCTGGTCGTGACGTAACGAACGGTCGAGTTGATAGTGACCGTTTACAGGCGGAAATATTGTCTGACAGTGAAAAAAAGGTAATGGAAAATTTAACAAGTGTCAGATGATAAATAATATTTTTTTCAGTTATGCAATTCAATTGACATGAAACCGAATACGTATTTGACCATCAAAACTTGCATAATCAAGGTACCATTTATACATTTCTGAAGGATTAATATTACAGAAATTTTTTTTGAAGGATTATTTACAAAGAAGACAAGGATTGCCTGTAAAGATGAGGTACCCCAGCCATTTAGACAAGGCTCACCGTCGGAAAATACTGACATTCCTTACTCATAATGGTTGGATCGGAAGTGTTTAGGAAAACAGAAGGTTAAAGTGTTCAATCCGTCCTTGTGCTTTCCACCTCATTCCTCGGATAGAGACAGTGACAGTTATATGGTGTTCTTTAGTCAATATTGTGTGTGCAAAATTTTATACGCTGTTTTTTTTAATGTTAGGATTATATAAATAGATAACAAAACTACTATATCACATTTCATTGCTGGTCAAGTCTGACAACAAAAATTCACTCACTAAAGTTTTAAAGCTTAACGACGTTTGGAGGACTAGAACAGCATAATATTATAACAAAAGAAGAATCCCTGTCCATTATCGTTTGTCAATCGTATTAAAAAACCATTCTGTGAATTTTCGTAGCTGGCTAGCGGCTTTATCAGCTTCTTCTTGCAAACGTTCGTTATCTTGCTTGAGCCTTTCAACTTCCGCTTCAAGTGTCCGTTTCTCCTGCCGTTCCTTTTACAAAGAAATTTTATTAAACAAGCAAAGAAAAGAAAACTCTTTTTTGCATACTCTCTTAAGATCATATTCTAGTTGATTCGATTTTTCTTCTAAATGCCCCAAGCGCTTCTCAACAGCTTCAAGTCTGGAATCGTTTGACCTGTGAATTATTTGAAAAAGTCATTCACTATTAGATGTAATATATTAAATTTATTTACAAGTCAAGATTTGGAGACAGGTGATATTGTTCCATTGATATTTTCTGAATTCTATTATTATTTTCTGCAAAAGGAATATATATTATTTAATTCATAAATTATTCAATAAATATAAATAGAAAGAGAAAGCCTACCACGCATTGGTGATATTTGGGAGGCACTTGTAGACAAAAGATTTTTCCATTGGCGATCAGCATTTCTTCTCTGGGTGACATTTATTGCGTTCGGTGAGCTTCCGATTTGCTCTCGGTTGTATTGTTTACTATACGAAAAGATACTTCAGTAACATGTCACGAATAAATGATTTATATTTACAATCTGTCCATAGGAATAATAGGACGATGTGCCGATAATAAGACTTCTGTTTGCATCTTTTAGAAAAAAGTGTAAATTGTTAGTGAAAATAGAGCAAATAAGCTGCTATTGATTTCTTTTATAGCGAAGAAAAAAAATTAAATAAAAAAATTTATACTTTAGATGGATCGGCTTCTGTTCCTACGTCGTTTATCAAGTGCCTGAGTTGATTTTCTAATGATTTCTCCCCGATTTCCCTTTTCGGTTTCTCTTGATGAAGTGAATTTCTTGTCGATTTCGGTGTGGAATGATAAGTTTGAGGTAATTTGGAAACATCTCCCTCGGATACGTAGCCACTCCGCCTATCAAAAAGAAAAAAGTACGTGTTATTTATAGGCAAGACAAAATTTAAATAGTTTAATTTACCATGATTGCCCAGATTTACAATCGGTATTCAGTGAACCGTCTGTGCTGCAATTTACATAGTTTCTCGCTGTTAAATCTGTTTGACTGGCTGTCGTATTATCTTCCGACCAGTTACGCGTTGCTGCAGGCAAGTAAGAAGAAGAAAGATGATGATTCATAGGATTAGACATTAGCGATCCGTTACACGATCTATGCAGTTTATCTGTTGGTAAAATCTGCGTCAAAACTACTATTCGCCAATGCATACGTATGATGTTACAATACCGTTAGGCTTAGTTGATTCGCCATCGCTACAGAAAATATCACCGCTTACGGTCGCCGTATCAGTTTTCATTCTAGCGGTTTATCAGAGAATTGTTTTACAAGGAAGATAGATTATGAAAAAAAAACTCCTTACTTGTATTTTGCAGAAAATATGTAGGGGAGCTCGTAGCAAGGTGAGACAGTAAATCCAAAATTCTCCGGATTAATTCCAACTCTAGGAGTCATGTCACTATTAGGAGATATGACTGTAAGTACCAGCTCACTACTGTGCCTCAATATTTCAACCATTTGAGCGTGACTTAAACAGCTAACCAAAGTAGAGCCGATTTCTACAATTCTTGAGTTCATTTTTAAACCTGCTTTAAAGGCTTTTCCTTCCTGATCTACACTGGTTATCAGGCCACCATCCGTGACGTGAAATCCTAATTGGCCTCCGTTTCCTCTATCAAGGACGATTTTTTGACAATTAGTTCCATTAGTGACGACTTCGAGTCTCTGCATTACTTCTGTCGTAGTCTCATTTCGGTCGTTATCGCTTTCTTCGGCAGGACACTCCAATAATAATTTTTGCCCTTTGTCATAATATACTCGGAGACTGAAATAATAAATTACGATTATGGATTGGACAGTTATCATTTTTTGAAAGAAATAAACTTAATTACCAGTTATTTTGTTCAGCCCATCCTGTTATTAATGATGTTGGAATTACAAAGACAACTTGAGAGTTTGTCTTTGGAATAACAGACAAGACTGTAGACGAAATTGCTAAGTAACACTTAAGTTTCTCTGATTTATTAACATCTTTCCATAGGATTTCCCAAACTAATGCTCCTGATATTGTATTATCGATGATGTTTTTCGATTTTGGGCGATCGCGTTTCTTGCTTGAACCAAAAGACAATTTAGAATAAAATTTCGTATTCGTTTCTATAGTCGAGTTTGTGACGTAATTATTCGCTAGATCTTTCAAGTACTCGTGCCTGGTTCTCGTAGCCATGGCAACGAATTTTTCGGATTTGTGGGCTGCATTTTCCGCGTTTATTGCTGTAAGTAGTAAAAGAATTTCCGTTAAGTAAAGTTGGCGCGCTCATATTTAATAAATGTCTTACCTTTGGCGAGAATAAATTTGGCGAATAAATCGGAGTGAGGAAATAAAGAATCCTTTGGCAAGGGGGGACCGAAGTGAGGAACTTCTTTGGAGCGAGAGACAGCAAGCCTGCAAGAAAATCGATTGATTAATTAACAAATTCTAAAATAAATGCAAAACAACAAACCGGTAGAAAATACCAGTGCTTAATACAACTTGACGTATAATAATAAAGACATGCTGAAAACGGGATCGGACTGACTTCGGGGAAAAAGGATGTGACCCGTCTTCCTGAAAGACAACCGTTACAATATCATTTCCAATGTGCCGTTTTCTTAAGAGCTGTTGCCTGTTATTTTTCGTATAGGGTAACATTGTCGATACGTGGAACATAATTTCGCAGTCATTGAACTTAGTGTACACTGACTGAGATCCTGTTGAATCAGCTGTTTGAAAAAAGAAGGTTAAGATCAAACTATCGGCCTAAAGGTTGATGAAAGTATGTTTACTTTTAATATCGAGCCCTCCCCGATAGTCTCTAAAATCCTTCAAGTATACTTTTTGGCCAAGAAGAGATAAAAAATTATCGAATGCAGGGCTTCCTTCTTCTGTAATATAATAAGAAACATAAGATCAAAACCCAACGCTTTAGGGCATGTTGCCGTAAGTACGCTGCTTTCAACGCTTCGATAAAGTTTCAACGAATAATTAACGTGATAAAAAATATTATTATATCTGTGTTGAAGCCTTGAAAAAGAATATTTATACATACCATTATTATACATTTCTTCTTCAGTACACTGTCCACTTTTGCAGTACATGATACCAAATTTATAAGTCCGAGTCAGCTAAATATCATTTTTTTTTTAAATAGAAAGAACAGTGTATTGATTTTTTGGTTAAAAATAGATCTACACTTAAAAATTTAGTTATTCTACCTGTTGTTCATCAAGGCGCTGCATTTGTTTGATAGTTTTTTCCCCTGAAACGGCTACTTTTAAATTATTTAACCGTAATTCTGGTACGATTGCGCTTAAAATTTCTTTCGTAGGGATACCCCTGCTAGAAGAGAACTTTGAAGAGGCGATTGCTTCTTCTGGAATACAACCGCGTAGAGTACACTGTTCGCTGGTCCGCAATATGATTCTATATTGATATCGATTTCCGTCCTTTTCCCTCTTTATAGAGACAGCTACTGGTCCCATACCGTCTTCATCAATACCAATAAAATTCTGATGGTCGTGAGATATAAAGAAATTTCTATAATAATATGCTCCATAATCAACGTGTTCCATGACAAACATGTCATACGTTACTACAGGCGTTAATACAATTGGGTCGTTTGATAAAGGTTTACTATTGTCTAAAATGGTAACGCCATTGCATTGGGAACGACCATGACTAATAGCAATATTCTCGTCAGCTCCCAGTTCGTTTCGAAAAAAAGGGCATGACAAAACCATGTCGTTCGAGTTACCATCTCCCTTATCTTGATCATCTTCTACATCAAGAACATTTCGGTAATTACCGTCGCTAACTATATAGTCTGATGGCTGAGCGACAGAAGCCGCACTTGCTCCCGTCTTCGTATTTTTATGTTGGTTTAGAGATGTTCTGCGTCTTACTATGTCATGGTAATTAAAACAGACGCTCTGGCAGTCGTAGTGCGCGAAGGCTTTTTTACTTAGCTTTGGTTCAATTTTTTCATTTTTTATATGCTTACTATTCTTAGAAGATCGGAATTTCCGTAATAATCCACCGCCGAAATCCGAATTTTTCATTTTTTCTTCTTTTTCTCGATTGGGGGATGACGGAACACTTCCATTGGATTTTTTCATATCTATGTCATCGTAATTTTGATGAGTAAAGTCGCACGCATCAAGGACACCGGAAGAGTTGCTTCGGAAAAGTTGATTTCTCTTGAATTCCGAATCCCCAAGATAGGAAGGGGGCGAAATCGTCGATTGTTGATTATACCTAAGAGAATAGTGACGATGTGTATTGTAGGTATGACTTAGTTCGACGAAGCCTGCTCTCAGTTCTGCAGGAATGTAGTGATCACTGGCAGTCATACTCTGTGTTACGATAAAATAAAAAATATAGCAAAACTTTAATATTAAACAATGTTATTCGATATTTTCACAATGACAATGTCTGATTCACACATAATTTAAACAGGTTTTACTACACCTGTATAGGCTTTAGTTTGATTACACAACATGAATAATTACCTGTTACTACGTTATGCGTACATGTCGTCTTAATTATTCTTTTAGCTAGGTTAATCGTTAATTAGGGCCATAAATCCACAATGAAGCAAAGAAAACCCTAAAACTGTTCAAGTACCTAGCAATCACTGGTAAAAAAATAGAAAACTTGTCGACTGAAAGTTCTGAGATTTTACGACAGTTGGCGCTGCTCGATTTCTAAATTATCGCCCAGTTTTGTTTTGCATATCAAACTTTATCAATTATACTTGGGAAAAATTTCAAAATGTTGGACGATTATCAAATTTCTGAGAAAAGAAATGATAAAACGGAAAGAAATATACATGCTGAAAAAGTTCTAAGTTATTTAAATGAGCAAAGAAAGCTTCAACAATGTGATTTTGTTGACTTTACACTCATTTTGGACGATGATGAAGAAGTTAAGTGTCATAAAAACATACTAGCTGCTGCTTCTCCATTCTTTAGGACTTTTTTTGAAACAAAGGTTAATATACTTGATAGGGATAGATGCAACTTGACAGGCTTCAATCCTAAAGCCGTTAAAATATGTCTCGATTTTTGTTACGAAGGGAAAGTTAATTTATTGAACTTAAAATCAGATAGCAACAAATTTGAATGGATGGCCGATTTGTTGCAAATTTCCAGTTATCTACAAATGAATGAAATGAGAGACGCTATATCAGAATTTATGCTAAAAGAAGTTATGAACTGTGATAATTGTCTGTCTATTTTTAGTCTTGCTGAAATGCTTGATTTGCCACAAGTTGTTGAACAGACACTAAGAATGATTAGATTAAACGGAAGTTTAATGCTATCACACCCAGATTTTGTTCGCCTAGATAAGACTTCTGTAATTAAAATAATTTCCTTTGATAACCTTACAGTGTTAACCGAAGAAGAAATCTTGGAAGCCGTTTTAAAGTGGTGTCGTGAAAAACCTGAAAGGCTTTCTACCATTCCGGAGCTAAAAGAATTTATACGGATTGACCTGGTCAATGGAATGTCTCTAGAAGAATATATGATCGAATACTTGAATGTAAGAAGTGAGGGAGTCCGCAGTTTAACACACAGGCAAGGGCATCGTAGAGATAACAGGGGAAATAATATGTTTTTAGTGTTTGGAAAGGAAAAATCCGCATATTTTATAAATACAGTATCTGGAAGAAAGGTTGAATTAAACGAGAATATCTCAACTTTAATCCAATGTTTACCTGACAATTATCATAGTTGTTACTATGCTGATGAAAATTTGTATATAGCATTCTGCATTGCCAAAGATAATTATAGTATTTGGAACGACGGAAATACTATTAATAAAGACACGTCCATACAAGTGATAAAAATTAATTTTTTTACTGAAACGCACGATAGCGCAAGACCTTCACCTAGGACTTACTCGGAAGCTTCTGAGTGGGAAAGGGGAGTAACGTTTATGCTTAATTCGACGCTTTATTTTTTTGATAGCTCAATCATTCAAAGTAGCTTCTTAAAGTTTAATGTTAATACGTCCTTGTGGTCGAGAACTTCTATGAGATGGATTTCGAAAGCGTCGAATCCAGGAATAATAAACGTCAACTCAACCGTCTACGTATTTGGAGGTCGAAAGGTAACCGAAAATCTCTTTGACTGCTTTAAATATGATATTAGTAATGGAGATGTGGGATTTAATCATCCTTTGGAACTGGCTAAAATGCCTTTTGCCTGCTATTCGCCAGCTCTTTGCTCGATTGATAATAACATTTATCTTGTCGGTGGAAGAGAATTGAAGAGAAGTGCTGGAAAATACGATATTCTTCAGGTTCAGCATGTTCAAGTATATAATATAGAGTATGACCGATGGGCTCTATTACTAAGATTACCAAGGGAGTTGAGCTATATTGTAGCATCTGTTGATTTTTCCTATTTATGTGCTTGTGGTAGGGATAGTGATGGACATCTCGTTATATTTCGTATGGGATTAACAGCCAGAGAACCAGAATGGACAGAATTATTCCGGGCCAGTCATTATAAAGATATTATCGTTACTGCAATGCGCTTTAATGATGACCTATTGAACGTTAATCAAAAGCGACAAAATAAAAAGAAATGTACTCGTTGGCAAAGACAATCATCTCTAGAATATATAACCTTTCCAAGTAATTTTCAGCATAATGAGTACTCAGTAATGTGACTACAATTTCCGCTCTTACGCCATTCTTGAACATACAAAAAATATGAAGATTAAGCAAAAAACTTACACAGGAAAGAAGGTGTATTGTTATCTAAACTTTTTAGGTCAGCAATATGATACGAGAGCCAGTCAAAAAGTGTTATCTAACTCAAAATATGAACTGATCAAAGTGTATTTTTAATATACACATATATAAATATATAAAGAGATTTTATTTGTTTTTAAGATTTACAATGGGATTTTTATTAGCAATTTATAAAGTAATTATTTCGAATAATTGTCACTTTAGAGTGTCTTTTTTTTAAAAAAGCATTTTTTATTTATATTATACAGTGAATAAACGAATTGGTTTTTATAAATAGATATGAAATTTAATATTTCTAATAATTGTAAACAATAGAACGAGCGTGAACATTAATCGCTTTACTTTAATAAGTCACGCTTCTTATACAACCAAACAGTATCAATACCTTCTCCTACGATTTTTGAAGAGACAGTATTGGGTAGCGGAAATCTGCAAACTATTAAACAATGATCGTCTGATGGCATTTCATTTACAAGCTTTTCTTTTAATTGTTGCATCTATAAAAAATAATGAAAAGAGTATATTTTAATTGATCACGACTGAAATTAGATCAATTAATTTACCATTGGTTCAACTCCGAAAATTACAATGTTGTTATAATTAGAATAATTCATCTGAAATATAGAAAGTAATATTTTAATTCTTCAATTTCAAATTATAAAATTGTAAAGAGCTTGTAATACCTTCCATAAATCTTGACAATAAAATTTTGTTCTATTCTGAACGTTATGTCGAAAGGCTGAGTATCTAGAAAAATAAATTAGCCAACGATTTAGTTCGATACCCTCTGCTTGAAAACCTTTCTTGGCACACTCAATGACCTTTTAAGGAAAAAAGATTTTTTAGAATATGAAAACTAAACTGAATGTTAAGAACCTACTATTCGTCCATCACCACTACCCAAATCAATTACTTTGCCACTACGGCCATTTAATAACTTAAGAACATTAGAGATTTGTTCTTGAGTTGCTGGCACAAATGGCAAGCATATTTTTCGTAGAGCTGGCCTTACGAAAGCGTAGCATACGGTTGTCAGACCAATTACGGATGCCCCTAAAATACTAGTAAACACAATTCCGGCTTTCGATGAGTTCTTTTCATTTTGACTCTTTGAATTACTATCGTCAATGACTTTTTCAATACTAGATGGCATGCTATAACGATCTCAAAATGTTCCCAACATACCAATATCAAGCACATGTGACGAATTTTTGGAAAAATAGTAAGAACCAGTTTACTCGGGGAAAAATCTAAGCCTATATATCAACTGAAGTGATAGCAGTAAGTCGGCCCATATGTACAAGAATTCTAAATAAACCATAAACAGTATAATTTATATATATATATATATATATGTGTGTATATGTAAAATAGGTGTAATCAAGAGAGTGAGTGGTATTGTGCTGAATGAAATATATGTTAAAAACAAAATACTTTATTAATAAATTTTCTTAGAAAAACAATTTAGATGGAATTATTAACAATAAGATTTATCATAGGAAATATTAAGCTTCTTTTTTAAAACATTCGATAAATCATTTTGAAATATTTAAAAAAAGTACTTCGTATAAAAAAGCGCGTACTTTCCAATTGGAACTGGTTTCCAATATTAAATTCAACAATTTAGTATTGAAGCGGAAGTGAGAACCATATAAAAAAGGGCTATTAATTCCTAGAGTATGTCAGCAGCTGGTATGAATTAACTTAGCAGCTTTCAGGCGCTTTATAGAATCTAGCAGACGAAATACTAGTATGCTTTCACGTGTACTATCTCAATCGCTATTCTTTGTCCTAAAGCAGTTTACAACACTTTTCAAAACTTACTAACAGTTCTGATGGCACGCCTTCAGTAAGCAGGAATCATTTTCTGAGTAAGTCATTTTCGTTGAGAGCTGATTTTGACGGTTAACCTAACATTGTCTGAGTTTCTATACCTAAGGATGGTAAAATTATTTAAATTGTTCGCTTTTCTCGTCATGTCTTAAGTGCATGTCCTTTAGATTTTAGCTTTATTCAATTTAGTGTATAATTACGATTCGATCAGTACTAATTTCTCTACCCGACAAACGGTTCACTCTATTAGTTGCTTGAGAGCTCTTGTTTAAGGATGAATATATATTTATATAAGTATTTATTTATTACTAATAAAGTATATTCTTTGAAAATAATATACAATATATACTAAAGAACGTGATACGGCAGTGGGTGTGATGAGTTCTACATAAACAACCCACGGATTTCGTGCCATAAAACTGGCAATAAAAAAATTGATTTTGTGTTAATCTTCAGTGTCTTTGAATTTAACTGTCGTAATAAGTCACTTTTACAAGTTTCAAGCCTAGTACTGTTAACGGAAGTATCCTGAAAGGAGACCTTGGCTTGAAATTCTAACCGCATAGCCAATAGGTCTTTTACGGCGATAAGTCGTTATAAAAAGAAGTATTTTTTTTCATTATTTGAAAAATTTTCGTTCACAGACTTTTCTGATCAGTGTACATTCTATTCCGGATGGCATCTCAAGTATGGAAGACAAGAAGTGGTCAGCAAGATCTAGACATAGTTCATCCTCTTCCAGCTCTTCATCAAAATCGGTAAGGTAGTTAATATATTACAATAGGTTCAAATTTACTTTTATTCAATTCCGTTGTTGATTCCTTGTCTTGATGAGCAAACGAGGATTTTTATGAGCCAAAATGTAATAGTATAAAACTTAGGAACCAAAAAACAAAAATAGACAAACCGCTCCCAACGCCATCTATTCCACGGTAGATTTTTCTTGTCACTTGATTATTCGCATCAGTGGAGTATAGGATGCTTCTAACGAGTGAAATTGATGAAGTTTTAACTCCATTGAAGAGAGACGATGTAGAGACCGCCGATGAACGTCGAGAGAGGAACAAGCGTATGTTAAAGACAATTTCGGAAACTATAAACAATACACAGGTGCGTTTTTGCACTCAGTAGGCGTTTGAAGTAATTATGCCATAGTTTACATTCAGTGTATGATAACATTTTAGATCATTTATGATAATTTTTTGAAATGCCTGTGTTCTTGAGAATACTAACTGACTTCAAGCGAATGTACTCGGAACGAGATTAACAAGGGAGAGTGCATTTACCTGGAACATAAAAAGTATAATCTTTCAAGTACTCTAATATGGATAGGGAATAATCACTTGTTTCAAATTAGACCAAATGACATTTGATAACAAATATTTCAACAGAATATTCACTTTTTACTTCATAGATAAGGAATTTTTTTTCTTGCGATTAAGTTGATGTTTAGGGGAGCTTTTACCCTAATTTCTCACGAAATAAAGATAAAAATACCATATATATATTTAATATTTAATATGTCATTTGTATAAGTAATAATATTAAAATAGAGAAAAACTTAATGCTTCAGTAATCAAATTTGTTCCAAATGACAAAAAAGGGAAAAGAGAAATTAATTAGTTAAAGCATTGCTAATTTTCCTTACACTATTAACTCAAATTTAACATAATACAAAATAATAAATTTTACTGTTTCTGCCTAGAAAATAGATTAAATAGAACTAATTATGAGATAAGATTTAAAGGAATTTAATAAAGCTCATTATGTTATTACATTGTATATGACTTATTTTTCCCAAAAATGTTTAACTGTATAATCTTTGAATGTAATATTTTTACAGTAGAGTTTTTGATTGATACGCTACCTTTATATCTTTTCCCGTGGCTTTAAACTCATATAGATCAGTTTCATGTTTAGTGTTAATTTTAGAATTCGTGGTATTATGTGATAGAAGTGCAGTGTAGACGTTGGACGTATTTTTAAGTGGTATTTATATAGCAACTGCAGGAATGATTGTTAAAAACAGCGCAACCTCGAGTCTTTTATTTGCAGTATAAATTTCTCTTCTAGAGAACTATTTAGTAAATGTTTATAATTACTGATAGACATCATAGAATATGTTACATAAGGCTAATAAAAAGAAAACACATGATATTCTATGAGTACGATCATAATTAATTCCGGTATTTTTTTCTTGTTTCCAGAATCAAAAACCTTGGATAGAAAGAGTTTTCAACAAAAGAGAATGTTGCGAGTTTATACCAGCTATTAAAGACCGTAATCGTTGTGGATGCGGTAGACTTTGTACAGATCATAGTTTTCTGAACTTGAAGAGAGATGCAACAGCAATTTCTCCTTCATTCTCAGGCGATAGCAGATGGATTCCAAAGAAACACTCAATTCTTATGCCTACAGATGCCTATGGCGTTATAGAATTTGAAGGCGGTTGCCATCCAAGTAAGGCCCAGTACGTTCGTCTTGCGCACGATACCTCGGCAGAAAACATTATAAGACTCTTACAGACCCAGTGGGGTTTGGGTCTGCCTAAGTTGTTAATATCAGTCCACGGAGGATTATCTGATTTTCAGTTACAGCCAAAATTGAAAAGGGTTTTTAAAAAAGGACTGTTTAAGGCTGCGAAAACGACGGGAGCGTGGATTGTTACTTCAGGAACTGACACAGGCAGGCATTTTCTAAAGTCTTTTCTCGCTAAAGCATATCATATCGTTAATATAATTAAACTTGATCATTTTCGGCTCTTGTGCTTAATTTATTACTTGATACAGGAGTAATGAAACACGTTGGTGAAGCTCTTGGTGACACGCTTAGTCAATCCCGAAATAAAATTGTTACTATCGGTATAGCTCCTTGGGGCGTCATTGAAAACAAAAATGAATTAATTAGTAGAGATGTATGTTTGTTACTAATTATCATAACTTATTGTAGCTTTATACAACTAATATCAACTTTCAACAGAAAGTTATATCTTATCACGCTGGTTCTTCATCCAAGTCAAATTCTGTAATGCTAAATTCAAATCACGCTTATTTCCTTTTGGTCGATAATGGAACGGACGGAAAATTTGGTAGTGATATTGCTTTGAGGAAGAAACTTGAAAAATTTATATCCCAACAGAAGATTATAACAAGTAAGTACCGGAAATCATTCCCCTTTCTTCTATAACAAACTTCCTAAGAAATATAGTGAAGCCTATTATTTTCATATTCTTTAAGGGAGTGGAGTTAAAAATTATAGCACTCCGGTCGTTTGTTTAACTCTTGAAGGTGGAACAAACACAATACGAAACGTTCTCGAATATTCAACTGATAAACCACCAGTACCTGTTGTTGTTTGTGATGGAAGTGGTAGAGCGTCTGATCTTTTAGCCTTTGCTCATAAATTTACGAAGGATGAAGAGTGAGTTGTCGATTTAATTATTGTAATGGTACGTAAAAACGTTTATACTTAATCTTTCACAGATCACTTCAAGATGGTTTAAAAGATCAATTAATTCTTACAATTGAGAAAACTTTTAAATACTCTCGCGATTCTGCTGAACAGTTGTTGCTAGAATTATTAGTCTGCGTTAGGAAAAAAGATCTGGTTCATATTTTAATTTGATGTAAAAGAAGGCAGAATTATTCACTAATAACGACTGTCTTGCAGATTACCGTCTTCAGGCTTACTGAAGGCAGTCAAGATATTGATTTAGCTATTCTCGGTGCTTTACTATTAGGTAAGAGGATTCATAAGTGACATTATATTCCTTATTTCTCCTAATGCGATAAACAGCACAAAAAGCGAGTGCTGTTGATCAGCTAAGTCTAGCATTGACATGGAATAGAGTAGATATAGCCCGAAGTCACATCTTTGCGTGCGTTCAAGAATGGCCTGTAAGCTCTCTTTACGTTCATTAAAGTAGTGATAAATATTATGGAGTAAATTGTATTCTGTTTTGTCAGACAGGAGCACTTGATCAGGCAATGATGGACGCTCTTGTGCAAGATAGAGTCGATTTTGTTCAATTACTCTTGGAAAACGGAGTAAGCATGTCAAAGTGGCTAAATATTCAACGACTAGAAGAACTATATAATATGGTGATACACAGCGAATTCCAATGTATAATTAAAAATCTAGAATACCCGATTCTCTTTATAGAAACAAGACACGTCCAGTACAACTTTTCGACTCATTATGAAAGATGTGAGAAAATCGGTAGGTATTTTTAAATCTAAAAGTAAAAAAAAAGACAAATGAAAGTATAACATTTAATTTTAACAAATTATGGCTTATATAGTATGCACCTGGCTACCGTTACACCTTGTTCGATGTTGGACAAGTTATCGAACGCTTAATGGGTGGAGCATATAGAGCTACATACTGTCGAAAACATTTTCGAAATATCTATAATACTGTTGTTAAGAAGGTAATCTGTTTGGTCTATCTTTCACATATTTTTGTTTATTTATGAAATAATTCTTATCTGTATTTTTAGTTGTATGTAAACAAAAAAGCCTTTTTACGTTTTATTTGTAATCTTGTGTTTTTATTATAGAAGAGCTCTTCTACTGCTGGAATTGGTGGAACGAATTTAAGTAAAAAGGTTGAAGATACAATGGTGAGTAGAGAACATATTTTCGTTTATTTGTACATACGTTTATGTAAACAATAAACTTTTATAGGTTCAGAATATCAGCAGTATTTTACAACTGAGCGATATACCTCTCGGAACAATCGATATGCAAGTATTAGAGAATGACGCTTTGAAATATCCCTTCCATGAATTAATGGTTTGGGCTGTTTTAATGAGAAGATATAAAATGGCTAAATTCATGTGGCAACATGGGGAAGAAGCCTTGGCAAAAGCTTTAATTGCCTGTAAATTGCTCAAAGCAATGGCTCATGAAGCGGCTCAGGATGAATTAGAATTTGATGTTGCGAATGAAATTAGAGGAGCTAGTAGGTTAGGAACTTAAAAGATTTATTTCACTTAAACGGATTTTAATCATAAAAAAAAATGGTTTAACATTTTTTCTTTTTAAATAGAGAATTTGGAGAATTGGCATTGGAGTTATTAGAATACTGCCATAAAACTGATGACGACGTTACTCAGAGTATTTTAACATACGAACTCAGAAATTGGAGTGATCAGACTTGCTTAAGTCTTGCATACGCCGCTGGACTAAGAGAATTCATAGCTAATTCGTGCTGCCAGATTTTACTTACAGAAATGTGGATGGGGGCCTTACGTATGCGTAAGTACATGACTTTAAAGGTAAGTTAATTTACTGTTATAATCAATTATACGGTTATCATAATTCTTCAATGTTTAAAACTTCTTAAAGGTGATACTAGGGATCGTCTTCTTACCTGCAGTTTTTCTTATGGAATATAAATCAAAAGAGGAATTACAGCTGATGCCACAAACCGTCGAAGAACATGAGAAGAACGATTCCGATTCAGAGACATCGGAGACAAACGAAGAAGAGGTCACTGATACAAAGGGAAATAGTAACAAGAATAGTACCAGTGTAAATCAATCAGCCTCTCTTATAAAAGGAATTAATAGAGATACCAGTGATAATCTTATTGTTAGCGATACATCAATAATAGGTGGAAAGTATACAAAGAAAACTTCTTACAATAAGAAAAGTCCTCTAAGACTGGGAAAGAAGATCTATGAATTTTATACAGCACCTGTAACAAAATTTTGGTCGCATACGGTAATTATCTAACTTTAGATCTTAATTAACAAGATCTTAGTACTCTTTTAATTGTTCCTCAGCTTGCCTACATTGTTTTTATGATCGTATTCACCTATGTTGTATTGGTTCGAATGGATCGCCACGTTGAATTGCAAGAAGCCTACGTAATAACCTATGTGTTTACTTTGGCAATTGAAAAAACCAGAGAGGTAAGGTTAAATTTATATGATAAAAGTGACAATATTTCATACAAAATTTCGTCAGGTCATTTCCTCGGAACCGGTAAAACTCTCTCAAAAAATTCTAGTCTACTTTTCCGAGTTTTGGAACATATGCGATACACTTGCTATTATTCTTTTTATTATAGGCGTTTCTTTTAGACTGAATCCCGACACAAAAGCTATTGGAAAAGTGATCTATTCTGTCGATATAATATTATGGTATATTTTTTAATTTATTAATCTAGATATTATTACATTGTTTTTTATGTCTTTTTTATATACTTTGTATATTTTTTTTAATTAGGTACATAAGAATTTTAGATATTTTTAGTGTGAACAAATATTTGGGTCCTTACGTAATGATGATTGGAAAGATGGTTCGTTTACTAGGACTATTAATTTTTTTATTAACATATTTACTAATTTACTTTAGGTAAAGGACATGCTTTATTTTATTGTTATTCTTTTGGTTGTATTAATGAGCTTTGGTGTGGCACGTCAGTCTATAACTTATCCCAATCAGGACCCTGATTGGTCTTTACTAAAGCATATTTTTTTAAAACCCTATTTTATGTTATACGGGGAAGTCTATGCAGGAGAAATTGATCGTTAGTATTAAACTATTAAATGAATTGCTTTTAGGCAAAATGATTTTCATTATTTCCAGCTGCTGATTGCGTAAATAATCCACAAAGTAAAGATGATATTAAATGTGTTCCCGGTATGTGGATAACGCCCGCAATAATGACAATTTTTCTGATAGTTGCAAATATTCTTCTTATTAATCTTCTTATTGCCGTTTTCAAGTAATTTTCTATTTATTTTCCTTTGCCGTGTCAATTGCGATGTATATTTAGTTTACATAGTCTATAATTTTCTTTCAGTAACACTTTTAACCGTGTCAATGCAATATCAACTGCAATCTGGAAATTCCAGAGATATAATTTGGTGATAGAATATGAAATGAAACCTCTTCTACCGCCCCCCGTAATAGTTTTTTCTCATATTTTTCTTGCCATAAAATATTTTAAAGGACGATGTAGGGGCCAACGAGAATTTTTCGATAACGGATTAAGTAAGTATATTTCAAATAATTCTTCTTATATAGTCAAGTGAAATTAATGCTTTATTCTTTTCTCCATCAACTGTGAATAAATTTATCAGGGCTCAGTAAGTTATATGTTGAGATGTTATTGATTTATTGACTACGTTGTAGAAATATCTTAGATACACTCAAGTGTAATGCCTCTTCCCAGAGATCACATTTTCGTTAATTTTTCCAGACTTTATTTTTAATATGATATTATTAACACAAAAACTAAAATATTTATTGCTATTACATTGGCGCTTATTTTTCTTTTTTTGATAGAGCTTTTCCTTGGGAAGGAGGAGGTGGAAAGATTGCATGATTTCGAAGAAGAATGCGTTGATGAATATTTCAGAAAGAAAGAATCTCACTTTCAATCTTCCACCGAGCAAAAGATAAGGGCAACTGATGAACGAGTCGAGAATATTGCATTAAAAGTCGATGATATGAATACAAAAGAAAATTCGATGATGTTGTCTTTACAAACTGTTGATTTTCGTTTAGCTAAATTAGAAGAGATAACTTTACAGACGGCAGAAACTATAGCTTTCTTGGCAAGAAAGTTTGGTGATGATGAAAATATACAAGAAAGTCAAAAACGAAAGAAGAAATTATCTGGTCCTCGTCTGGAAAGATCTGTAACTATTGCTGAGCCACCTGCATCGTCTTCATCACATGTTTTAGATAGTTTTTCTTTACTACCCCCTTTACATTCTCACGGCTTAAATGCAGTGGAGATGAAGATTGGGAGTCGACGAACGAAAGGCCCTTATCCGGCCAGCGAGTTATATCAAAGACGGCGTGTTAGGGCGTTAAATCGCCTAAAATACAAACAGAGCGAAGAACCTGAAGCGATAAAAAAAGCGCGAACAGCTTCTGAAAGGAGAAAGTCGACAAGAGACAGTAGGCAAAGTTCAAAAGTCCTTTTTAGTGATGATTCGTCTCCGTGTATATCCCCATCTAACTCGCCTCCTAGAGGACGACGTCGCACGCCTAGTGAAAGCTCAACAACGCGACATTTCCACTGGAAAGTTGGAAACTCAAATAAGAAATCAGAAGATATTCAATCTAATACAGATAATAGAACATCTGCCATACCAGTACCATTTACGCCTATTATAACGCCTGTACGTCAAGAATATTCTTCGATAACGGACGAAATTGATACATCTTGCCTAAACTACGTGTCTCCTAATAACTCGCCGAACACACCTAGACAGCACATTTTTGAAAGGCATACGATGCGAGGAGCGGAAGAAACCGAGCATGCTGAAATGGAAAAGTCATTTAGGAAACGTTTGCATCAAATTTCTTTAACTGAGAGCGATAGTATTGCTGATATGGCAATGTTTGCTCTAGAAGTTCACGAAAACCAATCACCTAACCATTCGCCGCTGTCAAAGATGAAATCCTGTTACTCTCTTGAAGATCGACTTTCATGGGATGAGGAAAATACTCTTTGTAAAAGTAGATCCGATCCCTGCTTTAACCCTGAAGATCAGCGAAGTGAAGCTGAGCAAGAGCATATTTGCTAATTATGGACATGTAATTGCCTATCTCTTTTTCAAAAAAAAATTTTCGATTAATAGTTTTACTTTTAATATGAAAAAAATCATATTAAAGCCTGTTCTTTTGCCTGAATAAGTACTTTTCTTTGCTAACCTTAATGGCTTATGAAGTAAAAGAGATATTTGTTGCTTTAAGAAGTACGAGTGTAAAAGACAGCTAGTTTGTCAATATATATGTATAATTAAATTTGTTGAAACTAGCAAATAGAATCCCAAACATTTAGATTAACAGACACAAATTCCTTTTGAAATGTTCACAAACAATACTAAAAAATATTTTTGATAATTTTAAGTATTTCAAAATGCTGTCTTATCCAATCTATCAAAAAGAAATGGAAAATTCTTTCATTTTCTAATCCCTATTTGCGTAACTACATTTAACACAAATGAATTACATATTGGCTTTGTTTTAATTATTTATAGAGGTTGATTTATTGAAAACAATAGGAAATTACTCAACAAAACATTGAAATGAAAAACAAAACTTGAAAAAAAAAGTAACGATAATTCATCAGAGAAATTAATTCTACTCTTCACATTCAATAAACAGCAGATTGATTAATAAACACTTTACATCAGCTCCTTATCACTTGTATAGAAAATAGAGTAATTAGAGATAAAAGTACTTCTAGCCTTTATTCTGTACAAACTAGTTTTAGTTAAAGCCTTTCCTTGGTTTTGCAGCAGGTGGCTTCACAAATAGAATAAACTAATTTCAAATTGATAATTTATGAAAATTGTACCTTTTTTTTTAAACCAAACACTAATATATTGATTTCAATTAGAGATAATTTGCTTATCTCTAAGAACTTCAAAAGAGTTAATTACTTTGATGAATCATCAAGCTTAAGAAGAAATTAAACGAAATGCTATTTTGTTTTCAATTAAGAAAATAAAAAGAAAGACGATTTTTATGTAAATTCTGTTTATATGTTGAAGAAAACTTTATTCTATACTTAAAGATTATTATAAATAGCATACTCAACAAGAAAATATCACATGGATGTACTAGTTCTAGGTTTGTTGTCACCGAGTATTTTAGGTAGAATTGGTCCAAAAATAAACTTACCCTTTAATTTTACTTTAAATAAATTATCTACGCATTTGATGATAAGTTAATACATTAAATTTACTTTCACAAATAAGTCTAAAAATTGGAATATACTAATAAAAAATAAGAAAAAACAAAGGGAGAATAGCAAATAGATTGAATATTTGACAGAGAAAAAAACAGACTGATATTTCACTATATTTAAAAGAAATAATGATTTTTTTCGTTATTTAATGCAGAACGTTACAGAAATCGAAATAACATTTTTATATGAATTAGAAAATGTTTATATAGAACGGAATTATAAGGTTAAAAGGACGATTTGTATAAAATTAAAGACTTTTTCTAAACTGTAACTGCATCTTCTGAAAAAACTCTGATTTATTTTGTTTTAGTATATTTTAGTGCTAATTTATGTTCTAGACAGGAGGAGACTGTTTCAGATGTATATATTATCTATTCTATAAATAATGTACATACTGTATAATACATATTATTCTAATTATAAATAATTGATCAGTAATACCATACTGTCGTACCGGAATAGAAAAGTATGTATGAAAGAGAAAGTAGACATTCATTTTAATTATTGTAGTAAGATCAATGTACAGTTTAATTTGTCACAAAAATTTATTCCCTTTCTCCGATTTATCATCTTTTATTCTTCATACTTCATATTTAACAGAAGAGGAAAAGATGGGAAATATTTTGGAAACGAGGAAAAAAAAAGTGATATTAGCTTTTCGTAACATTTTCGTTTAATTTGGAATAAAGAGGAAACGTTTATTTTTAAAAGTTAAGCTAAAATTGGAATTCCCAACTAATCACCATTTCGAACATCAATTCCACTTTCTCATCGTCAACACCCAGTCAAAGTTCACCTTTCAAACGTTATAATTCCTGTTACTCTTTGATCTTGCTATAGTAAATAGTTCATCCGATGAAAGTTTCTTTTAACTAGAGCAATATCTTGTCGGGCTCGAACCTATTACAGGGTTATAATTAAATTACTATTGCTTCAAATACCATATGTATCAGTGGGCCTATGATTATTTTTAGCCAGGAATAGGATACAATAGTGATTGTCATTAAGACTTTATAACAAAAGTGAATGCAGATAATTAATTATGTCTTCTTAAATGCTACTGAAACTAATTTAAGTTTACCTTTATGAAACTCGAAGATGGATTAGAATTACCTTCAATTTCTCCATTTTCCTACAAAATCGTAGTCTATTACCTAGAGGGACGGAGAGAAAGAGAGAGAGAGAGAGAAAACAATCGATTTCGACAAGAGGTTAAAGAAATAGAAACAAAAATATATTGAACTTTAAAGTTTCTTTTAAAAGTTTAATAGAAAGAATTAAAAATTATAAAATTTTCCCACAAAAGTAAATTATTTTTTATCAAAGAAAAATCTTCAGAGGAATGAAGAATAGAACAAAATAAAAAGAAAAAGAAGAAAGAGAGTTAGAGTAAAGGAAATAATATTGCTAGCGATTTCTTCAAACGTTGTGACTTAGGCGACATCTATTATATATGACATAGAAAGAGGAAAATATACTCTTTCCCCGAGGGAAAACCATATTTCAATATGTCAATATCCTTTATATACAGTATAAATGTGAGAAAATGTATAAAGAATATTCCTCCTAAGACTTAATAATCAATATGAATTTTAATAAATCAATTAATTATTGAACATTCCACTGAATTTCTTTTTGTATTTTTATTGATAGAGCAACCTTTGTTATTGGATTAAAGGACACTTTCGAAAGATTATTTAAAATTATCTTATAAATTATTAATAATATTGAGACTATCGCATTTTTTCTATTAAAGATTACATAATAATATAACGATTATTCGCCTTAAAAACTGGTATTAATTGAAAAGTGACAAAAACAAAATCAAACAAATTAGTAATATAGAACTAACAGAGCGAAATATTTTTTCTTTTTTAATCTATAGAATTGATTAACATACCTACCTACTCAGAGAGAGAGACTCTTCCTATCATTATTAATAATAGACAGATAATGAAGCTATTGAATGAAGAATAGTAGACAGTAGAGTAAGATATAAAATTGTTTTTTTTAATGTTAAATTATTCAATACTTGGTATTAGCATCCTTCCTTACTTTCTTATTCATTTATTGTATATTTAGTTATATAAAATATAAATATTAAAAGATGATGAAAAACATAGTGTTCAGCGACATCTACAGTATATGTTTCGATATAAAAATACATCTGGAGTCTATTTGTTATCTGTAAAGTTATAATGCGTAAATATAATGTATGTTTTTTAATTTGAAATGCAGTTTAATATAAATTTGAAGTACAACAGTATGTGATAATTAAAATCAAGGCATGTAGTTTTAAAACGCTATCATGTTCAATAAGATATTCAAGCAGAAAAAAGTCGGCTGATATATAGATTATGGTTCATTCGAGAGATGAAATATACGTAATCTCAAAGTTAAGAAACCTATGTGTAAACAATGTTTCAAATAGATATTTAAGTGTCACACTCTTTGTTCAAGTGGTATTCATATAAATTTCATAAATCTCTACAGTTTACGGACAAAAAGCCAAAAAAGATTATAGAATAGAACAAAAAGAATTTGGGAAAAAGTTCACTTCTTTATCATGGATACCAAAATGGTGACTTCTATTAATGAAAAATATAAATTCCTAGTAATAAATTTCGTTTCCAGAGTACAGGTTGAATTTCCTTCTTACATCCTATTATATCGTCCAACTACTTGACGGCAATTTGGACAAGTATGAACAACATCCTTACATCCATCAATGCAAAATGGCACAAGGCAACATCCGATAACAAAGCCAAGAAGGCATATCACTCCAGCTGCAACCCACGTAAGAGTTCCCGTTTCATAATTGATTGCTGTAACAACATCAGCTTTGCAGAAATTGCAGTTGATTCTGATAGGACTTTCCCGGAAATGTTGTACAATCATCGAAGTCGCAGGCATTGCTCCAGGTTGTATAGTAACATTTGTGGTAGTTGAAGTTAGGTTTTGACCTATTACAGCAAAAAACTTGATGAAGTATATATAATGTATAGTATACTATTGTGTATATATAATTTCTATAATTTTACAAACATGCACAAAAGAACGAATTTATCTGCTAGTAAGCTTAACAATAACTTAAATAAGAACAAAACTAATGACATCATGACATCTTGTTATTGTTGTGGATATTTTGATTTTAAAAGTATCAATACATATACAAGTCTATACTGTATATATACAATATATGCATATATATAAAGTATATTAATATATATTAGTAATAATGTATATTCTGTAACGGCTACTATCAACTAATGACTTTCATCTAAACGAATTATATAAGAAAAAGAAAGATTATATACTGCTCTTCATAAATAAAACAATATCATTATATGGCGCGAAAATACCTACATGCAATAGTACAACAGTATAGATTAATAATATACCTTTCTACTACAATCTATTAATATTTAGATCAGAAAAAATTACCCGGATTGTAGTAGGGATATCCTGGAAAGATGATAAGAGGTATTATATACTTTCATTTTATACAGTACCAGTTTGTATATATATATATAAATATATATGTGTAAAAATATTAGATCTGCTAATTATATTTCCTATGTCTTAACTTGTTCAAATCATTATATCATGAAGAAGGGAACATTTCCAAGGTCTATAATATTCTTATTCTTACACTTCTTCCTTCTAATTGATGTAATTCAGTATTTGTATACTTAATTTTATAATTTTAAATATTAGATAATAAATTAACCAGGTCCTTGTAGTGGAGGTCCATAGTTCTGTTGACCTAGGGGTGGAGACCCATAGTAAGACTGTCCCATAGGCGGGGCAGGTTGACTATAGCCTGTATAAAAAACACTTGTTAAGATTGAAAAATTATGATTATAGCTTGTTATTAAATAGGGAGTTAAATGTTCAAGCATGTTTTGCATGCCTATGCCTCATGACTCATTCTAGATTGCCAACTATGAATTAAATAGTTCATTTACCTTGAGGATAGGCGGGGTTGGTTGCATCAGTATAAGCGGGAGGATTATTGATTCCATAGGGCTGAACAGGTGGAGCTGATGGATCGGCCTGCAAAGGAAATAAGTTATATGTTTACATTGGTTATGGCAACGAAGTATTAGTAAAATGCGGCGCAATTGTTCAAAGTATTGCATTTATGATTTCTGGACAGGTGACATTTTATTCTACTAACCTTCATCTTTTTACAAATCGATTACAGTATAGAAAGGAAAATGAAATCAATTTTTCTATTCGAAATCAGAGAATATTAAGGCGTTTTCTGATTGCCGATGGTTTTTCTTAAATTCTGACGTCAGAAACAACAGGGAATTTCTGACTCAGAATATCGAGAGGGTTGTGTTTCCGGGGGGAATAAGAAACCATCTTATTCCCTCCATGGTTTTTATGTGGTACGCATATATAACTATTCATTTGTCGATTTACGCTATCGACAAACATTGTTTTTTACCTACAATTACATATTTAATGACTAACAATACGATACAATTTAAAATTCAATTGTATAAATAGTTACACTGGTATTAAATTATGTTATAAGACAAAAGAATTTATGTAAATCGGCCTTTCGATTACTTTTAAAGATTACTTTTAAATAGAGAAGAAACTTTTGCAATGTACTAAAAAATAGAAACAATACTTGATCCCTCTATTCAAAAGATTAAATGGAGATTTTAACGATAAACAATACTTGAATATATCACTTTCAAAGGGAATTTCTACTTTAGTAAACTTCTAATTCCTCGCAGACACAGCCCAAGCCGCACCCCACCTTCGTCTCCATTCTGTTAATTCTAAAATTATCGGTCTGACTAACCAAAAGACCTATTATTCAATTCTTTAAGTAAAGTGCCTTTTTTTATAGGATAAGTCAGCGAGAAATTATGATATATTAGCGATATTAATCGAAGAATAAAAGAACGTTATTGATCTTATTTTCCGAAATAGAATTAAGATTAAATTAAATAAAAAATATGTGCGTGACCACTATATATATAAATTTATTTATTTATAATCAACAAATTGAATAACTCTTATGAATTATTATATAAACAGCAATAGTTTCAATATAGCTAATTTAATTTATCAGTTAGAATGCCCAATTTAATATCCTTCTTATTTGGTAATTAGCTAATATAAGATATTCTGAACAATCATGAATATATAATATCTTTTATCTCTCTCTCTCTCTCTATTTCTTTCTTCCTTACTTCTAGTCAATCATAATCTATCGTGTAAAGTCATTTTTCTTACGAATAGTCCATTTATTCCGTTTGCTTTCTTTTCATAGTTAAATTGTTCATACATTTTTAGTAGTTGATCTTGCAGAGATTCTTCAAGTTTTTGTCTTCTTGGAGGAGCACTTACCGCTCTTCTCTTGGCTAGTTCTACTACTTTTTCTCTTTTAAAATCTTTTTCGTCATCCCTTCTTTGAGTGACGGCCGATTGAACTCTTTTTATCTTATTTACTGGTGAGTTTGTACGTCTTTTAATACTTACCGAAATTGTTGAATTTATAGTAGGCACTTGCTCTAGAACGGGTGGACCATAATAGCGAGTTCGACCAGATATCGGTCTAGATGGAGGGGTCGAACACGGTGCAGAAATACTTTTATTACGCGTCTTAATTGGCTTTATTCTAAAAGCCGTGTAGATATTCGTATCTTGCATTGGCTGAACTTTAAGTGGTTCAGGTTTGGGTGGCCGCTGAAAAGGTTTATGAAGGGGAAATTTCTTGGGCACAGAGCACGAACTCTTTATTCTTACTGAAAAGAATTTTTCAAAGTCATATTTATTTAAGCTGTCGTTTGTATTTGCCTGCAGATGGAGTTATTAGAAAAACATTCTTTCAAAGTTGACTTTTCCGCTAAACTCCTTTACACAGTGCTCGAAAAGTTAAGATTGAAGAACTTAATAAAAAAACAAGTGCTAGTTGACACAATATAATACTAATATTGCAATTATGTAATTCATAATAAGATATTCAATATCTTTCAATTTTATTGACTTAAGTTGATAATGTTTAAAGGAGTTCGACCTGAATACGACTCTTTTACTTACTATTTATTTTTTAGTGTTGAATAATAATCTATCTATTCTGAATTAGAGCAATAAACATTAATTTTAGAGCTTTCTTATTCTGTACAATAAATACTGAATTTGTCATAACAACAGATATCTGTTGAAAAATTCAACTAGTGTTATTCAATATTTTACTCTCGTCTATTTAACATGGAATTGTAATGGTATTTAATAGAAATATTAATATGCATACGTACTACTCAATGATTGCAATATATTAAATAATTACCTTCCCATTTTCTTCTTTCTTCCAATATATCTGCAATAACTGGATAATTCCATTTATTCGCCATGTTTTGGCTGTTCAACACGAAAAGACCCTCCTGTATAATCTACGGTATAATCCCAACTGATTATGAATACTTAAAGGTCTACTGTATTAAATATCGATCCTTAAGAGCATGAACAAAGGAAAACACAACAATTATTCAAATAAACGGGATTTTTCATGCATAACCTGAATTTAAGGGAATTTTATAATAAGCTCTATTACAGGTTCCTATCTCTTACTTTCAGCAAATTCTAAAAGTAAAGTACATTTGAAAAGATTGATAAGCAATAGGACAAATATTTTTACAATGCAAAATGATGAAATGTTATCATTTTTTCTAAAAATAAAAGTAACAAAGCTTATTACAATTTTAAAGAGGAGGATAATAAGCAAATTCGCAAGGTTAACATGAATTAGGAAGGCGTTTACTTTTCCTGCAGGACACCTTCTGAATGTAAAATTGTTCGTGATGTTACAAAATATATCTGAGCGGTTTTTTTTAGTTTCTGTTTTTTGTTGCTATTTATAGAATAAAAGAAACGTTTTACTGTTTTTCCTATCTACATCTCATCTACCAGGGATTGACAGTGTCGAAACAGACGCTTTTAATAGACGCCTAAGGATAGTTATAAAACAGAGAAAGAGAGAATTCTTCCAACATAGTTACAACTGAACCGGAAGAACGCATTTATAAAATAGTTTTAGGCGCAAAAGCGGGGTAGAAATTTATTAAATAAAAGCGATTCTTTGCCTGATAGAGAAAAGGAACATTTATGTAAATTTGATAAAGACGAGCTTGGAAAGAAGTAGCTTTAAAGTAAAAATATACAGTATATATATATATATATATATGTCTTAATATTGCCCTAGATCTTTGACTAGACTTTGAAATTTTTATATTTTCAGAGAAAAGATACCCTGAAGTGTTTATCGTTAAATTTCCTTTTAAGAAATATTTTATATATCTATTTATAGAAAAATTGCCAAAATTGTTAAAAAAAATAAGAAAAGGCCGATTCTTTTTCTATTTACGTTATATTATAAAAGAAGTAAATAAAAAACATATCATTGATCTAGTACAAAAATAGTTAAAAAATGCAACTGTAAACGAAAAGAAAAAAAGAAGAAAAATAATTTTAAATCGTCTTTTTTCCTCATTTTTCTTTAAATAAATAAGTAATTTATAAATGAGAGATAATCAGCAGTTTCTTGGACAATAAATAACATACAAATTGATCAAGTTATAGAAGAACTAGATGAATACAAGTTTAAAACTTTTTACTGTATGGAATATCTTTGAAAAAATTATCATTTTTTCCGATATTTTCCACTGAAAACGTTATAAAAATGATATATGAGTATAAATAGAAATATATATACTGTATATATATATATATTCTGTATATATATACTGTATACTGCATGTAATATCTACAGAAGCTCTTCCCCATTCATTATATCTCTCAAGATTTCGTTTTTTAATTTGGAGGTTTAAAAGATTTCGACTGGAGTTTCTCTACTGTAGTTAAATTTTCCATTGATTGATGTGCCTTCTTCTTTGAATCAGATCTAATTAATGAAATATTCAGATGTATAATTACTTAATTTCTCTTATTTATGATAATAATGTTACCTGTATCTAAGGAGTAGTGCTATTAAAGTCACAAGTAAAATAAGTGCGGCAATTCCCACGCATATTCCAATAATTACTGTTTTTTAAAAAAAGGATGAAATAAATAATAAAATTAATAAATTTTCTTGTAAAAGAAGATATTAATATATACTTGGGATTATGTCATCATCGCTATTATCATCCTCAGATCCTGCAGGTGGCGGTAATGTTGTGCCAAACCACCTTGAAATGGAAATAAAATCTGGACTGTTCATTTCTGCAGTCGTTTGTTTATTGCTTCTTGTGGAAACTTCTCCTCTTGTAGTGTCTACTATTTTTTGTGTTGTTTCTTGTACGCTAGGTTTTGCCGTAGTTTCTTGTTCATTCAGTTTTGTTGTAGTTTCTTGTTCACTCGTAGTTGTTTTCGAGTTTGTGGTAGGTTCAAAGTTGCTTGTAGTGGTTTGTCTGGCTGGTATAGGAGCTCTTAAACCGCAAATAACTTCTAGTTGATTTGGTGATGTGTCATTTACTATTTAGGGAAGAGAAAAAAGGAAAATTTTATTCACGCAAACTTACTAAAAGAGTTATTTCAGATTTGCTTTTTACGCTAAAATAATCAAAGAAAGGTCAAAAAGCTGAAAATAGCTGAAGTATATTAAAAGGGAAAGTCCAGCATTTAAGCCTTAAAAATGTCTATTAATTTACCATTAAGGGGTTAAGCTTTGTTTTCCTGTTAGGTTGTTTAATCTTCTAAATTGTTTACGAAAGTAGATATGAGAAAGTAGATTAGATCACGCGTTAATAATCTTCTTTTAGTGAGGTTCGACAACTTGCACGATTGTACATGTAAAATCCGATTGATTTTATATCATAGACACACGAGTTAGTGATGTCAAAGCAACGACAGTCGCGTGACGGTAATTTACCTCATAAACAGTGAGAAATATGACAAATGCGATGATTGGTTATACATCGTTGACCATAAAAGGAATAAATAGAGCGAATATACAGCAAATAGATTCATCATATAAGTTTCTATCGTACGTAAATAATTACATAAAAATCTATTATCTTTATTATCATTTGCCAATGATTGTCACTTCTTTCAATTAAACAATTGCTAGCAGCGAGTGAAGAGGAAAGAGGATGAAAGATATATAAAATAGGCTCTTATATTATTTAAGAAAGCGGAAAATTATGAAGAAAATGAGTATTCATACCTGAAATTTCGGCGTTGTAATATATTTTACCGCCAATCTTCTCAACGGCAAAATATAACGTCTTTTCCTTATCCTGACAAGGTATCGAAACAGAATCCCGTGAACATACTTTAGTTGGAGAGCTGCTGTCTTCTCCGATTAAGAGATGATTTTTACAATCGTCAAATTCTCCTGGTTTAGTTGACGCAGTGAATTGTACTACCACTTCATGATTAGCCGGGACCGTCATTCGGCACATGCACTTTGTTTCTATATATGTTGTGGACGTAAGCATAAAGTAATATCCTTGATTTGAGACGGTATCAGTGCAAAAATCTTTCGAAATTGTTCCTACAGAACCTAATTTTGGTTCACAGAACCATTTAAGTCTGAGCTCTGAATCATTTGGCGAACTTGGACAAGCTGTAGTGTTATACTGAAAAAGATCCAGTCCGGTTGCGCATATATCTGACAAAAAACAGGCTCTTCTCATGTAGCTCAGAGCGTCCGCCAACTGACAGTTGTCCCTGTAGAGTTTGGCTTCGACAAATTGTATCGTACTTCCTCTAGGACAGTCCAAAGTGAAAGAAACACTTTCAGGTTTGTAGAATACATCTTCCCGTTGAACTATTTCAAAAAGGTTATTGTATACAGTATATAAAGTGAATAAGGTATATATCTTATCCCTAAAGATTATAGTTTTATCCAAAAACAAATAATAAAGTCTTTTTTTATATTCGTATAAATAAAACTCTAGAAATTAAACTAAAGTGAATGGTTTTATTAAGTATAGTATAGAATTTACATAAAATTGTCAACGAAACAGTAAAAATATCTTCTTTTTTTTTTAGTAGAACTTGTGTAAGAGCAAAAAAAACTAATCACTTTGATTATAATTAACTTCAAAAGTACTTTGCAATCTTGTGGGTATTCTCTTTAGTAGTGGAATGTAAAGAATCCATTAGATTAAGCGTGAGCAATCTAGTTCAATTTACAAATGCTCTTCCCCCTTATATTTTCTTAGTTTAAAACTAATATAAATACTATTAATAATAATAATTCTAGTTTTTGGCGATTTAATAAGTTTATTAAATTACAAGAGTTCTTAAAAGGAAAAGCATAAAGAATATCTAAAAAGAGTAGAATAAATAGGATATCAATTTATTTTTTTAATTATAATACCAAACTCTCATTGCGAGAAATGAAAAGAATAAAGAAATATATAATATCTACGAAGAAAGATAACTGTAAGTAGAAGAAGAAGAGAGAAAGAAGAAAAAAGAGAATATATTTATCTTTTAAAAATGTATATAAGGAGGGGGAGTGGGTGGGCGGGAAATATTTTTCTCCCCAATTCCTTTTTGACTAAGTCACGGTAAACCGCACCCTCCTAGGTTGCGTATGACAGTTGAAACGAAAGAAAAAAACATTGTATAGTATGTTTATTTTCATTCACGAAGCGGTATAATTCTCATGAATTCGTAGGAAATGTTATATCATTTTTTCTAATTACATATTTAAAATTTTACAAACTTTCATTATAGACAGAGAATAGTTACCTTTATTACAAATGGCGTTAATAGTTTGAAGTAAAAGTGAAAACGTCAATATATTGCGAAGTAAAGCCTTCATCGTGACTGTGTTCTAGCGGAGTGAATAATCGAAGGTGAAGTCTTTCTCTATTTATACAATCTCGGCCAAGGTAAAGGTGAGCTTAATGCAGCTTAAAAGCGGTCTCGAGAAACACACCGATATACGAATACAATAAAGAATGGAGCTACGCCCGTACTATAGGCCTTCCAAGGCAAAGACTCCGATGAATAATATTATCCAAAACTGTGAAGGATAAATAAAAAGGGTAGTCACGTGATGGCTTTAAAAAATCGATCAGCGACCGTATACTCCCTTATCGCCTTAGAAGAACTCTATTGGCTATCCTTTTACAACGATTCCGACATCCGAAGCCCGTTTTGTAATTTTTATTACATTTTCTCTTACATTCCCTGTAGTATAAGTTATTTGTTGAAGACAATTGACAGTAAAAGTTTGTTTTATGAGTGTCTTTCTATAAAAGTTGCTTAAAAATATGGGATTCTATATACTATATAGAGTATATCTATATATATATAGAGAGAGAGTATATCTGAAACTAAAAAAACAAGTTACGTTGCCGCCCATTTCGCTTGACAAGCTGGATAGCACGCAGATTGTGGATCCATATTCCTTCTACAGTTCTGCAACAAGTTAGAACAGTCTATATTTCCCATCAGATTTTTTGCCCGTATATTTCCGCATTTTGCTAAGCAATTGTTGTAGGCCTCTCGGCAAGAAGTTTTACAGAGGTTCTTAAAGGGGTTATTTTGTCCTAACGAACCCTGACAAACAAGGAGGCAAGGAATGAATGAAATAAAAAGAATTCTTTTCATATTTAGTTTATGAAAATTGAAAATTAAAAATCTGATTTCGAAACGTCACGTTCATTTGAAGTTTGTATCGAAAGAAAAACTCTCTTTATCAGAAGAAGCGAATAAGAAAAAGCGTTTTGTTAATAAAATCATTGTCGATTTTTAATAATGATAGATGCGTCAGTACTTAATGAAATAGAACTACCAGAGGTAACAGAAGTGTAAAGATGATAAACTAAAAATAATTATCTTTTTATTATCTGTACATCTGTATTATATGATTAGAAATATCCTATTTTTCTCTTTCATATACTCAATAATTGGCGTAATCAAAAAAAATGACCGTATATTTAAACCTAAGGGGAAAGAAAACCGGTTAAAGATGAAAAAAAGTTAAGGGGGAATTAATCCTCTTTAGCAAGAGGATTTTCCAGTATTCCTTTGTTTCTTTCAGCTTAGCGGAAGTATCCAGATTGACTTTCTTAGTGCATTTGATTCTCTAACTAAAAAAAATTTCTATGCTTAGTTTACCATGACTTCCTTTACTTTCCCTTTTCTAACCCCAATTCGCCCTTATCTTAAAAGTGATTAAGTTTTTCAAAAAAAGAAAAAACAAATTTCCTTTTCTTCTCTCTTTGCTTTCGAAATCTTTTCAATCATAATTTATAAATTTATACTATCGTTCCACATACACATTGATTATATTTTCCTTGTAAGATTGATGATTTCATTTGAAAAATTTCAATGCAAGTAAGGGAATCTGCAAACAAGGTTAATGCAAAAACTGGAATAGACGTGATGCAGTTATATTAAGAATAGGGGGTGCAGCATACAAACATCGAATTGTTTGTCGTTCTCTAATATAATCCCATGGATACTTTATCTTAGTCAGAGATAAGTTGAGTTGAAGCTTTTAAAGATACTATGCTTTCTTTGTATTACGCAATAAATCATTTGATTAATTTCGCCAATTAATATTTATTATTCAACTTATGGTGATTATTTACCTTTCAGTATTAGTTTTTTATTGTTTTCTTTTATTCAATAAATTTTTCATTTCCAAAGCAAAAATCTGTTACATAACAAATGCTTCTTCTCAGTTTTTGTTCCTTCTCTTTCTCTCTCTCTCTCTCTCTCTCTCTCTCTCTCACTTCTTCTCCCTCCTGGTTTCTGTGCGTTTTTTGCAATTAGCCAGAGTGTACGTATTTTAAGAAACAGTTTGGACCATGAAATATGGAAAAAATTTGATTTAAATTCATACTTTCTTAGAAAAAAGAACACAGTACAAAGATGTTTTTCAATTGTGTAAGATAAAAATATAGTTTATACAGTATATACTGGAATATATAAATATATCTCCTCCTTCATTACATGTCTGTAGTTGTCCTTTATAAATTAGATATTAAATCTTTGTATTATCTTGTAACAGTGGAACGGATACACCCACGAAAGTATTATCATATTCATCGGCCGGTCCAGCAGCCAATGGTTCGTAAATATGCCGGTATCGATCTAGAAAGGACGAGTCGATTTCTGTCTTAAACTTCTTTAATCTTCGCCGAATCAGGCCTATAGCAACAGCTAAGAGAACCGAGAGAAGGACTACGGTTAGTATAATTAAATTTGGGACAGCGGGACTGTAGAGGGCGCTTGGCTCTTCCTCCCGTCGATTAGTGCCAGTTGTCTGAGTCGATATGGGGATGATGAGATTTATTGATGATCGTTCGACGGATTCAGTCGAAGTTTGCATAATAATCGTGTATTCTGATATATAACTGGAAAAATGTAGCTGTATCCTTTTTTCTATAGCCTGTTTCCAAACAATACGTAAAAAAATTAGATATAAATATAACAAAAAAGGCTTTTTACTTGTTCAACGCATCACTACACGACGACTCACACTATCTCCTCTCCCTTACTATCTTCCTTCCTGATACTACCTCTTGTCATTTCACTTCCTACTCTCTTATTCGAATAGATTTTTTAATTGGTTTTTTTTTTCTCTTTTTCTACGCAGAAATGTTAAAACTACAGTTTTGCTCAAAAAAATAAAAATATAATTAAGACTAATAAAACTAATTTCGAAGAGAAGAGAAAGAACCTCCTATTCTGACTTATTTGTCGAAGGGCACTTCAAATTATCCCTGAGGGCTTCCTATTATCATTAATAGTATTTCTTTATTTCAAATAGAATACTTAAAGATTGCTTGTCACTTAATTAGAGATTAGTTTGCACCGTTTTTAATAACTATATTTACTCTTTTTTATGCTTTTTTAGTTTACAGTTTATTTTATGTTTTTGTATATAAAAATTGAATAAAAATACTTTATTAGTATAAATAATTAAAGAATAGAATACTACTTTTAATAGATATTTTGTAAATATTTTGATTGGTTCCTTTGAACTCGTCAAAACAATTGAATTTTGTTGAAAAAAAAATGACTACAAATCATTTTGGAAGCCGGAGCTAAAGAACTATTCTGTTCTAAACAAAACTGAACAAAACTTGTCAACTTATCTTACACTATATGAGAATATTTTGACAAAGGAAAAGTCGGAACTCTCTGAGGCGTCAAATTCTAAAATGCCTCTGGCGTCTCTTATTCTATTCTTCACTCGAACGCCTTTGAATCCTGCATTAGAAGAAGAATAGTAATTAAAACAGACGTCTTTCTACAGTAAGAATCTAATATGCAAATATTTAAGGAGTATTCTCTAAGTAACATGGTTTGAGAGAACAGCGGGGAACTAATGACTAGTCTCTAAGTCTGGCGAAAGAGAAACGTTTTATTTATGTAAAAATTATACATCATTCATACTTTAGATATATACATTAATTTACTAGTAAAATATTAATATACTATTTATCTACCTATATTAATAAAAAGCCTTGTGAATTGTCTGAATCGTTTTAGAGAAGCGAACATTAAGAAAACACACAAATGCAAAATAATTTATTGTAACATCGCTACGAACGAAAAGAAATGAAATTTTCTATCAAACCTTGATTATAAAGCTAAGAGATGAAACAACTCTTTCTGTACTATACAATCCAAAAGTTATCAAAATGTTCTTTATTTTATTTTATTATCTTAAAACGACGAACGATGGCACAAAAATTCGTGTTTCTTTATCCAACGCCCGTCCAGTAATAAATAATCTAAATGTAAATATATATGAATTTCGCTCGGCAACCGTTCCGGAGAGATGTCTTCGTTTCGTATGCGTTTAGCGTTCTTACAGATACGTAGCTCTGCGATTCGCCAACTGTGGCGACATCTATAGTTGCGTTTTAACCTTTGACTGTGGAAAAAGAAGAGGACACAGTCATCGAGTTATTCATGTTTCATATGGAAAAATATATTGTAATTTATAATAGGTTTTTTATTGTCTAAATAACATTTAAAGTTTGCAAAAATAGGGAATGTTCCGTTCCTGTTTTCCGCCCCTTCCCTCCCCTTCACCCAACAAAATGACTAAAAGTCATGTAATGATATAGAAATCTGCAAAAAAATTAACAAAATTGAGTAAATATTAACTTTCATGTTTTTGTAATGAAACTTCTTTATATTTACTTCCTTTTTTAGGGCAATTAACGAATAATTTCTCAATGATTATGGAATTGATAAGGATGTTTATTGATAAGAATCGTTAAGTAAAGCTATATATTATAACCAAACTAAAAGAGAAAAGTAAAAAAGGAGTGGCCTAGGTTTCTCGTACTATTTTATTTTAATTGGAATAAAGGCGTTTTCTAAACTTAATATGAGATTATCATTAAAATAGTATTGTAAAAGAGAAATGAAACAAAAAAAATGACATTACTACTATTAGAGAATTTTGCTAGGATCAGCCTTATCTTGGCACCAGTCAGCCAGTCAGCAAATATAATCAAACTAACATCCTAGAGGCTAACAAAAGAGTCGCCGTTTCGATTTCCTTTGACAAATATGATGTTTATAACGATTATCTACCAGGTTTTCATCTTTTTTATAAGAATTATAATATAATTGGTCAATTCACAAAATTATCATCAAAAGAGAATCTTATTTACTAATCTTTTAACTAATATATTAATTATGTAATAAAAAAATATTTTCCTTATGATCTATTGTTTTATGCTTTGAAAATTGATAAGATTGATTATTGACGTTATAATGATTAATAACGTTATATATTATATTTGTTCAGGACAGATTTACATGCTTTTTGTTATACATGTTAAATATCTCTATAGATCATTCATTACATATAATTGGGGTTATTCTTTGTCTATCTACCTATCTATGTATCTACATCCAAATTACTTCTTTCTAAATCATGTTAATCGTAAGATATTCCTTTCTTTAATAGTCAGAGATTTATTTAATTTTTACACATATGGTTTTCTTCTCTGTAAAAAAGTCTAGACTTTGTTTCGCTCCTTCTCTACCAGTTCCCGATTCTTTCATACCTCCAAAAGGCATATTCAAATTTCTTATAAGCCAGCAGTTAGCCCAAACCGTTCCAACCTATTATTGATTGATTGATATACAGTATAGCCAAATTTATATGAATATTGCAAATGTTATATCACTTACATTTAAGGCTTTAGCAACTCGATGAATAGTTCCGACATTCTCTGACCAAATGCTAGCACATAGACCATAATCGCTGTTATTAGCTCTCTTTATAACTTCTTCTTCAGTTTTAAATGGAACAATACAAGTTACCGGTCCGAATATTTCTTCTTGCATCAACGGTGAGTCATCGGCTACATTAGTAATGGCGGTCGGTAGTATAAAGTAACCCTAAATTTTAGATAGAAAGAAATAAATTTTACTAGTCTAATCTTAAGTAATCAATGGAGACAAATTGTTAAATTATTTACGTCTTTGCAATTTTCAGGCAATTTTAATTCGTCAACTCCATCACCGCACAAAATTTTCCCTCCAATCTTCTTTGATAAATCAATATAACTTTTGACCTTATTATAATGCTGTCGGCTTATCAATGCCCCCATATTGGTATTAGGATCCTCAGGATCTCCAACTTTTATATTCCTTGAATGGAAAATATAATTAAAAAAGTTACTTGCAACTTACATTTTGATATTAAAAGAAATTTGAAATTACCTTGCTAATTCGATGTATTTTGAAATAAACTGTTCAAATATTTCTTCTTGAACATATATTCTACTTGTACAAAGACAAATTTCTCCTTGATTAGCGTATGACGATCTATAAGATAAAAAATAGTAATCATTTAATGGGTAGGGTGCTGAATTTTATTTATACAAACTTCATAATAACTGGAAAACAATTTTCAAGATTTGCGTCTTTAAATACAATTGCTGCATTCTTTCCTCCTAACTTTAAATTATTTTTTATAGAAAATTCATTATAGAGGAAAGCACAAACTATAACTTTTAAATGTGTATGACCACTATATAGTATTCATAATTGGAAATAATCTTACTTCAAACGAAAATTTCTTGCATAAATCTGTAGATCCTTCTCTGATTCTTGATGCTGTTACAGTACTACCGGTAAAAGAAATTAATGGTACATCTCTATGCTTCACAATAGCGTTTCCTGTCCGATTTCCGGTGCCAAAAACTATATTAACAACTCCATCCGGAAGTTCTGAGTCAAAGTTCAAGGTTCTATTAGTTTTGTTAATTTAGAAAGAGGAAAGAGGGTAAAAACCTGCTTGTTTTAGCACTTCACACAACATAAAAGCAGTAACTGAAGTCATTTCACTCGGTTTACAGACAACCGTACAACCAGCCGCAATGGCCGGAGCAATTTTCCAAGTTAAAAGGTATAAGGGTAGATTCCATGGAGAAATTAATCCAGCAACCCCTACTGGACATGACTGAGTATAATTTAGAGTACCAAATTCCTCTTGGAATACTGAACTATTAAAATAAATTAAGCAATTATAGAGAAATTGAATAGCTCAAATCTGAATAACAACGACAAACTCCATTTTAAAAAAAACAAAGTTAAAACTTAATACTTTTTGACCTATTTACAGAGTTATCTACAAAAACCTATACGGATGATTTGCGTCCGAAATACAATCGTACAATAGGGTACAATAAGCCTCATTAAACAATACTGCTTTTCGAAGAATACAGTATATATAATGCATATCTTTTTGTTGGTATTAAGACAACTGTAAGTTACTAAAGAGTACTATCACACAACATATTGGTAATGGGTATGAATGTTAATACGTAAACAAGGATGGATCTAACTTACTCTTCTAAGTTATGTAATATAACTGAAGCAAAAAATCTAAAATTATAAACGGCTCTTGGTATATCAACAGCTCTTGCTAATGATACCGGCTTTCCTTGATCCGTTGACTCGGCAATTGCAAATTCTTCTAAGCGTTTTTCTAATAGCTCTGCGATTTTCATTAAATATCTTGACCTCTCCTGAGCTGATATATTAGACCATCTAAGAAAAAAAGAAACCAAAGATATTGAATAGGGAATGGCAAATTAGATAATCTTTAACTCTTTATTATGACACGAAAGAAAAATTAATTTTACTTATGAAAGGCGTTCTTGGCAGAATTAACTGCTTCATTAACCTCTCTTTCATTACTATTCGGTACTTGCGCCCATATTTTTCCAGTTGATGGATTTTCTGATTCCAAATAATCTTCCGCGTCATAAAATTCTCCGTTTATAAAGTTTTTTAATGTAAGCATTTTTGCACTGATCAACAAAATCAAAAAATCTACCAGATAGTTTCGACTGTGTAAGAGTTTTGGTGTACGAGATACTATTTTTTTTGGATAGGACAAATAGAGGGCGCTATATTATCGTAATTAGACACCTCTCAATGTGTTATATTACTACACACATAGTCCTATGTCCAAATATAAAAAGAACTCTATTTTAAAATGTAGACTATGTAAGACTATTAGTTAGAGTACTGTTAAAAAATCTAACAAGAAATAATCTTTTCATATTCTGTCTGGTTATTTAGTTATACAAAAAACAGGAGACACTTGAATATTACAGAATTATCTTGGAATAATTACATTTACTAATCATAATTGAGCGTTATTAATGTCACTAACAGGTGGAATTTTTTTGTTTTTTAGCTATTTTCACTTGTTTCTTTCCAAAATCTCATTTTTTCTATCATTAAATAAGCTATTTTCATAGATATTTTACCTGTCGATATGTCTATAGAGTTGCTTTTATCCTATTTTAATTCTCGATAGTCAATATTCAATTGACTATTGTTTTATTTAAAGAAAATTTATGTTAAATATTCTTTGATGTTGAATTAGTCTGGACAAGTAACAAGTTGCATTTTTAATAAATGAATGACGATGTTGCTTATATCAACTGGAAAAAAATTCAATTTTCGTTGGAAATGGCATCTGTTTTTCAATTATCCTTTTTGATGGGTTCGATCGAAGTGAATTCTCCTTCGAATAATGTAGGTCCAAGAATAAATGAAGGGTTGATTGTTACTAAATCGAAACATTGGCCTATTTTCTGTATTTTGTTCCTCAATGAATATCTAAGCAACCAAAGATCCACAAAGAATTCTTACTTTTAGTATATGCCATTGTCGATTTATCACTAGCTCTTGTCCAATCATTTTCTGTATATGGACAATCAGCTTCGAATCTACTGGAAATCGATAATACATAGTTGGTACGAACAACTTATGGAAAAGTGCAACTGTTGCGACAGCCTTGAGAATGTTTCTCTTCTTGCTATAACTACCTAATTTATCTCAGTTTCATCCTTCGAGGTAGTTATAGAAAACGATCGAATAGGAGGTTATGATAATTGTCTTGTATCGCCTTTTATTCGAATGTGTCACAGTTCAAAAGGTCACTTTCATCTGAGCATAAAAGTTCAGGGCTTGATTTCCTTCTTGATGCTGAATTACAAACACAGGCTGTAACAGAGACATCAATCTCAAGATAGCATTTAAAGACTTGTAAAGCGACAAAACCAGTTCTTCCGGTAGCCAACACTCATTTCATTGACATGTTTTTGCACTTACAGATATTCCACATTGTCGAAGGCATCAAGAAAAAAATATTCTTTATATGGGACATATCGGTTATCCATCTCTCTTTCCATTTCCAATATATTTAATAGAGAGGAGAGATAAGGGTGTAGCGATACTTTAGTAATCCAGGGATTGTACGATATTCATGATGGGACGATAATCTGGGAAGATATATAAATATGTATATAAATAGTGCTAAAAATAACATCGTAAAATGAGGATAATAAAGCCATTGTTTTGTTAGGAAATTACCCATAACTGATAAAAACCTGTATCCGATAAGAAAGCTTCAATTCTAATAGGTATACCATTAAACGATTGATAAAGGGGACTAATAGCTTTGTTAAATTTAATAGAAATATTTAATATTCTTGATATCGTATTATTAGTTGATTATATAGAATTAAATTATATTTAATGAAGGTGTTTCTCTTTAAAAATCTATTAATTTTAATAAAAAAGATGGTGTAAAATATTTAATACAGTGATATTTTGTTTTCAAAAAACGGTGAGATATTAATATTTCAAGTATACAATATCAAATTTTTCATCTTTTTACCCCATTAAGCAAAGAATGAAATTGAAGGCTAGAGATTAGCTAGCTGATTCCAGGTGATTGCCATTTTATACTTAAAAAAATAACATATTTCATTAAAATTAATTAATCGACCGTTATTAATAAGATTATTATAATCATTAATTAATTTATTGAAAGGTATATTCTTCTTTTAATGTTAAACAATTTTAAAGTTTACTCCAAGGATTTAGATTATAAGTATATAAAAAAAAAGGAAGGAGGAGAGGGAGGGAAAAGAGAATGGTATAAGATGTTAGAATAAGTAAAAAGAGAAAAAGCCAAGAATAAAAGGGAACAAATTTCTTTAGACTTGCAAATTTTCTTATGAATTTTCTAAGCTTCTTATTTTTTATTTTTACAAATATTTCCATCTAAAAATAAATGGAAAATTGATTTTGTCTAGAAAAGTCAATTTAAATAGCTTTTTCATTTTTAGTATATATAAAAAAATAATATAGGAATAATAAATATTCAAAGTAGTACAATGACTCTATTTGAAATAAAATTAAGTGATACTATAAATGAGTTAAATTCTTTTGGGACATTCTTAAATGTCATTCACTTTTGTTGATTTGAAGAAAGTTGTTAATATTTTTACAAATTCTTCAAATAATGAATAATTTAATAAAAGATACTTGTCAAAAAATATTTAATATTTTTATATTGATAAGAAAACCAACAGAATGAATAATCTATAGTTAAATAAATCACAGATGCGCACAGTTTATGTCACTTCCAGGTGGAATTCCTCTATATTTGCTAGTTTTTTTTACAAATCCTGATTCTATCATTGAATAAGCCATATCAATAATTGTTTGATCAACAGGAGTTGGTTGTAATTTTAATTTATTTATCATTTTTGAATTGTCGTAGTACGTTTCAACTTCCAACATTGGTATGATATTTTTTATTGTTTTGTCAAAGAATCCTACAAGTTTTACTATCCCTGAAGGAGCTACAGTCGTAGGAACGTTATAACCTGTTAGAAAGAGAATATGAAAAGGGTTATCTTTAATAAAGAAATGCTATATATAGTTGATTATTTTATTCGGGAGCAAAAAGTCAGTTACCTTGCCATTTAAACTCCTTTTCTAGAATGATCGCTAGTTGCTGCATCCAAATATTTTCATTGTGTAGAATGAAGCGTTCATTTTTTAGTCCATCATCAGTGGCTGCTATGAAGTGGGCTTTAGCGACGTCTCTTACATCAACAACGGAAAAATTCAATTTTGGTAGCAATGGCATCTGTCTCTCAATTATCCTTTTGATTGGCTCCATCGAAGTAAATTCAGTTCCACATAGTGTAGGTCCGAGAATAAACGAAGGGTTGATTGTTACTAAATCAAAACATCGGCCTACTTTCTCCTTTTGTTCCTCAACAAATTTCCAAGCAGCCCTTTCTGCGAGTGTTTTACTCTTCACATAAGCCATAATCGTACTGTCACCTGTATTTGTCCATTGATCTTCGGTGAAAGGACCACCACCTTGGAACCCACCAGATATTGATGATACTGAACTAGTTAAAACAACTTTGTGAATATTATCATTTGTTGCTGCAGCTTTCAAAACGTTAAGCGTTCCTTCTACAGCCGGTTTGATTATTTCATTTTCATCTTTCGGGGCACTACCCGGAAATGGACTGGCTACGTGAATAACAAGAGAGCAATTTTGTACAGCTTTCTCCCATCCGTCGTAGTTCAAAAGGTCGGCCTCTACTAACTGTAAACGTTCAGCAGGCTTTGCGGCTTTTGTACACAGAGACAAGAGGGGTTCGATCTTCTTCTTATTCTTCTTATTACGGACGCTAGCAGTGACAAAGAAATCACCTTCAAGAAAACATTTAATAACCTGCGAAGCAACAAATCCGGTGCCACCGGTAACTAGTACTTGATTTGCAGTCATATCTGTGAACTTTGGCAATGGATGTATGTGTCGTCTGCTCCACTTTATAGAACTTAAATGACAAGTAGTGCCATCTATCTTAAAATATATTTAATATTATTGACTTTTGATAATCAAGAAAAAGGGTTATTAGAGATCAAGGTGAAAAGCTTCTGATCACAATTTTCCTGACAAAGCTTTTTAATTAAAGAAATTTTATAAGACAACTAAAGAGGTTTGTCAAATAATCTCAATGAAAATCATTCTAAGAACACTTAAATATAATGTTGAATTGATCGATTTTTACTAGAAATTTAGTAAAATTATCTTACTTTGAAAATGTAATGGCCTTTATAGATAAAAACTGGTTTTTTTTTTCTTATAAGAAGCTAAGAGCATAATATTTCCATTCATTTTTCATATAGTTTGTTGAATATATAAACTACAAACACTACAAAACATTTCTATACTACTATTTTCATTTTATCCAAAAAACATAACAATGCTCAATTTGTACTCAATTTTCATACTCATGAATATAGTAAAATTATCAATGAATGTTTGCTTACATGATGGCGACAATTGGAGAAATGTTGGACATAATTGCTATACTTATGATTTATCAATGACACAATATACTTGGAATGAGGCAAAGTTAATCATTCATTTGTGGACTTCTTTACTAGTTTACTTTTAATATATTATTTATTTCAGGTCATGTTGCGAAACTAATAATATGACTTTAGTTAGAATCACAAATACTGACGAAAATTCCGAGATATTCGATATGATAGCTGAATTGGAGACTAATGGTATTGTTCATGGTCATTGGTTGGGTGTTTATACCACAAGTTTGTATGATATCCTTTTCTATTGTTCTCGATCTTTCTTCAATGAACTTGTACTTTATCTCTTATTGATTAGATCAGACATTTTACGATAATAATATTCTGGTTAAAGTGCTTAATCTTGAAATTAAAGAATTATATCATGATTTAAATGAGCCAGAAGTTGGTTGTACAGCTTTGAAATATGATGCTTCTGGTGGAATTAAGGAAAATTGGATAAGTGTCGATTGTAGTAGTGGTAATGGAGTTGTTTGTCAAGTTAAATCAGATTTGATAAATTTTGCACCCTCAAACTTGAATTGCTTGCAAACGACGACTGCTATACAAACAAGTAGAAAGCATTATTTTAAAAATACAAAACAGAATTAGACTGACGCCATTTTCTAATACGCTGTGCATTAATTATTTTTAAAGCTCCCGCACCTGCTTGTCCTACGGGTTGGTCAAAAGTTGGCGATAAATGTTATGCAGTAGATACGTCTAATGAAGGTTATACATGGAATGAGAATAAGTAGAAAGTTTATTTACAGTTAGGAATGGGATTCTTTATTGAATTTGTTAATTTAGGCTATGCTGTGAAAATTTCAATGCCCATCCAGTTAGAATTACGTCGGAAGATGAAAATTCTGTTCTACACGCATTAACCTATTTAGGTAAATATCGTACGGCTGGTAAAACTCAAGGTCATTGGTTAGGTATACAAACAAAAGGTATGGAAATAACGTGGAAATTTTTAATAAGAAAACTATTTAAATGAATTGTTTTCGTTCAAAGATGGCAATGTTTCGTATGATACAAATCAGACTATCACTAAAATCAATGGACAACATATAAAATATATGTTTTATGATAATGTAGTACCAAATAATGGATGTGTCATACTAAAATTTGATACTGGCGAACCTTCGTCAGAAAATTGGAAAGGAGTTGATTGTGTAGAATCAAATGGTGTTGTATGTGAAACGTCCATTGAAAATAGCCAAAGTTCACAGACGAATTTTTCTTGCGAAATTTTAAAAACCACAACTAACGCTATGACAACAATACAAACAACAGAATCAGTTATCTTATGTCCTGATGGGTGGGTAACGTTTGGTAATTATTGTTATGGAATTGATCAATCTCAAACAGGTTATACTTGGTCTGAAGCTTGGTAAATTCTTTAATTAAATCTCTAATGATTTCTCTTAATGTTAATTTTTTTCATCTAGGGACTGTTGTCAATCATATAATTCTACATTATTAAGAATATCCTCATCGTCACTGAACGCTATTATTGCGGATTATATTGTAGATAAAAAGAATGGAACGATGACAAACGGATATTGGCTGGGTGTTAAATATTTTGGTTTGTTTGAATTTTGCTGTTCTCTTTCATAATATTCAAAAGCATTCTTAATATTTTAGATTTTATATTAAAAAATCGATACGACGATAAAAAACCTATCATAATTGATAAGGATTATATTCCATTGAATGAAATGTACCACGATGATAGTGAACCTAATCAGGGTTGTACCCTATTAATGTTTATACAAGATCAGAAAGAAATTGAAAATTGGATGTCGGTTAACTGTAGCCATTTGAATGGTGTCATATGTCAGAAAATTCAATTACCACTAAAAAGTTCCTATTCCAACTTTTCTTGTGCTAAAACCCAATCTACACTAGAGGACACTACTATTATAACTACTGCCTCTCCATCTTTAGGTAATACAACTTTTGCCAGAATATATTAATAAGAATACTAATTAAAAATATCTAATTAAAATTCAAGTAATAAACTGTCCAAAGAACTGGATTTATTACGATGGTAATTGTTACGGTATAGACGAATCAAGGAAAGGATATACTTGGAATGAAGCAAAGTAATATATATATACTGTGTATTACTAATATAATTCATTTATAAAGTTTTAAACAATGTTAATCCTTTTTTTTTTAAAAAAAAAACACATACTACACATACAAACAATAGGGAATGCTGTTCTTTATTCAATTCAAGTTTGGTTAAAATAACGAATAAAAATCAGAATAGTTTCTTAGCAAACTATATAAAAGATATGAAAAATGGCGAAATAACTAATGGCTATTGGCTAGGATTAAGATATTTTAGTAAGAAATTAGATAATCTATTCGATGGAATATCTAGAATAAAAGTTATAAATTTCAAGAATTAATTAAATTTATAATTTTCAGCTGAGTATAATGATATTCGATATCAAGATGAAGATAATATAATAATTGATAATCAGAATGTATCCTACTTAAATGACATGTATTATGATAAATTAATTCCTAAAAGTGGTTGTACTCTTTTGAAGTTTAATAAAACTGGATTAATAGAAAATTGGATGTCAAATGGTTGCGATAGCTTAAATGGTGTCATTTGCCAACAATCAAACTCTTTTTCGTTTAATAAAAGTGAAAATTTGTCTTGTTTTTCAAATGATCTAGTAACAACCCATTCGAATAGAATTACAACGCTAATAGCTTCAAGTAATTATCGAATTCTATTCAAAGATATTCATCTTTTTATATTTTATGTATCTCAGCTAGCCAGCCTATCAATTGCCCTAAAAGTTGGATAAGTCACGATAAGAAATGCTTTGGTCGTTATACATTAAATGTTGGCTTTACCTGGCAAGAAGCAAAGTAATGAAATAACTTAAACACACTGTAATGACTAAGCGATATACAATGGATATAAATTAGACCTATTTTCCAGACTTTGTTGCGAAAGTATAAATACTACACTTGTGCGTATAGAAAATTTAAGAGAGAATCTTGCTGTTCATTCACTTACTTATAATCAAGTTGAAAATAGTATTGAAAATGGATTTTGGTTGGGTGCCATAATGAAAAGTATTTAAAATTAATAATTATAATACTGATTAATACAATACTAATATTTATTTTAAAGATAATACTCTTCTTTACGACAATAAATCACATATTTTTGTGCAAGAAGTTAATGACATTAAAGATATGTACATAAGTGATAATATATCTAGTGATGGATGCCTTTTGTTAAAAGGAGGTGGTAATTTTGTTTCAAATAAAAGTAATTGGCTGATTGAAAATTGTTCAAAATTGAATGGAGTAATGTGTCAATTGAATCGTGAATCTCTTTCGAATAATTTATTCTATAATCCTATATGTTCAAAGAATTCTTTTGAAACAACAACATCTGAATATCAACATTCAGCCGAAAAGAGTACAAATACTGCTGCAACATCACCAATAACAACGTCAGTTAGCTTAAGTCAATCAACTAAATTGATGAAAACAATATTAGAAAACTCTACGCCTATTAGTTCCGCCTTAACATCATACAGTTCGTAATAAAGAGTTAATTTATAGATATTAAAAAGAAAAACTGTTCTAATTGCGTTTAATTTCTTTTAATCAACAGTGGAACACTTTTCCAGACCAACTTCATCTCCTAATTATAAGTCTTGTTTACATATACAATTAATAAATGGTCGAATAGAACCTGCTAAATATATATATTATACTAATGATATTATAATAATGATATGTAAAGTTGGATTTCATTTTAGTGGTTCTCGTCTTACTCAAGTTTCAAATGAATGTTTAAGTTCTGGAAAATGGATTTTTAATAATTTACTATGTATATTAAATAAACCAATCTTTATTGAAAATTATCTATCATATTGTGGAAAAATCCCTTATCTTCAGGATTATAATATCTCTGTAAATAAAAGTTTAATAAGCATTGGAGACATTCGTTGTAAAAATGGATATGGTACAAAATCAGGGCATATTTTGGCTGGACATGTAATTTGTAATGAAGTCAATAAAGTATGGGAAATAACATCTTTAGAAACGTGTTTACGTAAGCATTGATATAAATTTAATAAATCCCAAGTTTGATTTTTCATTCATCATTTTTTTTATAAAAAAAAACATACTTCTGCAAAATACAATAGCTTTAAAATGTTTATTGAATATATCAGAATACGAAAAGTCTTATGTATTTATCGATTACTTTGAAGAACTAAGTGGTATAAATAATAAATATAACTGGTATGTTAGAATTAATTGTGCGAAAGGATACCATATATCTTTAAATAATACTATCTCAACGCTTATTCAACCTTGCGATGAATCTTTAAAAACAGTCTGGAAAGAACCATTTTGTAGACGTAAGTAGTTAAATAAACCGTTTTTATTTTGCTATTAAAACATATTGAAAGCATGTATAAACAAAATATTTTAATATAATTACATAAATAGAGATAATTTGTAATCAAAGCAACTTGAGAAATATCAATAATTCATTTAAACTATCAAAACGAGCGAATTCTGTTCAATATATCTGTCTTAGTGGTTATCACTTTGAAAAGGGTGTTACAGTTATGAATGCTACTTGTTCAACAAAAGGTTTATGGTTGTATCCATACTCATCCTGTAAACGTAAGAAAACTTGTTAACTTTTAGTAAAACTATCCTCATTTTGTCATTTTTTATTAAATAATCATCATGTCCATCTTGTAGCAATACCCTGTCCGAAATTGGAAATAATTTCTCATTCAAAACTTTCTTGCATTGAACGTAAAATTGGACGAAAAACTTGCTGGATAAGATGCAAACCTAATTTCAGACTATTAAGAAAAGATAGAGTTTTTAAATCAGAAAGTATGCAAATTGAATGTTTGAGAGGTATTTGGATTTCACAGTATGACGTAAGTTGTCAAGGTAAGTAAAGAGACCAAGACAAAATTATTTCTTTATATTTATATACTGTATATTATACAGCAGTATAGTTTATATGCAAATTTAGAATACAATACAGTTTGTAACTTATATCCGTTTTTCAACACTTTAGAAATCTTGTGTCCACTTATTCCGTTTTGGGAAAATCTAGAACTAAGTTCGAAAGCCAGAGCTGTCGGATCAATAATAACGTATTCATGCTTACAATCTTATTCATTTAGAACCAACGTTTCTTCATATAATATTGCTTGTTTGAGCGATGGAAATTGGAATGACACATTGAATGTCTGCCAAGGTAATTATATTTACTATTTTTAGTTTTAATATAAAAGAAAAACTTTGTTTACTAAATTATGCATTCCATTATCAGAAACGGTTGTAAATAATAAAAAAATAGAAGTAGAAGAAGCTAAGCACGCTGAAAAATATGGACTCTTAAGTGGTCTTATCTTGGCAACCATGATTATATTTATAGCTGTTGTTGACATAGCTACTATTCGATGGAATAGGGCTTGTCATTGTTAATAACTGACAATTTTATCAACATTACGAATGGATTATAATCAAAGTAAATCATTTATTCATACTGATTCGTTTTTAAATATGATGTTTATAATTCAGTTATCTTTCTTATAGACTCCCTAGAACTTTCAGCCATAAAATCTTGTACTACTTCAGCACTATCGACGTCAGTTTCCCTCCTCATCATTCGTTCAGGATCGATTCTAGCCCCACTCCGATCTATCTCTTCAACTTGTATATTTCTAATACTGGGAATAAATATCGATATTGATCTGGTCGATACGTTTGAAATAATGGATTCCCTCTGCCCACGTTCAAATACATTATCTTGATCAGAATCAGACTTCTTATAGTTATTAGCTAAATATATATATATACATATATATATATATTAGTATATATATGTATATGTTTATATTATGAAATAGTATTTATAAAAAATATATAGAATAACAGATATGAAAATAATGTTATTTAGTCTTTGACAAACCAGAAAAACAAACGTCATTAAGTAAGAAATTATAAACGTACTAGTTTTCTCATTAGGCAAAGAATGCCTACTAAGCTTTTGCTTTTCTCTTCTAATGCTTTCATTCATATTTTATTTCTTTACTAAATTTAATCAATAAAAATGCGATTTATAAATATTAATTTATTCTTATTACGTTTATTATACATATTTTTTGAAAAAGTAAAGTAATTAGAATATTTGAATATTCATTATATATATTTTGAAATTAAGATGAAATAATGTTTATATTTGTTTTTGCTATTATTTCCTTGGTTGAATGTAAAAAACTAGAGACTTTGTCAAAGCAATGTCCCTCATTTTCTTGTTCAAAGTTGTATAGTAGAAGCCTTATTCAATTGTATTTGTGTAATATTCACTATTCTGAGTATCCTACCTTGATTAATTGCTTTGGAAACAATGACTATATAAATATATCAATTAGCAAAAGTTTATTCTTTGATCGAGGCCTAGAATTAAGAGAAAGTGTCATGGATAGTTTCAAAAGCTCACTAAATAGATACGAATGGTTAAATACAGCATGGAATTTATCATTAAATAGTTTAAATTTGACAAAAATACCAAATTCATTAAAAGTATCATATTTATATTTAAGATTTAATCTTATAAGAAAAATTATTAATATTGAAAGAAATTTAGTAAAAACATTGAAATTAATTGATTTATCCGGTAATCCGATTGTTCAATTTGATTATAATATATTAAGAATAATGTGCGATAATACAATATTACGTAATATTCAATTAAGACAATTAAAAAGTGATTTAAACGATGTTGAACAGATTGTAAAAAATGTTACAAAAGCTTGTAATAATCATATTTCAAAGTTTGATTTAAGATTTAATAATATTTCAATTATATCTGGTAAATGGTTAATTTTAACTATTTACAATAGAAGATCGTCCTTAAAAATGTTGTTTGGAGGTAATTTAGAAAAGATTGAAGATGTACCGCATTCTTGGAAAATTGAGGCAAGGTTTATATCAATTTTTTTTCTCATCTATTTGTATTCATTTAATAATTACGTATAATTGTCTTTGATTATTCTCATTCTCTCACTGAAAAAGGATAAATGTGGTCTTGACATTTGATTATATAAATGAGACACAAGTTTGTATTTGTGATAAATGGATACAGAGTATAACTTTGATATCAACATCTCAAAGTAATATCTGCTTTAACTTACAAGATATTTTTATTGACAAGCCAATACCGACTGAACGAAAATACATTTCTTTAAGAGTCGGCTATACGAATTATATATGCTCACTGCTGACTTGCAAAGATTATACGCCCGCTTTAAAAGTCTATACAAAATCGAAGAAAGGAGAAATCTTTTACTATCCTGTAGTCCATCACTCAGATTATAATAAGACATTTTCTCGACCTATCAAAGCCGGTAATGTGTTTGTTAAAGCTAAATGTATTAGTTACCGGATAAGTGACATTTTAAACAATACAGAAAAGGTTGAATTTGATGAAGAAATAAAAAAAATCATTCATTTTCGACCTGTTAAATTGAATAGTTCAAAAGTGAATGGAATTATAGTATTTTCGATTTTATCGTTTATTTCCATAGTAATGATAACTGCTTTTATGTTCTTAACAAGAGAAAATAGAATTGGCTTTAGATTGTTTGCAGTTAGAGTTTATCCAAACGTCAATAATACAATAGAGGATTGATTTCCTATAGAAATATATGATTGAAAATATTATCCTACTTGCATCTGATAATTTAATAAACAGTTGATAAATATATATATATATATATCTATATATATATATATATATATTCATGTTAAGACTAGTTTTATTAAAAAAATGTCCATCCTTATCCAAGATATTTTCCGGAGATATAAGAGAGAGGGTGTGGGAGGGAAAGGAAAGCTTATAAGCCTCCTTTGTCAGAGTTACTAATCCTGCACGTACTTAGCTGAAGTGTTTATAAGAATTTCTTGAGGAGATGATTCAGGATAAGTCATAAAATTTTCTCATTGAAAATCATTTACTACAGCCTACAAAATGTCGATTTTTTTCTTTCATCAAATAAAGTAAGAAAAGAGGAGAGAAAGTGGAAGTTTTTCATTGAAGAAAATCAATTGTTATCTTACAGCTCATCTTGAAGACTTGGGTCTCAAGAGATCGAATAATTTTCTAAAAATAGTCTTCTCAATAATATTTATATAACATTGGTTAATTATAAATATAGATATGCACTGATTCGTACATTTTTTGTTTATGAATAGCTACGTAAACTGAAAAAAGCACTTTCTTATTATAATTAATATTATATAAACAATAGCCAGTTTTATAGAAAAAAACCAAAGAAACAAGGAGAAGAAAGAAAAAGCATGCCGACTTTCTCCTCCTTCCATAAATACAATTTGTCTAGCTTTCTTTCTTCTTATATTGTTACTATATAGTTTTTTTAAGTACTTTCTATTGTCTTGTTTTTAAGTTTTCCGTTGTTTTTGTTTTCATAAATAAGAAATATACATATTGTTTTATGAAAGAAACAAAAAAATGATTTATTTTCGTTTAACACTACGAAAGAATCACAAATAAAGTAATAAGTTAAAAGGGAGAATGAATATGTAAATAAGTTTAAAACATTAAAACATTAATTAATTAAATAATTAGTTATTTTAAAATTAATAATTTTACTTGTTTTTCCTTTTTTTTGGTTTTTGAAATTTTATTTATAACAAAGGAAATAAATAAAGAAAAAATAATGATAAAAAAGTTTTATAAACAATCACAAAAGAGCTGAGAGTAGACTAGAAATAAATGAAACATGTCAGAATGAAAAAGGAGAAGAAGAAGAAGAAGAAGAAGAAGAAGAAGGAGGAGGAGGAGGAGGAGCAGAAGAAGGAGAAGAAAACAAAGTATTATAGTTTGTAATTAATGTTTATATGCTTTTTTTCCTTTGATATAATATTCTAAGAGAATGATTCAGATAGTTATTTGAAATTATCTGTTATATAATTTTACTTTACTTTTTTGTTTGATCAGAGTTAACAAGAAAAACTTACTTAGATAGAATATATACAGATAGATATATAGATAAATAAACAGGATATATATGTATATAAATAAAATTCCATAAAATAATATTAGTTAATTTAAAGCTTAAACTATTTTAAAGTTAAAAAATAATACATTTTTCATTTAAGTAATTTTTCTTTTTTTTAATCATTTTTGTCTTTTTTCTTATTCTTTTTTCTTTTGCTTTTTTTTTAACACAACACAGAATTTTCTACTTTTTTTCTAACTTTTTTTATCATTTTTTAAAAGTTTTATGTAGTCGGACAACACTTGATGAAGCATTCATTTCAAGACGCAATCCTGCTTTATGAAGACATCAGAAAGATAGAAAACAATGGAATTATAATATTATAGTAAGACATTAAAATTTTCTTAAATGAATAACTTTTGTCAAAATTTCTCATAAAGATTTCCTTTGCAATATAATTTATCGGCATACTGGCAGAAAAATGGTTGAAAAATACAGATCTTACAATATTTAACATAATTAGCTTTGAGTTCACTACGTGAATATCTTTGGAAGAACTTTTCAGATAGCTTGAAAGCAGTAGCTAAAGGATTAAAATCAAAATGAAAATATACGCACACCACAGGCACATTTATATATATGTTACATAAAATAAATGAATAAACATGAATATACTATGTGTACATATAGTATATATATATATATATATATATATATACATATAAGTACATCTATAAAATAGGTAGTTTAAACTTTAACTAAAAAAGAAATCATTAATCCATATACCTTCATAAAGCAAAAGCATTGTTAAAGCAAATAATATTGCGGAGAAACAACGCTTCATCTCTATAGTACGGCGAGACACGAAGTAAAATTAATATTCTCTTTTCTTGATATTAGCGTTAGTGGCGTCATCCTTTATATATACAATATTTGTATATATCTTCAACCCGGCATTGGTATAACAAGCACCAATTACACCACCGAACTAAATTGTCCGAAGTTGAAGATCTTTTTAAGAAACCAAACCGACCTCTGGGTTCGCCTGCCAAAAAATGAAAATTTAACATATCCTTATATATTAGTATGTAATTATGGCAATCATGTTAAAAATTTATAATCATTTGAATACTTTCAGCCCATTTGAACATTGTACATCTTTTATCATTTTCCTAACTTTTTAATCAGTTTTCCTTATGGACAACAATTAACAAAATGTTCACTTTAACACCTTTCTTTTCATATTGAAAATAAGTGAAATTTAAATTTTATTGTCTTTATATTTGTTTATAGAATGATGAAAACAATATCAATTATTAAAAATTTACAATAAAAGGGTCAAAAAATTAAGATGTATGTGCATTTTAGAAAGACAAAAATACTACATATGTATACATATAAATTATATGTATATATATATATATATACTGTATATACAGATACCTATATACTATAAACACA